TTATATAACACAAACTGTCCCAGCCATAGCCTGGCTTTATCTACACAGGGTGCACTTTCCTTGGCAACTCTTTCACATATGCTGCCTTTGTTTCATTGAAAGAAGGCATGTGGGCTGAAAAAAAACCCCGTGGGGCAACCCTTGTATCCTTATGCCTCAGTATCGGTCAGTATCGCTTTTTTTTCCTCTGCATCGGTTTGCGGTGTTTTGGCAGCTCTGGCTCGAAAGTCGCGACTTTTCCGTACAAGTGTAGTATGCGAAGTACACTCTGCCAGCTCCCAGCTCCAGCTGGAAAGTCGCAACTTTTCAGTACAAGTGTAGTACACAAAGTACATTTTGGCAGCTCCAGCTGGAAAGTAGCAACTTTTCAGTAGTATGCGCAGTACACTTTGGCAGCTCCGGCTCGAAAGTCGCAGCTTTTCGGTGCAAGCAAGTGTAGTATGGTGTAGTATACGAAGTACATTTTGGCAGCTCCACAGCGGAAGTCGCAACTTTTCAGTACAAATGTAGTACACAAAGTACATGTTGGCAGCTCCAGAGAAGGCTGCAGGGCAGCTGGTTGGATTCGGCATGGCGGCCAATGAGTTGGGTATCGGTTGGGTATCGGTTTGGGTATCGGTTTGGGCCCTGCAAATTTATGATTCCGCAATCTTGGTTTGCGACAACAACTAGGACCTGATGTGTGTCTTCATGGCTTCTGGGGGTATCGGTCTTTTTCCTCTGTATCGGTTTACAATGGTTTTGGCCTGCGAAACAAGTTAAGGGACGGCCCCTTACATAACGAAAAGGCGCAGGGTTGTTTTCTCAGCCCCAATGTAAAAAGACATGTGTTGGGTGAGAGGATGTGCGAATTTTCTGCGGAAGAGTCTTTGAAAGAAGGCATGGTTTGTGTGGGAAGATATGTGAGTTATCTGTGGAAGAAGAGCCTCTGAAAGACGGCATGGTTTGTGTGGGAAGATATGTGAATTGAATTTTGTGTGGAAGAGCCATTGAAAAAGGGCATGGGTCACGTCCAAGGCGTCTTTCTTCAATGAGGCAAACCTCCTTCCTCTGGTCTCCCAGTGTGCAAACCTGAGCTATTCTTCCTGCCTGCTTCCGCGGTCAAAGCACATCTGAACCAAGCCCAAACCTGGGTACCTGGGGGGGGGGAGAATATATATATATATATATATATATATATATCGGTGAGGTCGTAAGTATATGTTTCTCGGTGAGGCCGTAAGTGTATATATATATATATGTTTTGCTGGCCGTAAGTATGTGTATATATATATATGTTGTGTTTTCCTTTTTTTCCCGATGAGGCCGTCAGTAATATATATTTATATATGTTTTCCGGTGAGGCCGAAGTGTATATATACATATATACATATACATGTTTTTCGGTGAGGCCGTAAGTGTATATATATATATATATGTGCTTTTTTCTCGGTGAGGCCGTAAGTATATATTATATATGTTTTGTTTTTTCGGTGAGGCCGTAAGTATGTATATATATATATGTGTTCTTTCTCGGTGAGGCCGTAAGTATATATATATATATACACGTTGCTTTTTGTCGAGGAGAACGTAAGTATATATATATATATGTTTTTCTCTTTTTTCTCGGTGAGGCCGTAAGTATAGTGTTTGTCTCGGTGAGGCCGTACGAATATATATATATATATGTATGTATGTGTTTTTCTCGGTGAGGCCGCAAGTATATATTATATATGCTTTGTTTTTCGGTGAGGCCGTAAGTATGTGTATATATATATATATATATATATATGTTTTTCTCGGTGAGGCTGTAAGTATATATATATATGTGTGTTTTCTCTTTTTTCTCGGTGAGGCCGTAAGTATATAGTTTTTCTCGGTGAGGCCGTAAGTATTTGTTTATATTTGGTGTTTCTTTTCGGTGAGGCCGTAAGTGTATATATACATTTATACGTGTTTTTCCGGTGAGGCCGTAAGATCTTTTTTCGGTGAGGCCGTACATGAATATACAAATCTACATATATATATATATATATATATATATGTTTTTCGCTTTTTTTCTCGGTGAGGCCGTAAGCATTTTTTCTCGATGAGGCCGTAAGTATCTATATAAAAATATATGTGTTTTTCTCGGTGAGGCCATAAGTATATATTATATATGTTTTGTTTTTTCGGTGAGGCCGTATGTATGTGTATATATATATATATATATATGTGTTCTTTCTCGGTGAGGCCGTAAGTATATATATATATGTGTGTTTTTCTCGGTGAGGCCGTAAGTATATATCTAGATACATATATATGGATATATATATATACATACTCTATATATATGTAGCAAATGTATAGCAAACATGGCTCCATATGTCTCAACATGTGGAACCTCCAGCTCTCTTCCAGTGATTCTTTGGCATTCATGATTTCTGCGTGCTAGCTTACTGCAAAATCTCCACTCTCCCAGACCTTGATTTGCCCCTTTCTGGCCCATGGAAAGCGAACTTCTTTCTTGCGAATGCATGCGAATACAATGCCCACCTCCCATATGTCGGGGAGGTACTTGGAGAACCAACTCCATTTTCAAGTGACAGGGGGTCAGGTTCCAGGGAGGGTATCCAGTTCTAAGAACTAACTCTCTCCAAGCCGCAAAGCTGCTGGTGAGGGCATAGCCTCAGCCATTTGGGGATGGTACGTTTGACTTGACTGCCTCTACCAAAAGCACAAAAGAAAACCGAGATATGGTCTGATGGTATATGGTAAGGCTAAGTGTAGCCCCTTCGCACTTGAGGATATGGACAGGGTTTACTGCAGTGACATGTCTCTGTCGGGTAATCTTGACTTCTATGCTCTCCTGTACTTCCCCCATCCTCTTTTTGACTTGCAGCATTGGGCATTTGCATTCGACCAATTTCTGAACAGAATATTCAACAATGATCAGCTCCGTAGAATCCTGAATGTTGACCCCATATTAATCAATCCCAGCTTATTTGTAGGGGGGTGGGTGGGGCTCCAAAAGTGGTCTAATTCCCCACCAAACCCAGTTGGACACCCCCCGAATAAAGTTCGGGGCTGAACATACTGTTCCAACCATGAACATAATATTCCAACATCACATTCTAACATAATATCCCTTAGAATTCTTACCCCCTCCCACCCCCACCGCCCCCCCTCCCCCCCCCCACTGTCAGGGGCAGTGGCAACTTGAACCTCTCCCGAGTGACTCAGCGACGAAGGCGGCTTGGCAGGCGATCGGATCGGCACAGCTTCCTCAAACCGCAGGCCCGCGCGACTCGCATCAATCCGCGCCTCCCAAACCCGTCCCTTGATGCTGGTGGCATAGGTAGGGAATGAGAAATGGAATGAATCCAGGCTTTGCTCCCCTTCGAGGAAACCATAGGATGGATGGTGTATAGGGGTCATTACCTCATGCCCTGCCGAGCACCGGCAAGTCTTGATGCAGGGTAAATGATGACCAAAGCATATATATATATATGGAAATTGCGCCATCAACGCGTGTCGAAAATGCAACAGGTGACAGACTTTCTGCACTTTTAGGTCAAGGCAGTGGCACACAATGAACCAAAACAAAACGTAGCCAACAGCCCTTCCTAGGCGCTCTGCATCTTGGAACTGAAGCGGAGTCCACAAGCAACATGGGATAAACGTGCACAAGTCTGAATAGATATGACTGAGAACCCATTTTGCCCCTTCACAACTTGGTGCAGCTAACCTTTCTGCCCAGCTAGAAGGGTCGCTCGCAGGCGGCGACTCCAGTGAGCCATGTCGGTGCATAAGACAGGAGGCGCAGTTTGAGGGGCAAGTGTCTGCTGAGCACTCTCCTGCCTACAGCCTTTTGCGGCTGATGAAAGAAAGGTTCCGAAGGCACGCAAGAGCTCCGACTTCAATGAAACAGTTCGCAATCCGAACAACCGCTCAACCATGGCCAAGTTCCCCCCTTGCAAGTCCGAGCCCTCTCATTGGACTTGGCCTGGGTGTTTAATGACATGTCCTGCCGTACCGTTTTCGTCACCCGGGCGTGCCCAAAGAACGCTCATGTCGAAAGCTTGGGGTTGCTTGGCTACAAACGTCTCTGGCAAGACCGTCCAAGGCACCTGAAGCAAGTTGCCAAGCGCGGGCGGCATGGCACTCGCACAACAGTAGAGAACTCCACCAGTGTGGGAGCAACTCTGAAAACTCATGCTGAGAAAAACTTTTCAGCATGCAGGATCATTCTCGTGCGCGTTTGTGAGTGTGAGCATGTGTTCACATATATATATATATACACATACATTTTACAGTATACACATACACGTGTGTTCACGCTTGTGCGTGTGTGTGTGTGGTCATGTGTGTGTGTGTGTGTGTGTGTGTGTGTGTGTGTGTGTGTGTGTGTGTGTGTGTGTGTGTGTGTGTGTGTGTGTGTGTGTGTGTGTGTGTGTGTGTGTGTGTGTGTGTGTGTGTGTGTGTGTGTGCGTGTGTGCGTGTGTGTGTGTGGTCATGTGTGTGTGCGTATGTGTATGTGTATGTGTACGTGCATATGTATAGAATAGACATATATATATATATATATTTACACGTGTGTGCGGTTGCGTGGGTGCGTGTTTGTGTGTAAAAGTGTCCGCGATGTATTCTCACAGCACTTTGCACATGAGCACCATGTTCTGCTCAATTTGGCACACATGTCAACCCGGCTGTTCTCCTCTGCACATTTCGAGGCAATCTCGGGCTCTCTATAGATGGTTTGAGCATCCAGGCTGCCGGCAATGCTGTTCGCTACCTGCGTCGCCTGCTGGCAACTGAGGACGTTTGGGGTGGAACTGTTGTGATTTGGTTGTTCCTGAAAGAACCATTTCTAGGGAGCAACTACATGACAGGCCTTCACACACCTGAGCCTGGTTGGGAACTGCACAGTCTCATCACAATAGCCACAACCTGCGGGTGCACCGTCAAACACCGTGGGGGGGGGGGGTTGTACAGCCAAGTTTCCTTCCCTCACGCCCTTCGCCCCCCTTTTCTTCCGACCCTGCTCGAGTCAGGCTGGCTCTACGAGCGCGGCCTCGGCGAAACAGAGTCGGCCGCGTGGAATCTGAAACTCAGAAGGACCCTAGTGACTGAAGTGGAGAGGAACTTATCAGCGACCTAAGCACTGCTTAAACAAAATTGCCATGCTTTGTGTCCTGCGGACTCACTTTGCGCTTTCCAAGCCCAAGGGGATTTGCACGGCCTTCAGAAGCCTTTTGTAAGTGTGACTGAGCCAACCATTTCCCTGTGGCCTTCCATTTCGTGCCGCAGCCGCGTAAAATTTTGACTTGGCGGATGCCTGAGACCACCTAAAGTCTTCTCCTAACCACGGCTCTGCATCACAAGCACAGGCTTGGTGAATGTTGAAGGCTCAACTTGGGATGTTTTTGTAGGTCTACCATCATCATTCAAGTTCTAGTTCAGGGTAAAGAAGGCATGTTCAAGCTCCACTTGCTACTTCAATTCATGGCTCTAGATGCCCTGCAATGCTACCTCCTGCCTCTGAAAACACATGCGCCCCCCTCCATCGCCCATTAACAAGCTACGGACCAGATGCGCGCGATGTATAGCGCTCGAAGGGCACATGGCCATGGTCGACTCTCCAAATTGCTAGTTATGTAAATGCTCCCGCACATCTCTGCCATTCCCGAACTTTAGCCCGCCCGCTGTAATACCCGTTTCCAGTTGAGAAAAAAACGATGAAGGAACGACTGCGTCATGACCCTCAGATTTTGCCATGGGTCAAAAGCCCGTACCCCCAGCTCCCAACTAAAATAGATTCTATAATGGGTGGTGAATTCACCTACCAACCAAAATGGGATCCCAAAACGGTTTTGACAACCACAGCCATTTGAGTGCGTGGTAAGTCAACACCTGGCGCCATGTTGCGCACACGGCAGCTCGGCGGCGCGGCTCGGAGCGGCCGATCGGAGCGGCCGATCAGCGCAGGCTGGCGAAGACGCGTGCTGGCGCCTAGGGGGGCGTTTCACTCCAAGTTCCGCATTCCGCAGCTCTCCACTGGATGTGCGAGCAGTTTGTTCCACACTGCACACGAAAGAAACGCCACGCCTCCGGCGCTCCGAGCAGACGCAACGGCGCCACGCAGATGGAGGCACCACGCGCGGGCAAGCTGTCCAAGTTCATGTTCTCCACGATGTACCTGGACGTTCCCTCCATTTGCTTAAGACCCTGGGGGAAATAAAATTATTCCCAGTAGTGATAGAAAACCAACAGAGAAAAAATAAAACATATTCTTAAGCAATGGACGTTTCTTGAATGGCAGACACACCCCAGAACCTGTTGAACTCCCGGATCAAGTCGACTTTGGATTTCTTTGCACTTTGGTCTATCCGAGTCTATCAGTCGCCAAATCCAACTCTGCAGGTCGCGCCGAGCTGCCGGTCAGCACCCAAGATGACGTGGTGCGTCTTGAAGCCTGCCGTTGCCCAATGCCAAGTTGCTACTGGGCTGCCCCTGTTCTCAGATCCCCCGCCAAAAGTGGAGCTAACTTTTAGTGGGTTAAATTCGGAAACTACCACTAAACACCAAAAGATGCTAGAAGATGCTAAAAGGCGAAGGGACCGGACGGCTGGGAGCCACCAAGTTGTTACTCTCCCTGAAAGCGGACGATGCGGAAAGCAAATTGGGCACGACCTTTGGAGGCCCCCCCTCAGATCCCATGGTGGACATCTGGCCTCTGACAGAACCAGGTGAGTCACAATCAAAACCTGGTACAAAAATGGTGAACCCAGAACCATGTAAAGAAGTAGAAAGGCGGCTGCAACTTTCCCTTACTAACCTTCATCTACCCAGGTTTCAATTGTGGTTCAGGTGATTACTGCTCTATGGCATCTGATTCACTGGGCTTGCCCAAGAAAACCAACGCTGCAAAAGAGCTCCAGTGCTTTGACATGACAGGGGATCTTTAGCGCATGTCAATGGCACACTGCGAGCAATGCCATCTGCAAGTCTTGGGGAAAAAAGTCAATCCTCACTTCCGATCGAGTGGATTGGCCCAAACCAGTCCCGGAACCTTTTATTTACCACGAAACTGGCAAGCAAACCCAAAAAGTGACAGTTTCAGTCTGAGTCCCGGAAGCTCCGCAAGGACCTGAAACCAAAAGCTTCACCAATTAGGGGCCACGACTTACTAGGTCCTCGAGATTTGAGAGGTTTCAATAAGGGTACCCGATTTTTCTCTCTGTAGTCTATTTTAGTAGGGGAACCCTCCCCAAAAAAGGGGTAAAAAGGGCACCTAGCTGGGGGGCCTAGGTTGAATATAAACCACAATTTGGCCATGGGTCAAAAGCCCGTACCCCCAGTGAACATCCCAATCCCCACTAAAATAGACCTAAATGGGTGGTGCACCTACCCCGAAATGGTGCCATTGGTTTTGACCCACAGCCATTTGGAAAACCAAAAGGTCAGCCCTGAACATCTGAGGAACTCAACGCGAGCTCCGGTGCCCGTCCCGTCCCTTTGAGCGGGCCTTCGCTGGCGCCGGCATCCGGGGAGAGCGTGTCTACCCCGAGGCCCCGCAGATCTCGGTGCTCCACCAGCCACCGCGCCGCTGCCGCGGAGACGCCCGGAAAGTGCCTGCTGGAACCGGCTGGCGGTGCGGGTGTGGAGTGCCCGGCTTGGGGGTGGGTTTTATAGGGAAAAGCAAAAAACGGGGTGGGTTTTATAGGCAAAAGCAGAAGGAAACAACCCATTTTGAAGGGTTCCCCCATTTTGAGTCTAGGTATGCCCGATTCACAGCCGAAAGCCATTATGGCTCGTCCTGAACCCATCGGTGAGATTGACTCCGCCAAGTCCAAAAGGCAACCTGGATGTGGCTCCTCATGCCCAAAGGTTGGGTGGATTGCGCCAGGTACAGTGCTAAGCCTTGGATGGGTCTTGGATCTGCTGGTTCTGCCGAGCTTCGTAAACTAAGACCAAAGTAAACTTTGGGCTGCGCTGCCAAAGCAGAACTTTATGCGCTTGCCAAGCAAAACATGGAACACAGCCAGTGCTCGAGGTAGAAACGCAAGCCTTTTTTCAGATTGCCAGTGCCAATCCGGCTGTGCGTTTTGGTGGCCACGTAATGTATTTGCTGCGTGCCGCCTCTCTGGCAAAGATTCGAATGACATCTTCTAGCCATGTCTGCAATCGTTTGAAGGGGAGGTTGCAGGTTGGTTCCGATTGGCCTTTTCATTGCCAAATCGTCCAGCTCCTTCCATTCTCGCCCTGCTCAGTCTTTATTGGAAGGGCCTGACCTCAGTAAAGCACCGTGGCGAAGTGCTGAGCTTCCTAGCTGCTACCTTTCCCTTCTCACCAGTCGAAAGCCTGGAAAGCCAAGTCAGGAATACCAAAATGGAACCCTGGTAAGCAAGGTTGCTTTGAGACAGAGTCGAGCTTTTCCACTCCTTCGTTTAGGCATAAAACCCGAACTCGGATGTCATTGACATGGAGTAATTTTTCAGGGGGAACATTGAAACATGGAGGTATGCTCTTGGTTTCCCTTTAGTTTCAAGCAAACCCAACCCTCAAAAAGAACCCCAGGTCGAACCCTAGGTGACCCAACGCAGCCCAAGAGAAAACGCCAAGATGTCCAAGGCCACGCTGACAAATCACTCTGACGTACTTACTACATTTCATTTGAGAGTGAACTGAGGAAACTTTTAAGTTAGAGACCTTCATTCTGTGCGAGCTTGCCCCATCTTGCCCCAAAATCGACATAAGTGCACAAACCGGTCAAGGCACATTCGTGGCAGCTGATAGTCTGGGTGCACATCCTCGGTTGCTCTCACACCCCTCTGGAGCTCACCTCGAAGCAAGATTCTTTGAGATGGGCGCAAACCAAACATTTTCGGACATATATGGCTCTGTCTTTTTTTGGGTACCCCATTTAAACTTTGAAAACAAAGGAAAACTACCCATTTTGGGGGGTTCCCCCATTTTGAGACACCCAAACAGGGATTCCCAATGGTTGGCTTCCTGTTGGTCTCCTTCAAATCCCGAAGAAGGTTTACCAACGAAAAGACGCACCTGGGCTTTCCTTGGATTCCCTGCTAAAAGTGACTAACTTTTAGCTGGACAAATGGAAAGAACCCCCCACTAAACCGGTGAAAATCTGGAAAGCTAAGGAACCGGATGGCTGGGAACCACGGCACCCATATCTTTTTTTCTGTCAGAAAATATGCCGCCTCTGTTTCCGAGTCAGAGCGGCTTAGGAGGCAAGGTCTGCTCACATGTTGGAAAACGCAGACCAGTTTTTGGGTGCTGTAGATCCACCAGCAAAAAGTTTAACTTTTGCAGGTGAAAAGGGCATTTGAGGGGTATCCAAAAAGTCAAAGTCGAAAGGTCCAACCCAACAGCAGTAGGGAGTTGAGGACAAACGCCACTTGCAACGACTTCAACCAGCAAGTCAAATTTGATCTGGTTTGAATCACAAGCCGGGGTGATTTGCCGGATACTGAAAAAATACATCGTTTGGAAGCGTCCCTCTGTTGGGCCTTGCTCCGCAGAAACTCACAAATCACACTAAGTGGTTTGCTCTTTCAGACCCCAACAAAAAGTACATAGTACTGTCCAAATGAGACAACAAGCGGTTTCGCATAACAGTGTCAAGTACCATTCAAACAAGACCACTCCTCTACAATCACAACCTGGGCTGTCCTCAGATGCCCTGCTTTAAACAACTTTTGGTTCAACGGACACCCCCACATCCTACAATACATCTAAACAGCTAAGTTGAACCGGATGGCTGGTCTTGCCACCAAGCAACCGTTGGACACCAGAAAGGACATATGAACCAAAACCACCCCGGCTCTAGCCTCCTCGGCGCCGCGGTTGTGATAGCAGGTCCAGGGCCCGCAGCCCTCTGCCTGGAAAGCGGGAACTGGGCAGAAGGACGCAATGCTGGGACTAGACGGCGTGGGCTGGGCAGAAAGAGATAAAACAGGAAGCTTCACTTCTGGGGCAAGCAAGAATGAGATTACTTGCAATGTCGGACAAACGGTCTGACTAAATGCCTGGGGACGGTTTAAACGCGCCTTGCAAGTAGGAGAAATACGTCAACTACAGCCCTCCAAACTGGACCACAGGCAATGGCACACTACGGAAGTTGGTAAAGGATCTGAGCTTCAGTGCTCGAGTCACCTACAATCTTACTTCATGCATGAGCGCGGGTGCTGCAAATTGGTTGGTGTCCTTTTGGATGTTCTTCAAACACAGTACCAACCAAAACAAGGAGTCCCAATCCCATGTTGTGAGATGCTTATATTGTGATGAGTCAGAACTAAACTCAATGCTCAACGCCTGCAGCCAGCACTGGACCGACACAAACGTGACACTGGAAAATCACGGATTGAAACATCACAATACACAAAACCTGACCAAATGGCCTGATACAACAATGGAACACATGTATGTATGTGTATATATATATGCATGCTCCCCCTTGCCAAACCTACATATTCCACACAAAAAGCCATACCAAAAACGTACTTGTCGCTGTTTTAGCATCACACTGCCCAAGGTGGGTAAGTTTAAAAAGCAAGGGCTAAGCAAGCATCTGCTAAATCTGCAGTCTTTGTAGTACATTGCGTTTTGTTTATCTTAGGTCTCATATGCTTGATATCTCTGCATTCTGCAGACCATCAAGTTTAGAAAGCAAAGGCTAATCAGGCATCTGCTAAGAAACAAACACAACATTGGCAACAAGGCTTCAAGTTGGTTGGCTGGTTGGTTGCCTTGCAATTAGTTGCTTGCTAGAAAGGGGGGGGGGTTTGGGAACTCTTTCGAGCACGCCGCCCCCACCCCTCTCCCCGCTCGCCCAAGAAAGTTGCCTTCGGGCCACTAAACTAAAGTGCAAAACTTACTTGATGCAATGCATACCTTGAATTGCATACCTTGAAATACAGTGCTTTGCTGTATCAGCCTGAGGGTCGTGTGGGTGAGTCCCATCCTAAACATCGTTTGAGGGCATATAAGGAACACGTTATGGATGTTGTTGCCTGAGACAAGTTCTGTAAGCTACTATCCCTTGCTTGTGCTATAGTTATCAGTCTGGTTTGGATTTCACTGCAAATGTGTGGCGGCACTTTGGCAGTATGTGTGGAATATGGGGATCAGGCCGGGTTAGTCGCTTCATCGGAGAAAAACAAGTTCTCGGAAAGAGAGGCTTTGCATTACAATCTGGATTGCGTGAATTGTAAGCTTCTCAAAATGCTGTGGATCCCAACACAATTACAAATTACTAACAATTCAGCTACAATTGTTCATACATTTTCTATACTCCTTCAGCACACTATCATGTGACTTGTGATAAACTGGCGAGCTGCAGCGTGGGTGCAAAGTCATTTGCTTGGATGCATTTACGCCATGTACTAGCATATCTTAGATGTAAGCATGCTCTATCTGATCTATAGTCTAGCTTTTTGCGTATCGTTTAGCAGGTGAAACCTTAGGCGAAAATCAAATTACGATCTCACATGTCTGGTTTCACTAAACGATTTCTGAATTGAACTTGCACCACTCAGTGGCCCCATTTTGCCCTACATACAATGAATGCATAGTCCTACATACATTGTTTGATTTTCGCTTAAGGTTTCACGTGCTAAACAAAAAAAAAAGCAAAGCAAAGAAAGAAGAAGACAAAACAAAGGAGGTCAGAACAAAAAAGAGCAGCTTACCTTGTCCACCAAGCACTGGACATTTACAGGTTTTTTCACTAAGATCAGTGCCTGTTCAAGCATCTCTTTTTCTATCTGCCACGGAGTCTATCAGTTCTTTCTGAACATAATGTATGTAGGACTATGCATGTATTGTATGTAGGACAAAATGGGCACACTGAGTGGTGCAAGTTCAATTCAGAAATCAATTCAGAGAAACCAGACATGTGAGAACATAATGTTCACAAACTAACTGATAGACTGGCAAATAGAAAAAGATATGCTTGAGCAGGCACTGATCTTAGTGGAAAAACCTGTAAATGTCCAGTGCTTGGTGGACAAGGTAGGCTGCTCTTTTTGTTCTGACTTTCTTTTTGCTGTTGTTTATTTTGGGGAGTGGTGCGGCCTACCATACATGTTATATATCTACAATACATAATATCCTACAAACACACGTGCAAATCAGATTGCGAGAGCGAACACATGCGCCTGGACATAATGCTAAGAACACGAAACTGCGATGAAGGAGCGTGGCTTTTCCTCTCAGATATGCTTTGATAGAATCATCTTGGCTCCGAACCCATTTTCAAATTCGTGCTAAGAGGGAACCAAGAAAACCAGCCCCTACATTTATATAAAGCAAACCAACAGGAAACACCATGCATATGGCTGTTTGACCTAGTTTACCAAGCGCCCATTCAGTGGGATAAATGCATATCATGCACCTCCCCCCCCTCCCCTCCGCCTCACGGTGCCGCTGTGCCCATCCCGTCCGGACGCATACTAAGCTTCCTGTTGGGCTCGGCTGGCTCGGCCCCCTTTGACCGGCGCTCAGGGTCGGACAATTGTGTTTCAAACAGGTACCCTCCCACCAACTAACATGGAAGTGTGTGTTTCAGAAAGTCCGAAATTCGTGGGTCAAACAGGGACCCTCCCACCAACTAACATGGAAGTGAGCAAAAAGGCCAACTAACCAAGAGGAAAGTCGTCTTTCTACTGGGGTCTGTGCACAAACTGCCATGTTCGCTGGGAGCCCATCGCAGTGGAGACTGTGTTCTGGTCATGTTTCGCAACACCCCTGAAACACCAACAAAAAGGTCCTTGGGCCTTGACACTTTTCTGGTATGACATGGTTGTGGAAAATGTGACAATGGTTTTCCATGACACAGAAAGTCCTTGGGTATGACATGGTTCTGGAAAAGCGCCCCTTTCTGCGGTACTTGGCAATCCCCGTCAAGCCTGAACGCAATACGTTGAGCCAACGCAATCCGTTCTGCCTTTGGCGATCGCCGTTCTGCGCTAGCCCAGTTTTGCGCTCGCCCCCTTTTCTGTCTTCAATCATGAAAAATGAAGACACAAATCGTTGAAACTTCAGCCTGCCTGGAGGGATAGGACCATGGCATTCCTCATCGGCCACCAGCTCTTCCACCGAAACCTTGATTGCGGTGGACGCTTAAAAAGCTCCTCCTCTTCAATGTGGGATGAATCAACACTATGGCAAAATACTATTTCCTTATGCTTGTTATATGGCTGTGGCTCAAAAAACCGGAATTCCAAAATGGCTTGCCCCAAGTGGAAACATGGACAAAAGCCTGCGGTTTGCCCCTGGTTACTTTTGAGCCACACTTGTCTTCACTTTGCAGAACCAGCTGTACGTCGACCTCACTTGTCGATGCAGATACTTGTGACATGCGCAAGCATGTTGCCAGTTGGCTCGTGAGCCAAAGCTCAACTTGGCGCCAAAGCAAGGTCTACTCACCTGCAAACTAACATGGAACCCAAAACCGGGAGGAGTTTTCACTACAAATGAGTGTTTTCTGGGTTCCACGATAATTTGCAGGGAAGTACTAGTCAGTTTTAGAAAGTCTAGGGGCCGCTCTTGCCGCAAGGCCCGGCCTTTAGGTGTTCAAACATCATGAACATCACCAATCATCAAGCTTCAACGCGTTGAGAGAGACTTTTTGTGTCGGTCATGCGCTCCGGCAACGCTGCAAGCACAGTGCTTCGGGTCAGTGCCCAGGACAATGTGCTCTGCATGCAGCTTCGCATGTTTCGGGAACCGAGTTAATCCCCCCTAATCATAAAAAGGCCCCACCCACTCCCCGAGAAAGAACAAAATACATAGGCGATAAAACAATACATGTTTTCCTACAAAAGCACATTCTTCTTTCTTCGGGGGCCGGAAACACCGGTCTGTCCTCTTCGGTCCTCCGAAGAGCGCTCGTCCAACGGAGGTCTCCCATTCCGGGCCCAAAAAATAAAATCGCTCAAACCGGGCATTTCCCTACATAAGGTATTTAAACAGCAGAAATCAGTGACATTTATATTTGGACTCATGTCTTGGTTTAGTTCTGATAAGTGCCAAAATCTTTAGGATGGAAGCAAAGCGCAAAGTGAGGGCAACATAAAATGTGGCCGCTAGACTGGTAAGCTGGGCAAAACGTTTTCGAACCCAAGCCGGTGAGAAGCCAGTGAGTGTGTGTTTCACCCAACATACCCAACCTTTGCGAATATTTTCAAGGGGCTTCCTGGCGAAGCTTGCCAACCCAGTCATGCCAAAGCCGAACCGATCGCCCAAAAGCCCAAGGCCCTCTAAACTGCTCGGCGGACTTCCGGACTTCCAGCCGCGCCGCTTGATGATCCGCATCGGCACATGCCTCGGTGACGTCGACCACTGCCAAGGGGACGTGCATCAGCTCCTCGAGGCTCAGCTGGTCGATGGTGCGACCACCTGACATGCGCATGGCCAACGAGTCGGCCCGAGTCTTCGGACTGGCGAAAAAATCGCAAAATGTGTGTGGGAAGTGCTCCGCCTGGTGTCCGTCTTGAGGAGCAAAGGGAATCCCAGTCGAAATGGATGGCCCTTGAATTTGAGCCTCCCGAACTATTCCCAGCAATCGCTGGGCAATTCGCCCAGTGCAGCAACGCAACTGCTTGCAGCTTTCAGCTGTTGGTCCGAACACGGTGTGTGCAGTGCTTTGCAGGTGCTTAGAGTATGCAACTGGGCTTTACCTACGGGTGCGGCATGAACATGCTTACATCCCGTGGACCAGCTTTTCAGTTTTCCAACATTCCTGCTCTCAGCCCCATGCTTACTTGTTCCTGACGAAGCGACGCCACTTGCAGCGTACTGCCGTACTGTATCTCGACATCTTAAGCATTTCGCACAACCGCCGCTGGCTGATAATTACTTGGCTTGTTGAAGCTCACTCGCCTCAAAAAAAAACCGGCCCTCCCGCGCCCGAACAAGTCAGCCTGCGATGAAGTGCGCCGGGGCGTCCACGTGTGTTCCAGAGCCACCATTGAACTCGAAGGACTGCTTCCCGCCTCAGCGTTCAAGTCAGCCGACCGCTCAGGACATGTCTCCTTTCTGAGGCGCATTTAAGACGACCGAGCCTCGGAAACGTTGGGGAACCAAGCGCCTGGAGGACCGCGCAGTTTTCTTACGTCCAAGGGGTAAGCACGCGCAGCATGGTGATGGATCTCTATACATCCTTGCAATGACTACACATGCCATTGCAATGCGCGGCAGGTCGATAGGGAGAAGCAACAAGCATGTTCGGGAACTCGCAGCGACGGCATGCTGTCTGAAGCTTATTTGCCCACAGCAGTCCACACTTCAATATTCAAACGGCAAAGATGTAACTTGCTGGTGCTCAGTAGGGAATGTGGGAATGACCCCTATAAACCATCCCTTGTGGTTTCCTTTAAGGGAATCCCCAGGTTCATTCCCACATTCCCTACCATCTACTTATCCCACCAGCAAGCGAAAGACTAGGGGGAACCCTTCTTTGCTTGCGAGGCGCGCGCCAAAGGATCACGCGTGGTCTCCGGGCTCTTCAGCACGTTGCGGCGCAGGGCGCAAACGGTCGGCCACACGGGTGAGCCCTCGTGCAAGACCTGGAGGCAGGGAAATCGACCGTGCGAAATCGACTGAAAATAGCAAGACAGTGTTGCCTCGAAATGGGGTGGGGAGAAACCCGAAAAAAGAAACACAACATCAAGGCGACAAAAAGCATCCTCAACGAAGCGAGGAAGACCACGTGGGCTTTGGCATTGGGAGGGACGCTGACAGACTCCTGGAAATACAGTCCTCAAGTCTTCAGCAGATCGGATCTAGCCTTTCTCAAATTCCAGCCATCTCACAAACTCTTCCAGTGAGGATTCTGTGGCAACATACTCAGAACAGCAACATTGATCGATTGAGCTGAGCGAGGCAAGGCTCCAGCGTTCGTTGAGGGCATCTTGAGGTCCGTCAACATGGCCATGGCTCAAAATCCAAATCATACCCCCAGTGAACATCCGATTCAATCCCCCACTAAAATAGGTTCTAAAATGGGTGGTGAATTCCCAATCCAATCAAAATGGGATCCCAAAACGGTTTTGACAACCACAGCCACATCTCAGGTGCTTAGGACTTGCGAGAGGGCCGAGGAGGACTTCAATCCCGACATTCAACACCAGGAAGAGGCAAACAGCAAGTGTGAAAAGAACATAAAATAACAATGGCAACATGTAAGAATCTAATTCTTTTTGGGGAAGCCTCCCCAATTCTTCCTACACACCTTTAGAAAAAGGCAACAACTAGGCCCTCCAGATTTGAGAGCTTAGAATAATGGCACCGTTTCTTTATTCTGTAGTCTATTTTAGTAGGGGAACCCTCCCCAAAAAAGGGGTTAAAAAGGACACCATCCAAGAATCTTATCTAATACTTACCAAGTCACAGCACGAGCTCTAGCACTTTAGCAGACCACCAGTCATCAAGTATTGAACAAGATCGCATGCAACCACTCAAAAACAAAACACACGCAAATGGGTGTGGGTCAAAAATAAGTACCCACAATGGAACCCTGGTAAATGGAAACATGGACTAAAACCTGCGGTCCCTTGATGGTTTAACTGTGACCCATACCCAAATCGACAACAACTGCTGCTGCTGCTTGGACCCCGGGCCCAACCACAGTCCCAGCGCCGTGTCATCACATTCACTGCGTTTACGCCGCGCAACGCGCGTCGCGCCAGCTGCGCAGAAGTGACCAGGCGTGGCAGTGATTTCAATGAGAAAAAAAAACACATGCGCTTTTTGGGTGTACCATCCACGGATCATGTAAACCGATGCAAGTGTGTGCAATCGAACAGCATGAATGATGCCCCCAAATGCAGGTACTGTGGCGAATAATCTTTGAGAATCACCACACCCAAGGTCACAACATGCCCGCATGCCTGGGTGCCGAGACAAGTGAAGAGACTTGATTTGGATTGTTTAAGCAAAGAACCTGCAGTGACCTGCATCAATGAATTTTAAGCAAAGAGCCTGCAGTGACCTGCATCAATGATTTTTAAGCAACGTAGTCTTCATCTCGACCTCCGATGCCTGTTTTGCTGTGTGCGACCGCTCTTGCATCCCTTTCAACTGCAAAGTCGAAAGAACTTTCTCACTTGGCGCGGCCTCAAACGGCTCAGCGAGTTTGCTTTGGATCTTTGGATGCATTGCGCCGAGCAAACACGAAGCACAGACTCGCAGTGATCCCTCTGACCTGCCACGCTTGAAGAAAGGGTCTCGTTGCCCCGGGGTCAGCGAGGGCGAAAAGTTGATGTCTTCGTTTCAGGCAGTTAAGTTTTGCCAGACAAGTTTGCAGAGGCTGAGCTCCATCTGTTTGGCACTTGTGCCAAAACCTGAGTTGAATACCTGCAGTATTCCAAAGCCATGAGCCAAGAACAATAATTCACAGGAAACAGAAAACAACTCAAACATCAGCACCCTTTTTATTCTTTGTACCACGGAAGTTCCTTCAAAACATCCCTTGATTATACATATGCGTTGTGTGCACTTGTCTGCCGCCACTTCTGATTTGCCACGGACTGACTCTGCCGGCCATGTTAAAAGCAAACGATTCCTAAAACCCGCCAGCCTCACAAGCTGACTGCATTGCCGGATAGGCGGCTCACGCACCTGTTTTCGCCCCAAAGATGAAACGCCCGAAAATCCCTAGGCGCCCGAAAACCGTACGCCTCGCCGATCGAAAACTCCAAAATGACCGCTGGAGCCATCTGCTGGGAACAGAATCCAAGGACAACGTGGGACATCGTCTTAGTTGGGCGTTTTCTGGGGGGGTCCAACAAGGCCAATCCTTCCTACCTGCACAGTTTCGTCAACTACCAGTGGCTGCGCTGCACAAAAACGTCGCAGGTTGCAGTCTGACATGCAAAACACAATCCAGGCCACGCAGGACATATGAGCAATAAAGCCAACTCCCAACATATAGCAAAGCAGCATCACTATCAACAACATTGTTTCGGCAGGCGTTTGCCCAAAAAAGCAAATCCAACCAGGCAATTGTTGCGAGATTCTGAAGCAATCAGGATGTACAAAGCGAATGTGTCTCCGTCGGATTGAAAGGTTGAGAATCAAATATGCCTTTTAGAGATTCAGACTCCTCCACAGAAGGGTAAGGCGAGAAGCGTGGTGTGGGCACTGCATTGCAGTAACCCATGGAGATCAACCCGATCCTATGCTAGCGGCTCGCCGGCTCGCCTTTCGCCGGCCAAGCGGCCACCTCACTCCACGGTATCTGGATCCACGCCTTTCCAAGCGTAGCGCGCCCCAGTGTGCCTCATGGCTGCTGCAGAACCAATGAATGCAATCCCCCTTGCGGAATTAATGGGATGTTTGATGTGTTCTTTCATATGCAAGGCCTTTCCTTCACACTCTGGAAGACTTGATCCCGTGCAAGCCCCAACTTCACTAGCCCAAAGGAGCTGGTCACAACCCCAAACAGGCCAGGTGCCAGGCTACCAGGCTAGCATGCATGGGAATGGATGGCCAAGCCTGAAAGTAGCATTCCTCCTCATTGGCACCCACGAAACACTAACCTACTGACCTGTCAGACTTGCAGTCTCTCCTTCGGTCGAGCTATCCAGAGGGGTCTTTTGCCACCTTTTGGGAGAAAATGGGCGACCCCCTCAAAAGGGGAATCCTTCACTACGAGGGAGTCCATCATTTTTCCACGCAAGCTGGCAAAAAGACCGGGATATCTGCTCAATCAAAACAAAACGAAACATCCTGAAGCACTCGTCAAACGAGTTTGACGGTGTCGCAGATGCCAAGCTCTCGACCCCCTTTAGCAAAACTCGGGCAAATGTATTGGTTGCTTCCGCTTGCTTCGGACTTCCTTTGGCTTTGTTTGGGGCTTGGGCAGTCCTCACCCTTGAAGGGACGACGCCAGGCCACGGGTTGAACAAAACAGAGGGGTTGCTTGCCGGCGATCTCTGTTGTTTGGGCAGAAAAGGAATTCGAAGCTTGCCAAAAGAGCATTGAAACACTCTAGCGACCGCAAAGCTAGATGCGTCGCCCAATGATTCAACGTTAGCGTGAAGCCTTGTTGTTTGCATCCTCTATTGTCTGTTGCAATGGCTTTCTGCCCTAAATGCATGATGGACGCAAACCAGGTTTGTTTGCCTTCAATTGTACCAGGTGTTCTCATATTCTCCAGCTGACCTCACCCCAAAGCGGTTGCTTTTTTGTGAGACAGGTGTACTGCTGTAAACGGCCCAAATCGTGTCTTAGGAAGACTCGCGAAATGCAGCCAGGTTTGGCCTTACAAATGTGGTGACGCCATCATGCCTGGAATTCCCCCAATCGCCGGCCTTTCGACCTTTCGCGGGCCTGTTTTCGTTCTCGGGAGCCCAGTGTGTCAAACAAGCTCATGCATGCAATCGACGCCCTTCAATCGACGCCCTTTCGCAGTGCAGGTGAGTGCTTTCGCGGTAGACCCTTATGAAGCTTGACTAGTCAATACGTAAAGGGGCAGGTTACTTAGTACGTGGCTAACAATGGTCTATAACCAGGCTTACTAACCACTTTCGAAATACCCTGCCCATTTACTTGGTTGACGTTGGAAGGGCAGTCAAAACATATTTTTTTCGCAGTCAAGTGGGGATTTCCCACTAAACCACAATAAGCAAAAATGTAAAATGTTTCCCAACAACAACCGTGTTTAAGTCGTCTTGTGCATGCATTTTGGAACGACCCTCGTTGTTTGGGTCGTGCCCCATCCCAGCCGAGCTTCAGCGCGTCGATCGCCTTCATCTCTGCAGCAGACCTCAGCTCTCCGCGTTTTCTTTCGCGTCCAAAAGACCTACACGTGGATGTGTCTGAACATAGGGACACCACAAATTAAATGGGGTTTTAAACCCCCCAAAAGATGGTATCAAAAAAGAGGGGACGCCATAAATTCTGGGTTTCCCCCTGGCTTGCTTCCCTTTAAAACCCCAAAAAGTTTGTGTCAACAAACACAAACCTGCATGTCAGACCCCTGAGCCTGGGACCCTCTCGGTCTTGTGACTCGCGGATGGGACGCCAAGAGGCTCGGCTCTTGGCGACACGAGGGTCCAACAGTCCCAACGGGGCCTTAAAACTCCATAGAAGGAGACATATCATACATATATATATATATATATGTATATGTATATATGTACATATATATATATATATATATATATCTGTCCACCCTTTTATAGAGCCGCTGGGACAAGTCCTCAGTGGGTTAATGTATGTATGTAGTGGTATGAGTAGCTTTAAAATGTATATGTATATATTTTCCTCTCAAGAACGAAAGGAAACTAGATTGTTCACTTAAAAAGTCGTAGCCATTGATCTATGTATTATATACATACGATGCACAAACAATATATATATATATGTATATATTATACACACCGGGCCACCGAAACCTTCGTGGGGACCACCTGGAATTGTCTTAGCCCGGAAATGTAGCCGCTCCATGGCAGGCTGCAGCTTGAAGCCGAAGACATCGGCGTTCTGCTTCATGCGCTCCGGCCGCACGCTCTTTGGGATGATGACGCCTAATGCCAAGGAGATGAGCCGGGCAGGACAAGCCCAGCCCATGCCCTTTTCGGGGAAGCGTCCCATTAAAACAAAATCCTGAAGCTGAGGAGGTTTTTGGGGTGCCGTTCACCAACATCTGAATTTGCGGCTACTAAACCGTAAATTAGGAGGACTCAAGGTCAGGGATTGTCTCACATAATTCACAATATGGGCGATTTCTTTGTTGATTCTCTGCACAACCGCACAAAGGGGACCTAGCCTAACAGACAGGTGTCCATGGTTGGACGAATGGTCACAAGAAGAAGTACAGCTTGTACTAATGCCAAACAAGGTCTACAAGGTCGAATTGCGATAATTGTAGGGAACGATCAAAATATTCTCACGTTGAATTCTGTTCAGAATCATCCATAAGGGTACCTCGCAGCCAAAGTAAAGAGATATATTGTGACTTTGGGCTGATATAGCGGCAGTGTCTATAGCTCAATCAATATTCAATATGTTGATGGTGCCATGACCCTTTCCCATTCCAACAATTGTGCAGACTAGAATCTAGAACCTCGCTTGATGCAGATGGCTTGCCTGCCTAAGAAGATCAGTTCCACTTGCCGACCAAAAGAAACCCTGCCAGCGTCTGTGGCAATACCACGACCATGTGCCAAGCACGGTTTAAAACGCACCCAGTTCCATGCCAAACCGGCACGGAACTTGTTGAATCCCCCTGGCCGTCGTTCCCTGCTCCTTGAACCAGGTCGGAAAATTTCCAAATGCGAGCGAAGAGGCGCTCGCAAAATCACCCCACAAAAACCCATCCGAGAACTGGGTCTGACTCAAAATTTGGAACCCACTTTGAGCCCATCTCTCGTTCTTTTCCACGCCGGGCCGCAGCCCTTCTGCAGCGCCCAGCGTAGCAGCACCTGCAAAAGCGTCGTGTCGAGTGGCAAAAGCGTCGGAGGCCTGCGAGGGGGCCTTGAGTTCTTCGAGCTGCCGCCGTGGTCAGTTCGCCCAGCGATGTAAAACAAAAGGTTTCAGACATTGTTCCCGGCCTCTTGTATGGCTTCTAGGATTATTAGGTTAAGTCCTTTTGCTCTTGAGGCAACTTGCAATGTTGGGCGGATCGAATCTGTGTGGCACCAGCGAACAGGCTCAAATGAAGCCCTCAAAATATCCTGTGGTGCACACCTGCACAGACGAACAATGTTTCCCACGTCAAAGTTTTGTAAGCAGAGCCAGCTTAAAACTGTTGGCTTGAAATAGACCCCTCCAGAGGCGTCATGCGGCCGCGACTGAAAGGGCAGACGAAACAGACACAACAAAGAACGAAACAGACGGGGAACCCCAGCGATCCGCTGCCATGCATAGGTTGATATCATACTCATCACGCGAGTCTGGATGGCTTGCATTAACTACTGTGGTGCTTTGAACAAAATGTTCTTGGAGCAAAAGCATTGCGCTGCCCACTTGCCCAGAGTACCAAATTGGCCACTCCGATCGGAACCGATGCGAACAGTGGCAAATACCTAATCTGGGAGCTGAACAGGTAATTACTAAAACATGGCCAGGTATGTACTTGAAGGCATCACAAGTCTGGGCGCGAAAATCGCGTGGCTCATCTCGCTTTGCGAGTGGATTTCTCAGAAAAGTCGAGACTGATTTTCCCACCACTGAAAAAGTCCAGCACTTCTTGCTTCTTGCGTGCATGTCTGTATGTCTGTGTCAACTTACTCCCGCCCGCTCCCATATGACCACATCAACCACACGGAAACTGAGTCAGAGCACAGTTCTAAGCGTCCACACATCCCCAATTTTTTTAGGGACACCCGCAAATTGTGGCGTTCCCATTAAACTTTCCCTGCAAAACCATCCGACACAAGCAAATAACCCTCAAAACGGTTTCTCTCCATTTCGCTCTGGGACCTGGATCGACCCCGCCTGTGCGCCGGTGACTTTGTGGCCGCTGGCCGCCTTCTGCACCGGCGGAAAGGAGAAGAAGTCTTCCGCCTGTGCCAAGGAGTCTGGGGGTCACAGCCAGCGGTGTCTTTGTGCCACCTGTTGCGCCACAAATGGATCGACCCCCTCGTGGTGAAGAATTCAAATTTGGGTCGCCAATTTTATCACAAAAGCTGGCAAAAAGACATCCCTGGTCGGGGCTCCATGGGCTCGGCCACGCCCCGACAGACGGAACCGTTTGCTTCCTTTTTTTCGAGGCTTGATTGGCTGTGGCTCAAAAACCGGTACCAAAATGGAACCCGGAAGTGAAAACATGGACCAAAACCTGCGGTTTGCCCTTCCTGGTTGATTTTGAGCCCGAACCCAATTGCCGGCATCTGATCAAAACATTGGCAAGCAAAGTAAAAAAGGCTGTGGACAATCCGATCTTTCGGAATCCCTTTGCAAGTGTGTCTCTACAAAGCCGGAAGCCTTTCGTAAGCCAGTACGGATTCAGGATTGCCTTTCAGCCAAGCAGGGAGGGGACGATTTCACCTGTTGCCTTGAGTGAAGACTTTGCAAACAGGGCTTCTCGGGTTCGCACGTGGAGATCAGCTAGAAGAAAGTGATGATGATGACGATGATGATGGTGATGATGATGATGATGACGATGACGATGATGATGATGCTGTTCGTGATGATGATGTTGGTGATGATGATGATGATGAGGATGAGGAGGATGATGATGACGATGACGATGACGATGATGATAATGATGATGATGTTGATGATGATGATGATGGCGATGATGATGGCGATGATGACGATGACGTTGCCGATGATGACAATGATGATGGCGATGATGATGGCGATGATGATGATGATGATGCTGCTGCTGATAATGATGATGATGATGGCGATGATGATGATGATGATGATGATGATGATGATGACGATGCTGATGCTGCTGCTGATGATGATGATGGCGATGATGATGATGATGATGATGATGATGATGATGATGATGATGGCGATGATGATGATGATGATGATGATGATGACGATGCTGATGCTGCTGCTGATGATGATGATGATGATGATGATGATGATGATGATGCTGTTGGTGATGACGATGATGGTGATGATGATGATGAGGATGAGGATGATGATGATGACGATGACGATGACGATGATGATGATAATGATGATGATGTTGATGGTAATGATGATGACAATGATGATGATGATGATGATGATGATGATGACGATGATGATGATGACGATTATGTTGCCGGTGATGACGATTATGTTGGCAATGATGATGATGATGATGATGATGATGACGATGCTGATGCTGATGCTGCTGCTGATGATGATGATGGCGATGATGATGATGATGATGATGACGATGATGATGGCAATAATGACTTTGATGTTGGCGATGATGACGATGATGTTGGATGAAGATGATAACTTGTGGACAACTGCTTCCTGTCGTCATGTCTCCCAACAACTCTCAATGTTTGAAGCTGGCGTGCATCTCTCCCGCGAGCCAACCTTGGCTACATACAAAAAGCTGAAGTTCACCGGTCGCTGAGGCACGTTGTTGCATGCCCGAAGCCGAAATGGCGTGCCGCTGGACACACATGAACAAATATGCCGTTACGAGCATGTCAGAAGTAAAGCTGCCGAATGGGGGGCTTCTGACCTCAAGACACAAGGCGCCGGCAACATCATTGGAGTTCTCCCAAAATAGGTAACCCCTGGAAATGCTTCATTTCCTGTTGATATCCTTTTGAACACTCAGATAGAAAGGAATCCATTGGTTGGAGAATACCCAGCCCCGTTGACAAAGGAGCCAGCCGTGGAACATAGCCCTTTCCTGTGATACCAAACTGGTGTTCCCATCCTCACGACCTTCTGGCTTTACTGATATTATTTTCTCGGTACGACACAAATAGAAACCCTAATCTTGCTGCCCAAAGGGGCCGATTTACAAGCTTTTTGGATCTTGACATCTCTTGACTAAACATGGACCGAAACTGGGAAAAATTGGAAAACACAAGGTCAAAGGTCGGTTTGGGATTGAGAGAAACCCTTCACCAGGCCAAATTTGTTCCGCGGCTATTTCTTGTCGCGCCCTGGCACCTGCTTGGCATCGCCGGAGCCCAGGGAAGCATAGGCTTGGACCTGGATGCCGTGCTTCTGGCAAAAGTCCTGGGAGGAAGGCCAACCAAAAAATCGAATCGGGGGCTACGAAACCAAACCCCATGATGTGAGAATAATCTCTGTAAGTTGTTGGATCCTTAGAGTATGCTTGCTTTGAGGGAGTCAACTGGTGGTTTATTCCAAGACATAAACCTCATGGTGTGAGAAGAACGTTTTAGACTATGCTGCATGGCCTCTAGGCTTGGGGGAGTCAACTAATGACCAGCAGTGTCTTCCAAGACAGCCACACATAAAGGTTTTTGTTTAGGCCAAAACATAACCCACGATTTAAGCCGGATACAAGAACTTCCTACAAATTAGGGCATGCAAGCCTGTGTTCTTAGACCACACGAAAAAACCATGATTGTGGTTTTCCCGTTGGTTTCCCTGGAAAACCACAAAAAACACAGGGGTGGCCCTTCGCCAAGAAAAACCGAGGCGCTAGCAGAACCCATTTTTCGGCCAGGGCTCCAGCAGCTCACTCTGCACCAGGCGCGGGTGGAATTCCACCTGGTTCACCATGGGCCTAACGGAGAAAAAACAAAACAGGGCAAACGGACGGCCGCGCAAATCCGAGGCCGGGAAGTCAGCGACAAAGCCTCCGTTGTGTTTTCTGTTTTTTTTGTCTTTCTTTTTTTCCCAAAAACCCCTCTGGGGTTTAGTTGTCTAACCGCGAGGGAGCGAGGATCGGCAGGGGCTCGACCTGAAGTGTACCATTCTTGCAGCATGCCGTGCAAACGCCGCTGGCCGGGAAATGGCCGCGCTGGCTGAATTGCCGGCAAGAACGGGACCCGTCTCAAGTGTGCCGAGAAGAACAGAATAGGTGGGACTTGGCGGAGGCGGCAAGGATGGAGGTGACGGCTGGATTTGCTACTGCGGATGCAACCAGCGCCGAGGTGACGGGAGGTGCTGGAGGCCGTCGTGCCGGTGGGATTTGGCCCACAGAGGCGCAGCGACAACGAGGCGCGGTCGTTCGTGCGGGTCTTCACAACAACAATGGAGGTGACGGCGGCGTGTGCCGGTGGGATTTGCTTCTGCGGATGCAACCAGCGCCGAGGTGACGGGAGGTGCTGGAGGCCGCGTGCCGGTGGGATTAGTCCACAGAGGCGCAGCGATAACGAGGCGCGGTTGTTCGTGCGCTGGTGGGATTTGGCTCCAGGAAAGCAGCGAGAATGAGCTGGGGTCATCCGTGTGCCGGTGGGATTTGGCTTGGCGGAGGTGGCAAGGATGGAATTCCTGGCGTCATCAAAGAGTTGGTCACCTTTGTGCAGGCTGACTATGCTTTTCAGGAACCCACTGGCAGACAGCTGCAAAGATTTCGGGCCTTTGCTTTCACCCGTGTGAATTTCATCCAACGCTAACAAGATCGGGCAAGCCGTTCACGCCGCGCGCAAGTGCGCGCGCCGCGCGCGCGTTTTTCGATGTGCTCAACATCACATGGAAAGGCGCGCGCGCGCGCGGCGCGCGGCGCGAGCAGGCCGCCGTCCCCTCTGAACCACCTTATAATAAGATAGCCCAAAAAACATTGCAAGCAAATAAGAAGGCAGCCAGAGTGTTGGCTCCTTAGTAGCAAGCGGTGCGTCTGACGTCACGTGAAGCGGCAAAAACAGGCTGCTCCTTCCCCGGGAGTCCAAAGACACATGTTCGCACGAAGTGATGCCCTTCGGACAAGTGCTTGGGAGACGCCCCTTTGCCGAACGCAACTCGCAAGAAGCTCCGAGAAAACGTGACAAACCATGGCTTGTTGCAACGATGTAGTTTCGACTGCCGCGTCCTGGATTCGCATGTCTCTTGCTCAGTCCGATGCTTGCAGCTCAGTGCAAGGCTGCCACCTAACAGCTTTTGCTGCTTGCAAAGACCAGATTGTCCGTGGAGCCCTCAAAGGGGCCATAGCAAAAAGGAATAATCCACGCAGCAATAGCAGCATTGTCGGTCTGCCTGTGTCTCCCACGAGCTCCTGCCTGCAAACTGCTTGGGCAAGCAGTTCGCTGACAGTCATTCACAAATAGTTGTTCGCATCTTGGTTTTTGGGTTCCCCGGCCCTCCTTTTTTTTCCGAAACAAAATTGGGACATGCGTTGAGCAAAACCAGCCCTGGGACCCGAAGGATGCCTGGCATGCCGTGGTTCCGTTTGACCATTTGAATGGTCGTGTGGCCGTTCTCCCGCAACTCGTCAAAGCAAAGCGCGTGGAATGACTGGAGTCGTCTCACTCCCAAGTGAAACCTGGAACAGAAACCCAGGGATGTCCTTCGCCAGGAGAGAAGATGCCATGTCCTCAACGTAAACATGCTTGGTCAGACAGAAGCGCATATGGAGGCTGACTGAGTCTGTGTTTTCAGGTCATGATCTTTCAGGTTCCATGAGAGGATGTCTGTTGAGTTGCCACATTGCACAAAGCCAAGACAAGCACACAAGGTTGCAAAGAGCAAACCGTCTACCCTTCCTAGAAAACAGAAGGTATCTGTGGGAGGGTACACCTGGAAGATCAGTTTCCTTTTAAAGGGACTTGCCAGGCGCCGTGGCAATGGAGGGCGGCCAGGGACACCCTCTCCAAACATTCGCAAAATGACACCATCGGAGGTCCTCTGAAATGAACTATCAGATATCAGACTCTCAGCCCCAGTTGAGTAACATGAATCGCGTGGCCAGGGGGTATCTCTTGGCCCGAATCCACGTCTTCTGGCTCGAATGACTGAAAACGCGGTGTTTGTCTGTACCGCATTAAGCCTGCCAGAAACTTGGTTTGCAAAGCAAACAAGTGCCCCCCAAGCATGGACACGTATTTCTTATTCCCAACTGCCCCCCTCCTTTGGGCGTTTCCATCGCCGGCCTTTTTTTTTGTGTCTCGAGCAACGCCGAGAGCCCGGCTTGATCCTACAGACCTTGAGAAGCTGCTTCAGGTGTCGCACAGAGTAGTTGGTGACACCGATGGCCTGCGGATCACCGCACTATTTCCCTGGCCCCCAAAGCCTTTGCTTTTTCTCTATCCCAAAGTCTGCTTCAAACCATGCCATTGTGGGTGCCCTTACCGTCCGGTGCAGACAGCGAACAAGCAGAGCCTTTCCAGTCTTGTAACACGTGCCTGGCAAGTTTGTGGGCGAGCCGTAACACCCAGCCCCCAATGAGGATGGAGAATGGCTGACTAGGCTTGCCCACTGGTCTTGCACCTCTACAAATGGCCCGCGCCTTCTGTCAAAAGCAGCGACCCAACAAGCGTCGGGTGCAGGCAGCGAACAAGCAGAGCCTTTCCAGCGTTGCAACACGTGCCTGCAAGTTTGTGGGCGAGCCGTAACACCCAGCCCCCAATGAGAATGGAGAATGGCTGACTAGGCTTGCCCACTGGTCTTGCACCTCTGTAAATGGCCCGCACCTTCTGTCAAAAGCAGCGACCCAACAAGCGTCCGGCGCAGGCAGCAAGCAAGCAAAGCCTTTCCAGCGTTGCAACACGTGCCTGGCAAGTTTGTGGGCGAGCCGTAACACCCAGCCCCCAATGAGAATTGGGAATGGCTGACTAGGCTTGCCCACTGGTCTTGCACCTCTATAAATGGCCCGCACCTTCTGTCAAAAGCAGAGACCCAACGAGCGTCCGGCGCAGGCAAAGCAAGCAGAGCCTTTCCAGCGTTGCAACACGTGCCTGGCAAGTTTGTGGGCGAGCCGTAACACACAGCCCCCAATGAGGATGGAGAATGGCTGACTAGGCTTGCCCACTGGTCTTGCACCTCTATAAATGGCCCGCACCTTGTGTCAAAAGCAGCGACCCAACAAGCGTCCGGCGCAGGCAGCAAGCAAGCAGAGCATTTCCAGCGTTGCAACACGTGCCTGGCAAGCTTGTGGGCGAGCCGTAACACCCAGCCCCCAATGAGGATGGAGAATGGCTGACTAGGCTTGCCCACTAGTCTTGCACCTCTGTAAATGGCCCGCACCTTCTGTCAAAAGCAGCGACCCAACAAGCGTCTGGTGCAGACAGCAAGCAAGCAGAGCATTTCCAGCGTTGCAACACGTGCCTGGCAAGCTTCGTGGGCAAGCCGTAACACCCAGCCCCCAATGAGAATGGAGAATGACTAACTAGGCTTGCCCACTGGTCTTGCACCTCTATAAATGGCCCGCACCTTCTGTCAAAAGCAGCGACCCAACAAGCGTCCGGTGCAGACAGCAAGCAAGCAGAGCATTTCCAGCGTTGCAACACTTGCCTGGCAAGTCCCAGCCCCCAATGAGAATGGAGAATGGCTGACTAGGCTTGCCCACTGGTCTTGCACCTCTATAAATGGCCCGCACCTTGTGTCAAAAGCAGCGACCCAACAAGCGTCCGGCGCAAGCAGCAAGCAAGCAAAGCCTTTCCAGCGTTGCAACACGTGCCTGGCAAGTTTGTGGGCAAGCCGTAACACCCAGCCCCCAATGAGGATGGAGAATGGCTGACTAGGCTTGCCCACTGGTCTTGCACCTCTGTAAATGGCCCGCACCTTCTGTCAAAAGCAGCGACCCAACAAGCGTCCGGCGCAGGCAGCGAACAAGCAGAGCCTTTCCAGCGTTGCAACACGTGCCTGGCAAGTTTGTGGGCGAGCCGTAACACCCAGCCCCCAATGAGAATGGAGAATGGCTGACTAGGCTTGCCCACTGGTCTTGCACCTCTGTAAATGGCCCACACCTTCTGTCAAAAGCAGCGACCCAACAAGCGTCCGGCGCAGACAGCAAGCAAGCAGAGCATTTCCCGCGTTGCAACACGTGCCTGGCAAGCTTGTGGGCGAGCCGTAACACCCAGCCCCCAATGAGAATTGGGAATGGCTGACTAGGCTTGCCCACTGGTCTTGCACCTCTATAAATGGCCCGCACCTTCTGTCAAAAGCAGAGACCCAACGAGCGTCCGGCGCAGGCAGCAAGCAAGCAAAGCCTTTCCAGCGTTGCAACACGTGCCTGGCAAGTTTGTGGGCGAGCCGTAACACCCAGCGAGAATGGCTGACTAGGCTTGCCCACTGGTCTTGCACCTCTATAAATGGCCCGCACCTTGTGTCAAAAGCAGCGACCCAACAAGCGTCCGGCGCAGGCAGCAAGCAAGCAGAGCCTTTCCAGCGTTGCAACACGTGCCTGGCAAGTTTGTGGGCGAGCCGTAACACCCAGCCCCCAATGAGGATGGAGAATGGCTGACTAGGCTTGCCCACTGGTCTTGCACCTCTGTAAATGGCCCGCACCTTCTGTCAAAAGCAGCGACCCAACAAGCGTCCGGTGCAAACAGCAAGCAAGCAGAGCATTTCCAGCGTTGCAACACCTGCCTGGCAAGTTTGTGGGCGCGCCGTAACACCCAGCCCCCAATGAGGATGGAGAATGGCTGACTAGGCTTGCCCACTGGTCTTGCACCTCTATAAATGGCCCGCACCTTCTGTCAAAAGCAGCGACCCAACAAGCGTCCGGTGCAGACAGCAAGCAAGCAGAGCATTTCCAGCGTTGCAACACGTGCCTGGCAAGCTTCGTGGGCAAGCCGTAACACCCAGCCCCCAATGAGAATGGAGAATGGCTGACTAGGCTTGCCCACTGGTCTTGCACCTCTATAAATGGCCCGCACCTTCTGTCAAAAGCAGCGACCCAACAAGCGTCCGGCGCAGGCAGCAAGCAAGCAGAGCCTTTCCAGCGTTGCAACACGTGCCTGGCAACTTTGTGGGCGAGCCGTAACACCCAGCCCCCAATGAGGATGGAGAATGGCTGACTAGGCTTGCCCACGGGTCTTGCGCCTTCTGTCAAAAGCAGCGATCCAACATGCGTCCGGTGCAGAAAGCGAACAAGCAGAGCCTTTCCAGCGTTGCAACACGTGCCTGGCAAGTTTGTGGGCGAGCCGTAACACCCAGCCCCCAATGAGAATGGAGAATGGCTGACTAGGCTTGCCCACTGGTCTTGCACCTCTGTAAATGGCCCGCACCTTCTGTCAAAAGCAGCGACCCAACAAGCGTCCGGCGCAGGCAGCAAGCAAGCAGAGCCTTTCCAGCGTTGCAACACGTGCCTGGCAAGCTTGTGGGCGAGCCGTAACACCCAGCCCCCAATGAGAATTGGGAATGGCTGACTAGGCTTGCCCACTGGGTCTTGTTCTGCACCTTCTGTCAAAAGCAGCGACCCAACAAGCGTCCGGTGCAGACAGCGAACAAGCAGAGCATTTCCAGCGTTGCAACACGTGCCTGGCAAGTTTGTGGGCGAGCCGTAACACCCAGCCCCCAATGAGAATGGAGAATGGCTGACTAGGCTTGCCCACTGGTCTTGCACCTCTGTAAATGGCCCGCACCTTCTGTCAAAAGCAGCGACCCAACAAGCGTCCGGCGCAGGCAGCAAGCAAGCAGAGCATTTCCAGCGTTGCAACACGTGCCTGGCAAGCTTCGTGGGCAAGCCGTAACACCCAGCCCCCAATGAGAATGGAGAATGGCTGACTAGGCTTGCCCACTGGTCTTGTACCTCTATAAATGGCCCGCACCTTCTGTCAAAAGCAGCGACCCAACAAGCGTCCGGCGCAAGCAGCAAGCAAGCAGAGCCTTTCCAGCGTTGCAACACGTGCCTGGCAAGCTTCGTGGGCAAGCCGTAACACCCAGCCCCCAATGAGAATGGAGAATGGCTGACTAGGCTTGCCCACTGTGCCTGGCAAGTTTGTGGGCGAGCCGTAACACCCAGCCCCCAATGAGAATGGAGAATGGCTGACTAGGCTTGCCCACTGGTCTTGCACCTCTGTAAATGGCCCGCACCTTCTGTCAAAAGCAGCGACCCAACAAGCGTCCGGCGCAAGCAGCAAGCAAGCAGAGCATTTCCAGCGTTGCAACATGGGCAAGCCGCAACACCCAGCCCCCAATGAGAATGGAGAATGACTAACTAGGCTTGCCCACTGGTCTTGCACCTCTATAAATGGCCCGCACCTTCTGTCAAAAGCAGCGACCCAACAAGCGTCCGGTGCAGACAGCAAGCAAGCAGAGCATTTCCAGCGTTGCAACACTTGCCTGGCAAGTTTGTGGGCAAGCCGTAACACCCAGCCCCCAATGAGGATGGAGAATGGCTGACTAGGCTTGCCCACTGGTCTTGCACCTCTGTAAATGGCCCGCACCTTCTGTCAAAAGCAGCGACCCAACAAGCGTCCGGCGCAGGCAGCAAGCAAGCAGAGCATTTCCAGCGTTGCAACACGTGCCTGGCAAGCTTCGTGGGCAAGTCGCAACACCGAGCCACCAACAAGAATGGTTGACGAGCGTTGCCACCCTCGAATTTGTGGCAATCGGAAAATCGATACTTTCCAGTGAGGTCATTTTGAATTCAGAGAGGACCCAACGAAGAATGCCCCTGGCTCACCGCTCCAGGGTGCCAGGCCCCCAGTGATCCCCTGGCTTCTTTTTTTTTTAAGAGACACCATGCGCTCTGGGCACCATTTCACGGTGACCTCGCGAAGTAACACCACCCAGCATAATTCCGTCCCCTCTATTAATTGATCCACCCTACGAACGGTGCTCCCAATGCTACATTAGAAGTAGCCAGTGCTAAACAATCTTGAAAAAGGCAAGTGTCCCGCCCAGTTGTACTAGGGAACTCTTTTGAACAATACTCAATCCATTCAACCCAATTTCAACCAACTTCTACGAAAACTACGAAAACAAAACCTTGCTTTTGTCTGAAAAAAGTTAAGTACTCGGAGATTTGCATTTTGAACGATTTGGGCCTGGAACGTGGGGACTCAAGAGGGACCCCATTTAGACGAGGACCTTACCCTACTAAGAAAACTGGCGAACATGTTCACAAGGTGCTTCCCCAATGTAAAAGAAACAAGCACATGAACCAAGGATCTCAACATCTCGAGCCATCAGCCTACATCTACCCCTTGGCTAGATCCTCCCAAGCACGCCCCGCCAGCTGATGCCTTCACCAGGCCCTGCTCATACAAGTCCTCCATGGCACGCCAGGTGCCAGTGTCCCGCATTGCAGTGCTCCAGTCAGGAGGGCAAATCTGGCCTGGACATAAAGACCGCCCCAGAACCCAGCTGGGCAACCAAACAAAAACACGCAGAACGATGATCCCAAAAGGAGAAACCAGGAAATGGCGTTCCTTGCCACGCCAAGAAAAAAACACAAAGCTTCAAATAGTCCAGTTCTGCTTTTGCACGTTCTGCTCAGCCTGCTTGTAAAGACCCTCAAATACTGTGGTAAAAGAGTTAGCCTTTCAATTCGACGTCGTGCAGCTATTCAAATTTCTAAGGCTCAAAACAAAGCCTGGGCCAGTTTGCATATTCATATAACCGCAATGTTATATGACCGCAATGTTCTATCCACATATCAAGAACAAATCAGCACGACCCGTCACACTGCGGACATGCTCTTTACATGCTCCTGTCGGTCCTTTGGTTTAAGGCTCGAGAGTCTCATTTTGAGCAAGCATCACATTAGCATGGACCCATTGTTTTTCCATCAAAGTCGAGTGACAGGTGTGTGCGTGTGTGTGTGTGACCAGGAAGCGCAATAAATCGAACGTGGATCAAGTCCGGGTTCCCGGAACAAAGTGCTTCATCACGAATTCAGCACAAGGCAGTCCCAAGTTGCGATTTCCAGCCGCCTACAAATTGCCGCCAGTCTCATGTATTGATCTCAAGCGCTCTTCACAAAGCAAATGTCATTCGTATTCCTTCGCGCAGCGAAGCCATGTGCGTCATTCGTGAGAGAACCTTAACTGAACGCAAAGACAAACACATATCTCAAATCTCCGTACACACAATTCTCGGAGTTGTGCACACACCACTATCCCAAAACCCCAAAACTATCTTCTTGCCGGCGCAACTCGTGCCTTGCTGTTCAGTGACCCTGGTACAGGAATAACCCAAGGGGAAAGCCATAATTACTACTTTACACGAGACAGGGAAGCTCCCTTTGGGGTTTACCAGCTGTACCCGTCGTATTCTTGGTGAAGCCGAACTGGGACCTGAAAAACCCCTCCGGCCTCGTTTCAGTGGCCAGCCCGTTTTCGGCCCAGGCCAGTGGATCACGTAGAGGTCAATGTATCCCCCGAGCTTCCGCAAGGATTGCTTGCAAGCCTGAACCCATCTTCCAGCAGGAACAACTGCACGAGAAAGCCGAAAGCGGCTTCCCACCCGCAAAAAAAAATCCGCCAGACCAGGACAGATTCAAACAACCATGAAGTGCATCAAGGCAACACTTACGACATGTGTTTTGTCGGCATTTATTCCATAAAAGCAACTCCTGTGGCAAAAAAGGAGCCTGTCGGCAACAGTGGTATACCAAACGAAGGTAGCTGTGTTGGGATCTATTTCATCGGCCGCATCGGCAAATAAATCATGGTGCATGCAGTCACGTCTGATTTGGTCGAAGTGCGAGCAGCGAGCAAGTGGCCAAATCACGTCAAGGGCGACCAACGTGCTACCTTGCCTTGCCTCTTGGTTTCGAATAGCAAGGAAAAACTGGTTAAAACGGGTCCATGTATATTGATGTAAAGTAATGTGGCAACACAAACACAAGCCTTTGAGTCGGCCTAAGTTCGTCAATTGACAATGATGCACGCTACTTGAAAACTGAGCTCAGAATTGACATGTGAATTCAATGGCCCCGAGCTCAATCCGTAAGCCAAACAGCTCCATCTCTGTCAGCTGTCAAACCAAAGTCTGGGGATCCGGATGCGATACATTAGTCTCATAGCCCCGGCCGATCATGTCTTGAACACGGCCTGCGCTGGCCAAAAAATAAATAAAAATCCTGCACGACATTGGCGGCAGGGCCGGTAGGCTGGGCGTCGTCATGGATCCCTGCACTCGAAACTCAGCGCCTTCATGGTCCTGTCGTAGCCGTGGCTGGAGCGCCAGACCTGACGGGGCCCGCGCGATGTCACGAACCAACGCTCAGGGAAAGTCAGCTCAGCTGAGCACAGCGGTTTGGCAAAAGAACGCAAACTGGCGGCTACAGGGAGGGCGAGCCCTCCAAAAATGGCTCGATTAATACTACAGCTGTTTCAAGGCCGTTTGGGGTGAGATGGAATAAGTCTGGTCCAGGGCAGCATGGTGTCTGGTGATTTGAGTTGGTAGGCACGCGCTCTCATTCAAAGCAAGTGGGTTCAATCTAATCCCATCAAAGCGGGGATACGCACCATCTTCGTTGCTTTCAATGCAACATGACAATCGCTTGTGTCGTCTGCAGTCTCCTCTCAAAGTTTAGCAGTCTGGGCTGCATTGACAAAGTGAAGCCGAGGGAATGAATGCCCACATTGTCTGCTATTGCTACAATGACGCCAAGGAGTTCAATGGATTTCAAATAAATATTGATACTCGCTTTTGCACAAGGAAGCCGAAGAATGAACGGACACACCTGTCACCCGGCATGCTCGGCAGACCGCAAGCTCGTGACTCCATGAGGCTATATGCCTGCTGGCTGATGGATGGTACGATTGCTTCCCTGAGCATTTTCATCACTGACACTGAATGCATGGCCACTGGCCACAAAACGAAAAATATGAGATTGCAACATCGCTTTTCCTCGAACTTGCGACTTGAAAAGACTAAAACTAAGAATTGCTTCAAAGTTGTTCTTACCATTGTTAATTGAGGTGGAAGCCAACCGCAAAGTGGCCCAATGACTCTGGTAGAAAGAGTTGGAACACGTTTTGGGTCGGTTCTATTCACGGACCAGTTGAAATGGAGAGGGAAACACGCTGGAACCGGGTAAGATGGTTTCCACTACCCCCAAACCACTACCCTAATCTCGTTAGTAGCAATCAAATAGCATACCCAACCAACAGGTGCAGCTAGACAGCAAATTTCAACATTTCCCAATACATGTTACATGGGTGGGCCACAATTGAGAATCCATGTGCTAACTTTCCTCACAACGGGATCTAGAGCGACCACTCTGTCCCGGTTTGGGTGTCTATCGAGTCCGTCCTTGGTCTCCACAAAGACATCCTCTCTCGCCAGCCCGGACTGCTGGATGGCTTCGCCTGAGTAACAAGAGCTGTTGGTCGCCGCCGAAACCCCGCATTTGCTTAAGTCCCCTGGAAAAACATAATATTTCCAGTAGTGATCGATTCCCTTTCAAGCCAACAGGGGGGATTCCCCCCCAAAAAAAAACCCGGGGGACATCAAAAAAGCATCCCTCACCAGCTGGAAGAAACCGTTTGGCGGGAACCGCTCAACCACAGCCCCATGAGCTCAGATCCTATGGCCTCGTCTTTCTTGAGGGCACCCCTTGGCTTTAGAGGAACCCCCCGAACGGACCGCTTGGCCATGCTGGTCCCCGAAAAAAGACTTAACACCCAAAGGGGTGTTAAAATGTTCAAATGCGCTTTCCAGATGTCATGTGTTCGACCGATATGTCCAGGATACCTCCACTTCGCGCAGATGCAACACGCAAGAGTCAAAAACCAAGATGTGAAGGAAACACCCCCATTGACCTGCTGGCAGTCCTTTGCAGTGAGCAATAATTTGGTATATCCCGGTTATATCCCAGCCATCTCTTATCCATGGGTTTCCTGGGTTTCCTACCAGCAGCAGATCGGCCCGATATTTCTAGTCGAGGCAAACCAGGCCGGCTCTGCTGAAGCTGTAGGTCAATTCGCAACCAGAAAGTGCCATGAACAAACGAATATGTTGCACTCGAAACGCAACTGTGTTCACTGGGAAAATACACGGTGCCGTCACTCCTCTCTTGTAGCCAAATTGCCGACTCCCTTCTCGTTCTCATAGACCTGCGCCCGGTCTAGAAAGACTTGCACGTTCTTGCAGGGATGCGATTGAGCTCGAATGCGCTCAAAAGGAGCATCAAACATCAAAGACGTAAACCTTTCCCATTTCCAACAAGTTAATTCTTAACAGCCTTCAAGCTGGCCCGATTGCGAGGCTCTGTCACTTCCGTCACCGAACAAATCGCAACACTTGCCAATGGTGTCTGAAACCATGTACCAGGAACGTCTGGCTGTATTTATCACTATTGTGGCTGGATCCTGAAGACTCCTGGAACAAAACCAGAACCAGAAACCAAAGCATGTCAATTCCGCTTATCCCCCTCCAGAACCACTTTCCCCAAAGGCCAGCCCGACAGTTGTTGACATGATTGCCATGTATTTAGAGTCAACACACAGAAGGCGAATCACACATTGTGTGCCATCTCAGTGGGCAGTCAGAGTCGAACATCAAAAAAGTTCCTGCTGCCATGTTAAATTGGCAGGACCTGCTCCGAATTCATGTTGTACGTTTGTGAGTGTAAACACATCAGTTGCAGACCTCTGAGAGTCCACGAATGTAGGCTGTACGAGTACCTCATGATCTGCCTGATCATGTTGCTTGCTTTGAGCCTTTGCTAGCTGACATGAGCACGCAACACATCTCAATGAAGGCAAACACGCATAAGCATGCATAAGCAAACCAACACATAGCAACTGACTGCATGTCAACAACTTCTTTCGCGTGTCAAAGGCAGATTCACAAGATGCTGCATTTACAAGTAGCATACTAGCCCCTTGATCAGGGTCTCGTCCAAGCGGAAGCTGGATGCAATGCTGCAAATTGGTCTGCTCTGCGATCACACCGAGATGGGTACCCGAAGGACCAGCCTGATGGGAACCACCGGGTTTTCAATATCTGCAATAGCTTCCAACACTGCAATGTGCTTGGACACTTGTGGAGCATCGCTCAGAAACATGGCAAACCCACCTGAAAGCGGAGCGAGCAAAACCACATTATACATGCCGTCATGTCAACATCCAGCTCATCGCAGATGCTAGCAGCAAGCAGGCCGCCTAGGCAGGAAAACCAAGCACACCAGAACAGCTAGTGAAACCAAGAACCAAACAAGCACTCAACAGCACACATAATGTACAACACAGCGTAGCAGCAAGCAGGCTATGCGGCAAGCAACGCACAAGAAAGGAACGAAACAGGCGCCTCCCTCCCCTCTCTGTCCTCTTCCGGTCCAAGCCATATTCTGGTAATTTATGTTTAACTCACATATTTCGGCACAAAATCCGCGGACCCCACTTCTGTGTTTCAGTGTCTGCTAGGGCAAGCTCTCAAAGTCCCATCCAATGAGCAAAGGCAAGAAACTATTGGTGGAGGGATTATTGAACAATTCAATTACTGCAAGCAAAGAACACCCTAGTTGAGGACCTGGATCATGGGTAGAGTGAGTAACAATCAACTAGCGTACCCCAACCCATAGGTCCAGTCAGACATTCAGATGTTTCCCAGGAAATATGTGGGCGAACAGGAAATCCACAGGCCTCGCTCCAAACAAGAGTTGTTCCAGCCCCTCCGAACTTTTTCGGAGCGCATGTGGCACGTAAACCGAGACGGTAGAGTGTGTGTGTGTGTGTGTGTGTGTGTGTGTGTGTGTGTGTGTGTGTGTGTGTGTGTGTGTGTGTGTGTGTGTGTGTGTGTGTGTGTGTGTGTGTGTGTGTGTGTGTGTGTGTGTGTGTGTGTGTGTGTGTGTGTGTGTGTGTGTGTGTGTGTGTGTGTGTGTGTGTGTGTGTGTGTGTGTGTGTGTGTGTGTGTGTGTGTGTGTGTGTGTGTGTGTGTGTGTGTGTGTGTGTGTGTGTGTGTGTGTGTGTGTGTGTGTGTGTGTGTGTGTGTGTGTGTGACATCCAGGCTGCTGTTGGGCGGGTTCAGTGTTGACTTTGTGTGGAATTGGGGTTGGCCCGGAGCTGATTTATGTTGGCTGTGCTGCTGGTTAAGCGGTGCCTTTCTGATTGCTTTAGGGAGTTGTGGGCTACCTTTGCCAGGTCCTCCAGTACAGAGGATAGAATAAGAGAACCAACTGTTTTTTCTGTAGTCCATTTTAGGGGCTTGCGAACCCACGCCACCAAAAAAGAAAGGGGTGAGAAAGGGCACCAATTGCTGGGGGACCTAGACAAGGAGCCCAACACATTTCCTTGGAACAGAAGCCCTGGATCTTCCATGGAGCCAAGGAGTTTGGGAAGGATAAGCCAAGGTAGGAACCAAAACGGGCCAAACACCTCCTCCAAAAGCTGAGACCGAACCAACTCCCCAAGTCCCATCACAGCCCACCTGCGCCGTGTCCACGAGGCGGTAGCCCAGCTTGAGGGCATTCTTCACGGGGCCAAGGACCTCCGCGCTGGAGAGCTTGTAGGTGCCTAGAGCAGCTTCGCTTTGTTTCGGGGGGGCAATAGAAACCGGGGCATTGTTCTGTGTGTGTTGTATGCATGTGGCATATAGTGTCTATATGTATATCACAATATGTATATATATATATATATGGTACCCCCCCCCCCCCAAACCTAGGTTTTGTGTGGGGGGGGAGGTCAGCACACTGGTAAATTCTGCATAACAAATTGAAAAAACCTTTGCACAAATTCATGTTGTTGTCCCATTTATGCAGTGAGCACACAACTCCAGAAACATGCATCTTAGCAGCACCAAATGCATGTTTCTGTAGAAACTAGAGCAAAAACCCTGGAAAATGACGATTTTCCTATTTTGGTAGTAAAAGTGAACAAATACAAAGGAACAGAAACCAAGCAAAGTAAAACAATAAAACAGTAAACAAGTAAACAAAAAGTAGAATATCTGGACCCATGAAAATAAAAATCAAAAGTAAAAATGTAAAGCGTAAAAAAGAAAAAAGTAACATATCTGGACTCATGAAAAGTACGAAAAAGTAAAACCGCCAAAAGTGAAAACGACTAGAGTTTTTTTACGTTTATTGCGAAAAGGTAAAAAGACTAGGGTTTTTTTACTTTTATTGGGAAAAAGTAAAAAAGACTGGGCTTTTTACTTTCTATTGGGAAAAATAAAAGATGTGGGTTTGTTACTTTTTCCCAACAAAAGTAAAAATCCCTAGTATTTTTTCTTTTGGTGGTTTTAATTTTTTACTTTTCATGAGTCCAGATATTTTACTTTTTTGCTTTTTTACTTTATATTTTTCCCGAACGCGTAGCAGAATGGTTTCCGTTTAGAGGTCGGGGGTCTGGGGGTTAGGACGTGACCTGGAGTCGTTGAATTTACGTCCCCAAGCGTTCGTATGTGTTCGCGAGTGTCGCGCTCGCAGCTCCAGTGGGGAAAGCGAAAAACGTGCCATTTAGATGACTTGAAGCGTGTCATTTTTCGTGCCCCTGTGCGGGAATCGTAGCCTCTCAAGCTCGACGTGTCGTTTCGCTGCGCAGGCGCAGCGTTTTGGAAGGCTGCATGTTCCCGTTGCCGCGCCAGTGGGATTTGCTTTGAGGTGTCCTACTTGGCAGGCGCGTGATAGTGTTTGCGCCAGCGCCGTTTTCGTTGGCCCCGTCGTACAATCGGCTCGTTTTGGCGGCTTGAAACATGTCAAAATTGGTCGAAATCATTCTGGCGCTACAGTCCCGCGCTGGCTTTCTGCATGCGATGCACGAGTGTCAAATTCTGACTTCGTGGCAGGCGCAGCTTTTTGAGCCTTTTGCATGTCGCTGTAACGCGATTTTTCGTGACAGGTGCAGCACTTTAGAGCTTTTCGTGCAGATTTCGCGGCAGGCGCAGCACTTTAGAGCTTTTCACGCAGATTTCGTGGCGGGCGCCGCACTTTCCAGCTTGCGTGCAGATTTCGTGGCAGGCGCAGCACTTTCGTTGGGTCGAGCCGCTCTCGCTGTGGCGCGGCGCATTTTCAGCACGCAAAGTGACCCCTCTGCGTGCTTTGGGTGGGTCAAATCGCGCGCAAAGTGAACCCTCTGCGCGCTTTGGGTTCTCGCTGTGGCGCGGCTCACATTTTGAGATTGCAAAGTGACCCTCTCGCACTTTGGGCGGGTCGGGTCGCTCTCGCCATGATCGCAAAGCGAACCCTCTGCGCACCCGGGCTGTGGCGCGGTGCACATGTTGAGATCGCACAGTGAACCGTCTGCGTGCTTTGGGTGGGATGAATCGCTTTCGCTGGGCATTTTGAGATCGCGAAGTCGTGACGAAACACGTCAGGGTGTGACACGAAACGCGGGTAGGGTCGTGGCTAGAGACATGAGACAGACCACGAAAGGCAGGACGGGAGATGTGACGGAGTTGTGACGCGAGGCGCGTCGAGAAACATGATGAGAGATGTGTTGGAAGTGATGACGAGAGACGGGAGCAGAGTTGTTACGACAGACGTCGCAAAGCACGTGACCAAAGACGTGACAACAGACGTGACCAGAGGTGTGAGGATGGATGCGAGAAGAGGAGAGCCGTGACGAGAGACGTGACGAGAGATGCGACAAGATCCGTGACGAGGATCGTGACGCGAGAGGTTACCAGAGACGGGATGGCAAATACGAGAAGAGACGTTTGAGAAGAGACGTGGCGAGGGTCGAGACGTCTTTCTTCCTCTTTTGGCCGTGTCTTGCTGGCTTGTGGGCCCGGGTGTGACCCCGAACTAGTTCCCTTCTTTCTCTTTGGCTGTCACTGCCCCCCCGTCGCGCTGGCCGTCTTGGGTGTTTACTGCCGGTGTGAGGCAGCGGGCCCCTGTGAGTGTGACTCCGCAGGCTTCCGTCTTCTTGCGTGTGTAGCCGGTGTGATCTGGCTGCCCCCGTACGTCATCCTGCCCGCAGGACTCATGGACCTGTGCGCGGAAGGTGCTTTGCTGGAGGGCAGCGATGCGTCGAGCGTTGCGTCTGCCAGCGAGGTGGACCGCTTGGACCTCCAAGTTGGCGCAATGGAACAGCTCCCTCGCTTCTCTGGCACGTGTCTGGGTGACTGCGTGTCTTGGAAGGGGTCAGCCACCTTGCTTTTTGTGTCGTTGCAGTCCGGCGGGTCTGGATGCGATCGGTGTGACTGGGGCAGGCATCTCCCGACGTTATGAAGGGGTTCCTTTCCTATTCTGTTGTTTGTTTTTGTTCTTCTTCGCCTGGTTGGTTGACATTCATTTGGGGAAGAGTTTTCTTTCTTTCCCCCCAGTTTGTGGTTTAGAGGGAAAAACGATTTCACTGGACATATTTGTCTCGTTTTTCCTGCTGGGGACGAAAAGAATGGAGGTAGGTCTCAAGACCGAGGTTGACATTCTGGACAAGATGCAGGATCCCCCGCAGCCCAGAATCGCTTCCGTGGAGTGGTCTATCAAACATACTGTGGAGTGTTGCGGCATCCATTTCGCACCACCTGAGAAACCCGAAAATCAGTCGATTCCCTTGTACAACCCAACCAACAATGGTTTCCTAAAGTTTCCTATAGTTTGAAAGTGGTGCGAAATGGATTTCGCAACCATCCACAGTATCTACCAGCAACATTTGGATTGGAGGGCGGCCTACAGAGAAGTAAACTTCTCTGCGGTCCGAGCAGTCCCTCCACTGTCGGGTCAAGGGCACTGCTCCGCAAACGTCATAGCAGGCCTCACCGCCAGCTTCTGGGCGCCCATGTGGCCAAGTTGCGCGATAGCTTATTGATCTCCCAAACCGGAAATGTGGTTGGAATCAGATCATCTATATTGTCTGTTTCTACTGGTTGAGCGGGGAATCAGAGGGGGTGGAGCTAGAGGAGCTCGAGCTACTTGTGTCAGAGTCGCTGCTGCCTTCGGCAGCATCAACTTGCACCATGGCGTTGCCTTTGCTGCTTCTGCCGGACAGATGCAAGCTGCCGCTCGTACTTTGCCAGCTTTCTGTCCAGCGTGGTCGGTTTCGGAGCAGCTTCTGCATCTTCATTTTGATGTGATTCCAGGGCTGCCATGCGCGCAAGCAACGCATTGCGATCGCCTTCCTTTGCCATCTCGGGTTTGCATAGTATCCACGCCGCCAGCTGCGCTCTGTCTTTGGAATGGCCACTCTTGTCACAACCAAGTCGAAGGCAGCGTCGGCTTTGCGTGGCAAAAGCAGTTCTGCCACTGCAAATATCGACTTCGAGGACCGCCAGTGTAGCCTACCTGCACACAATATGTCTTGCTTAGTCCTTATTTGCAGACTCGTGTCAGCCTTGAAGTAGGTAGCCGGCTTCCCCTTGCTGTCCCAGAGCTGCACCACATATCGCGTGCCACCGCGTGAAGGGGGATTGCTTTGCATGTCCCCTGCGCGCCATGCTTCAAGGTGCCTAAAAGGTTGTCCACTGTTTTCAAGCAGCAATCCTTTTTCATTGTTGCTGACTTCACCCAGCGGTTGCAAACTCCGAGAAGAGCATCAACTTGCCCCTTACCATGTTTTTCGCAGTGGTAGCTGACTGTGCGGTAAGGCGGTCCACAGTCAAACCACATGTAAATGCTTTTGTATTTTGATAGTGGGCCCAAAGCACGCTTCATCTCGTCCATCTGCTCGCAGCACGCTAAACATGTGTGGTCGATGATTTGTGACAGAAACACCATGCCTATCCTTTCAGGTTCTTGGCTGCGACGACCAACATAGGCAACGGCTCCTAGGCATGAAATCTCGCATCTGCTTTGAGCCCAGTACATGTCATTTGTGGAAACACTGGCAAGCGGGAGCGTCCAATTGCCCTTCCAGTCTACCCATAATAGCAATTCGTGTTCTTGCAGGGAAGTGCATTCTCGCCTGCATTCTTCAGACTGTCTTTTTGCAGATTCTTTGTGAAACTCATGCGCTCTGGCAACCTTCTCCAACCATTTCAGTTCGCCCCCGAACTTGGCCTCTAACAGATGCAAATTGAAAATGAGGGAGCACTGCTTTGTGGCTTGCGTTTCTTGTCTGTGATCTTTGCAATGCGTGTTGAGATACAGCAAGTACTTACGAAGCAAGCCAGAGACGCAGATGGTTGCCACTCTCCTTGCGAATGTTGGAAATATGGCGCATACTCGCGCGTCAGGCGCTCCCGCATCTTGTCGATGAACACCTTGATCTTCCTGGGCCGGGGCGCGCAAACTTCCGACACAAAACCTTCGCCAGGGTTTGGATTTCACAAGGAACCCATTGTCAGTTCGGGTATGGGGGGGGGCGCCTCAAAAGCAACAAGCACATCTTGAAGTCTCTGATAGGAACTCCGGATCCTTTTTTGTCTGGCGCAAAATCATATCTGCAGTCAAGGCTCTTCATAACAACAGTTGAAAGTTTCGCAGTGGTCACAATAGTTAGATAAGCTGCCGCCAAGCTTGATGTGCGGACACTGATCCCGAAGAATTAGCAAAAAGGTGCTGTAAGAAACTGCTTTGAGCAAGGCCTCGGTCTGCCGGTAAACTGAATGTGGAAAGCTTGTCCAGAGCAGCAGAAACACTGGATGGGCTGCCGTTTCACCGGGCAACTTCGCCATCATGAACTTGGCACTTTCCTGCGAGTTTGCTTCTGCCGCCAACCTGACTAGCTGCTGGCACTCTGGATCTGCACGTTTGCTCCGGCGCCCCCGCATCGCTAGGGCTGTTTTGCTGCCAGCCTTGGCTGCTTTCCACGTTTGCCGGGACAGCGCGACTCCTTCCTTTGCCGCTTTGCGTCGGTTACGGAAGCCAGCCTGCAACGCAGCCTCTGCCATGGCTGTTCTGCAATCCCCATGCTTCACAAAACTTGCGTGCCCGCAAAATGCGCGCAGCGTGGCTGACAAGGCACTGCATTTGCAATTCACTTGCGAGCGAGCTCTTGGAGGACCAGAAGGTGATCCTCCACACGGACGCCGCGAAGTCCTACAAAACAAAGATTCGCGGGGTGTGGTTCATTGCAAGAAGCGGGTGAAGAAACGTCAAGATCGTGAAGCATAAGGACCCCAAGACAGGGAAGGTCAAGGCAGGGACGCAGGTGATCGATCGTGCATGGAGGTTCTTAGAGGATCGCATTAATAATCCTAACCAGCATGCTGCCGTGGGGACTAAGGTCCTGAGGTCCACGATTCGGTCTGCCCAATATGAGTATTGGCTGAGGAATCAAGACCTGTGGCTGGCGTCTGGTGATTTGTGCGCATAGCCAAGTGAGTTGCGCAAGATGGCAGAAAACAAATACCTGTGGTGCCTCCATGTTGTAAGTCATCTATCAGGGCACTGTCTGTCTTCACTTCCGTTCTACCTCATCTGTTCAATCAACTAAAATGACACTTCCTCAATCCACTCTGGCACAAATCCATTTGAAGAGTGATGAAACCAGATGGCAGAAAACAAAGACCTGTGGTGCCTCCATGTTGTAAGTCATCTATCAGGGCACTGTCTGTGTTCACTTCTGTTCAGCCGGGGCTGTTCAATCAACTAAAATGACACTTCCTCAATCCACTCTGGCACAAATCCATTTGAAGAGTGACGAAACCAACCTGGCCCGCTATCAGAATGAACCTTGTGTGGCAACCCTTGCTGGCACAAATCCACTTGAAGAGTGATGAAACCTAGGTTTTTTTGGGGATAGCATATATATATATATATACACACCAGTATATAATACATACATATCTACATATTAACCACATTTTAAATATACATGTATATATACATATATATATATATGTATATTAGTGTATATATATATATATATATGTTAGAATACATACATATATATATATATATTAATATATATATATATATATTATTATTATTAGCTTCAGCTCTCAGTACCAGCAGACTTGCTTCTAATCGCCAGCTGAGGCGACGGCCGAATCCCAGCACAGGCCTCAGATGTGCCAGCCGACGACAGGTGAAACATTGGCAAACACATACATGGAACGGGACAAAAACACATACTACTGTGCTGGGCTGCCCTCAGATCCCTCGCTTCTTAGGTGCTGCGAAATGGATTTCGTCCATCCACAGTGCCATTTCGACGGCTGTGGCTTCATCCTCAGTGTACCAGTCATTAAGGGTTTGGAATTCCCCAGTTTTGTTGGACCAACCCGGAAAATCAAAAAACATGTCCATCTGGTACTCACAGGGTCCCTTAAGGAACCCGTCAGTCAGGTTCCAGGTGGTCTCCGGAACCCGGTACAAAACGGGCTCCATCTTACCAGGTGCACACGGGCTGAAGCCACGCTTTCAACATGGGGTGTGCCTTGCAAACAATTTGTAAATGATTGTTTTTTGAAACAAATTGCAACACCTGAATTAGGGGCAAATGTTGTTTATGGGGAAGCGGTGGGGGGGTGGTTGCAATTTCCCAAAGGACATATTGCGCAACCCAAGAAATTATCATGGTTGCCCTACTCCCAAATGCCATGTCTACAGGCGGCGACAAAAAAGGGACGGATTCTGTCAACAGGGCGTTAATAGATCGACCCAGCAATGCTTTCGGCAACTCAATGTTTTCAACATGGCATTTGCCACTAGTTTGGGGCACGAAGCTGACCTCGGCATGATCCGCTCACATGCACAGCTTAGAACGTAAAACGATGCCCCCTCCCCCCATTTGTCCGCACCATAGATTTGTGGCAGATCTGGCAGCGCATTTGCCACTCCGAATCTGAACATTTGCGGTTTAGGCACGTCCATTTGACATTCAAAATCAGTCAAGGCCACTAGTGCAAATAGGGCTTAACTCTTGTCTTCGCTCCCTTGCCCCTGAGATGAGACCTCCTTGCTGGTGCACTTCTTCTTTGGCGGGTTTGAACAGCTAGCCGCTAGCTATCTCCAGTCTTCACCCGGCCCATGAATTCCGTCCTTCGCGGTCTGCATCAGAAGCATCGATGCCAAATGCAAAGTAATGTCCCCTGGCCCAACTACAGCAATTTCTGACTCGCCACTCGGGCAGTAGTCCAGATACCGGGAAACCGAGCCGTCAAGATCAGGGGATGGAGGAACATGCTTTTGAAGGAACGACCTCGCCGTTTGGGAGCGACTCGATTCAATCCGTCCAATCGCCAGGATTTGTCATCGGACGGCCAATGCTCTGGGCTTAAGCTCGAAGCTCGTGGCTTCTTTGTGTTCTCGCTTTCCGAGTGGATTGCCCAAACAAGTACCAACTATTTGGCCATGGGTCAAAAGCCCGTACCCCCAGTCAACATCCCAATCCCAATTAAAATAGACTAAAATGGGTTGTGCACCTACCCCAAAATGGTACCATTGGTTTTGACCCACAGCCATTTGTTTACAACTAAAATGGTGTTCCCAAAACGTGACTAAAGTCCAAGAACTCAGGAAGAGTGTCAGGCCCGAGGTTTCAGGATCGAGGGGCATCACAACGCCATTGGACAGCCGCACCCCACTGTCCAGCGATGTCGCGCTGCCCGGGAGCTTCACCTAGTTGAATTTGTGATGCGCTTAGAAGGGGTTTGGATGACGTCGTTTTGATTTTTCTTTGGGGGGGGGAAACCAAGGTCCCTCCAAAAATTAATCTGACAGGTTGATGGTTGATTAATCGGGATCCTGAGGCGGGAAACGCAAAAAACACATTGGAAGGTACATGAGCACGTCCCAAACAATTTGACTCAAGGGTGTATCACAATCCCTCGCACGAGATCAGGCAAGTGTACTGATCTCACCTGACCAAACGCAGCCATAATCATGTTGCTTCAAAGGGTCCGCTCGCTTGAAGATATCCCAGAAGTGCGACGGCAGGGATCTGTGGTTGATCACCAAATTATCCCTTGGGCCCAGTGAAAGCTCAACGCAAGGGTCCAAGCCGCTTGAAGGAAACGTAGCAAAAACCAGCAACGTCTTCAGGATCAAGCAACTCACTGCAAAAAACTACTCACACGTCACACTTCCTCAAAAAGTACACAGCAAGTGGCGGTGAATTTCGCGATTCCCGCATGTGTGTATGCAACGCATACTACGACAAAACGGTCAATGCACCTGTGAGTGATGGCTTGTCCCACCCTTTGTGTGACCACCCTTTGTGTACCCTTTTAGGGGTTCTCATCTTGATCTCGGATTAATCAACTCAGGGGGTGACCGCCGCAAAAGTGAAGGGTTCTTACCAAAAGGGGACACCCTCCTATTAACAGGGATTCTACTTAGATCCAGGGTTCCCACCAAGCAGAATGAATAACTGGTGCCTCTGAACTGGGTAAGCGCCAACTGTCAACTCGCCGGGTTCCTTGCCACGGATCTCAGCCCGTCAAAGGTCGGGAACCGGCGACCCCTATATCGTTTTTGGGGCACCCCCAGAATGGCTGGGTCTCCTTTTGGCTTCCCATTCAAACCCAACCAAAGGGCTAGCAACTCACAAGACGAGCCATGGCAACAACTCCGCAGGCCCCGGCTCCAGTAGAAAAATGCCTCGCCTGAGACCTCCGTAGGACGTGAGGCAGTGAAGCATGTTGGGAACGCAGGCGTTCCCAACGCCCGGATGGTCTAGCAACCAAGTCCCAAATTGATCTGGTCATCTTGACCAAAGAACACCGGCACCGAGCCGCATAGGAAAGACCGGCCATAACTACAAAAAGCAGAGGCAAGGAGCACACACCAACCTCATGAAAGGCAGCCCAGAGAGGATCAAACCCCACTTGACCAGATCCAGCACTGCTTCAAAAGGGTTTTTTTGGTTGGCAGGTTCCAAAGCAAAACAACAAATTCAGCCACAGTCTGCTAACTTTGAAGCTGTACCGTTTTTCCCTGTCCGTGGTTTTCCTTGATCGCCCCGGTCACGGTCAGGCCACGGCAGTCAAGTTTTTGCTGATCATCACCTGAAGGCGTTGACATCACGGTTCGTCCTCTTTTCAGTTGCTACCCCTGTTTTGTGGTGATACTGTGGATGGACGGAATCCTGCACCACTTGGAAACCATGGGAAACCATGGTTGGTTGGTATTTACAGGGGAATCAACATTCCAGGGTTTCTTAGCTGGTGCAGGATTTCGTTTATCCACAGTATGTTAAAGGCAAACCAGAAGGAAACCGAATCATTTTGGGGGGTCCCTCCCAAAAAGAAGACACACCCGTAGCCCAAACTCACTGATAGTTAGTCTCACAACTACGATACATCTCTCATTTAAGCTATGGACAACGGCCCTCGGCTTCCAGCCTGGTTCAAGCACAGCCCAAGTTCCGCAGTGTGTGACTATCATCCACTTAATGAAACGGTTTCCACATTTCCATATCACGCGCGTGAACTGAATGTAATCAACTTCTAAAGGGCAATGTCACATTCTCAACTAGCGATTGTTCAGCTTATCAACTACTTGGTATACGCTTTGCAAAGAAGGCAACTTGCTTGGTAACGGCAACACCCGCATCATTACCACAAGTGAACAAGCACCAGAGTGGTCCATCAGCAACAGTATGTTGATGGCAGCCATGTCAATACAAGGCCGTTTAGAAAGGTAATGACAGTTGACACATGCCTCCCTTTCCGCACACGCACGGGAGTGGATGCTGTCACGCCATTATCATATAGATTGTTGCAATGCTTGCGGGAAAACACATTGTTGATGTGATAAAGTCCAAAGATATGCTAGAAAGGCACGGGATATGATCACTTCATATTACCTTCGGAGCCCTCAAAATTATGTACAGCATACACGACGATGCCGCTTTCTTGTATCGGTGTCGCACAAAACATTGAGCGTGGAGCCCATGTTCACTCGTGGTGCCAACTCTTAAAACTCAGGTGGCCAAATTCTTCAAACTGGCGTCCGGGGCTGTCAGTGTGAATTCATTTGCTGGAAGGCCAACTTGCTTAACCAACTTAAGTACCAGTTCAAGCAAAGGCCGAAAGCCACAAATTCGGGGCTCCCAGAAAATTGAGGCATCACATGCGACGTTTCTGGCGAATCCAAACCATCAATATCCGTGTGAATTGTGAAAATTCACGTTTAAGATATGGGACAAGGGCATGAAAAAAGCCTTTCTGTGTGACTGTGTCCTCCAGTAGAGAGGATAGAATAAGGGTACCTGTTTTTCTGTGGTCTATTGTAGGGGAACCCTCCCCCAAAAAAGAAACGGTAAAAGGGCACTGGGGGACCTAGAGATCCCATTCAAACCTTTGTGAGAGCTACAACTTCACCCCATTCGCATTGAGCCTCCTGGGGAAGAAGCTCCAATCGCTTGGCTTGCAGGTCATAGCGCAAGTCACCTCGGCCACATGTGGCGCCTGGGAAAAACGGTGAGCACCTTTCATTCTCAGGCAACATGAACCCAACCCCTTGTTTAGAAACCTTTAAACATGTTTCAAACACTATTTTAAACTCCCCCTCCCCCCCTCCCCCCTCACCCCCTCCCCCCCTCCCCTGTTGGGCTCCCTAATGAACTAGAACATGGCGCTTGAAACCAAGCGAGAAACAGCGTTTCTCGTGGCCTGGGCCCTCCGAAGCCGGTTTTTGCTTGTGCTGTTTGGGCCCACGGCTCCCAGGTGCAAACAGCAAGCGGCAGAAAACATGCACACCTGGAGGGTCTAGGTATGTGGCCCTTGCCAGTGAAAGGCAAAATATCGTCACGAATCCAATGCTTCAACTCCAAGAAATCCAGGCTGGTCGTGCATCCCAGTTTTACTGTAAACCAGAAACGTTCCCGGCAAAATTCATGGCAGACTTATCGATTGTACTTCCAACAGTGCAGCGATACCACGTTGCGATCATCTCCTCGAATACGTGACGACCGCAAATATCAAGGTCATCTTGTTGCCGCCACGTCACTTGGCTTGTACTTTTCTTTCTCGCCTTTGGCGTTTTTGAACCTGCCAGCGTGAACATGCTAGGCCGCAACTGTGCGATGCCTGGCAGAGAATGCTGGACTAGCAATGCCTTTGACGATTCCCATCATCAGCATGCGTACGGACAAATAATCTTGAACGCAAGTGTGTCTTTGCAATCAGTCAGGTGTGTACTTCTTTGACGTCCATTAATCCAGTGTTGCTTCTAGCATTTCAACTTGATATATGTACGTAATTCATCTCGGGTGTTTCTTGCACGCTTCAGCTTCAATTGCCACGTAAAGTTGCGAAAGGACTTTGCAATGTACAGGCCGTCAATAGTGAATTCTGAACCTTGGACGCAAAGCAACCAAAACATGAAGATGATAAACCACCAATTTGAAGGCAGCACAACGCATATAAAAAAGCAAAAAAAAAAAAAAAAAAACAAGAAACGAGAGCCGCACATAGAACAGGGGGGCGCCAAACTACACCATGATCTTCAAAGTATACAACATGTGCAATATCGACCCCTGAATAACCAAGCTATTCATCAAGGGGGTCCCCATCTGGAAGAGAGCAATCCCCACTAAAAAGGGGACCCCGTTCTAGTAACAGGTCGGGGGGGCTGATGACTCAAACCCGAAAATCCCTGCGCGACGCCGGGGCCGAGCTGCTGCAGTTCCAAGCACTGACGCACCGTCAGGCCATCGCATTGGTCCTCGGATGTTTCTTAAAGGTCTGGGTGGGCCTTGCCGCAATGGCAACCCGAGCTTTCGCCTGCCAAATCATTTGTTTGGTTCCAGTGGAAGTAGGGACTTGAAAGATTCTCTTCCTCAAGAGGCGGCTTGTCCACATGATTTGTTGGGAACAAGGATGAGACAGGCGAGTTGCAAGAAGACCCAAAAGCTTAGAATCCAACTAAGGGGCATGAACCAACCGCCAGAAACCCCATTCAATTGAGCCAGTGAAAGAGTGGCAAGGTGATGATAGGGTGCTAGCAACTGTCACGACGACGGGTGTCACGTGGATTTCGGCTCTTACGACGAGGATGGCGATGGTACTTATGGCAATAGTGGTAACGGAAACGCAAAGTATTGCAGCTATGTGTTTAGAGGCTACCAGAATGGAGTTGACACCTCCATGTTCCTAAGCCAAGCCGCCATTCTCACGCACGATTGCAGCCAGTGAACCTTTGAAGCATTCAAAAACCTTGAGTCAAAGGCTAGGGCTTCCGGCGCAGCGCTTGTTGTGGAAGGCTGTGTTGGATTCTACCTCAGCTATGGCGGCACATGTTTCTCACAATGGTGGACCCCCATGACTGTATTGTGACCATCAGCTTTAACACACGGCAGCCTCGCAGAACCGATCTGGATTCGGAAGCAACTGATTAAATCTGAACAAGGCCAGAATACCTTTGCAGGCCATGGCAGACCTATCACATACACAGCCAGCTGAACACAGCTATCCTCATTCTGATTCTGCAGCTCACTCGAAATTGCAATCCTTTCTCGACGACTAGATGCGTGCTTAGCTTTAGGGCTGGCTGAACGAAAATGGTTCATGCCAGAACCTTGGCCAAAGTTAATTGTTCTCCCCGACTATCACTAGCACGTCTCTGTGATGGATCTCTATGATGGACCACGCAGCAAGCCCTAGTTCGTCAAAGTACCGTGTGTTCCAGCCTCTGAAAGGGTGGACAAATCGGCCAGACCGCTGCAGGTAACCACGTCGGCCAACCAGAATGCGTTCATCCGGGCTAGACCCTGAAGCAAGGAGAAAGCCATCAGCGAACACAATCAAGCCAGAAGGAAGCCATGGGCAGCAAACCAAAACTCACCCACCACGCAAGAGCCAAAACTTCTACCAGGCCCTGTGGCAGAAACTTCCCAGTAGAGGCACCGCAAAACCCAGAGAGGTGGAGAACAAAGGCCAGCTCCGGGGAATGGGCGGGCAGAGGCCGCAAACGAGAGCCTGCAGGAGCAAACGCTCCTGGTTCGAAGCGGGGCTGAGGCGAGGACCGAATTCGACCCATGCAAGACGGGCTGCCGAGGGCCTGGTGCTTTGTTCAGACGCCGAGCGACCCAAGGCGAGGGAAAAACCAGTGGCACCGCCATCCCGCACTGCATGAAGCATAGGATCGAGGCGTCAACGACGGGCCAGCGACAGGCAAGGCCGCAGGGTTCGGGCAAGGCGGCAAGACGGAGCCCGGCCGCGAGACGGGTTCCACGAGGAGAAAGAAAGAAGCCGCCAAAGCGAGCTGCAATGAATGACTCCTGGACCTGGGCTGCCCTCAGATGCTCCGCTGAAAGTGACTAACTTTTCGTGGGTCAAATGGAAACCACACTCAAGGGCCATGAGGCCACGGCCATGAGGCCACGAAAGGCCCAGAAGAACAAGCAAGAGCGGAGCGGGACCGGCGCGAGGGGACCAGGGCTTGGTGGACGCCCGCCAAACATATGGTCGCAGTGCTCAAAGGCGCCTCGAACAACGGCTCGAAGGGTTGTTCGGGGTTTCCATGTTTGAACCACCCAAAAACGGCATGGTGTAAAAATCGGAAACCCTTAAAGGGGTTGGCCAACCTGTCTGGGAAGCGTGAAACTTCTCCTACCACCAACTCATCCTACCCACCAACTAACATGGAATCTGACCATGGCTCCTGGAAGACCATTTTCCTTTACAAGGAACCCTCTAGGTTCCAACTGGAAAATATTTCTCTCGGCCCAAAAAACCTCAAATCCCTCGGACCCACCGGACAAACGTGGACCGAGGGGCGTCTGTGCGCTTGACCTTGGCGTCCATGGGCAAGGCAAGGGACTCCTTCGTGGCGAAGGCGACGCCTCGAGCCGCGAGGCGTCAAATTGGCTGCTTCGCCCCCTGGGAAATGAGACGATATCTCGGTGGACGTTGGAAGGGGAGCAAAAAAACAATTAAGGATTTTAGCAGTTAAGTGGTTGGATTTCTTCCACTCAACCACAATAAGCCAAAATGTAAAACGTTTCCCAACACCAACAGTGGAACATAAGACATGTTCATTTCAGCAAATGGGAGGACATTGGAGAATGAGGGTTTGACCACTGTTTGACCTTCCTGCTTGGGTTCTTTTGTCGGAAAAGCAGGGTTCGTCCCCACCCCGTTTCTCCTCTCCCAAATGGACCAACTGCTGATATGTTGTTCACGGAATCTTACGGATTCGGTGGGACAACACGGGCCCAGTGAGAACGACAAACAGGTCGTTCTGAATCAAACCATGACTGGGCAGTGCTCAGATTCGACCCTCTAAAAGCTTAACTTATTTTGTGTGGGTCAAATGGACAAAACACCACAAAGCTCAAAAGCTAAGGGGATGGATGGGAGCCACCAAGATGAGAGCTTCAGGCGAAACCTATTGAACCAAAGAAATAAAGCTTGGCTGGTCACTTGTTGACACTTCCTGTAACTCACCAAGTGTGCTTGTTGCCCCTCATGCTCCTCCTGGTCCTTTAAGGCTAGGTACATATTTGAGTATATGATTCATCGCCTCTCTGTGGATACGATTTCCACAACCAGTCAAGGGTTCCTTTTCGATGCCAACAAGAGAACCTGTGCATTTCGTGGCTGAAAGTGCTGAAAGAGTGCTAAAGCAGTGCAGCAATCAGCAATTAGTGGAATCCACAGTGCGGGTACCTAAATTGATGCCAGCTGTGGCCCGCTCTAAAGCCAACACCAAGGGATTCTGCACCAACCCTACGCGGACGTGCTAATCCGGTTGAGCAGCTGTTCCCTTCACCGGCCTGTGAATTCTTCACTTGCAATCCCCCAACAGTGCTTAAACACCCCCTCTCTCAAATCACCAAACCAAGTTCCTTCTCTCAAATCCTACCTTTTTCACAACCCGAAAACTCTCCCCCCAGGTCCTCCAGTAGAGAGGTTAGAATAAGCTAAGGGTACCACCTTTTTTCTGTAGTCTATTTTAGGGGAACCCTCCCCAAAAAGACGCGGCCAAAGGGCACTGGGGGACCTAGCCCCTCTCTCCACCCATCGATCCAAGGCGCCGCTGCCAATTCGCTTGGCCTTCTTCGCACTGGCCGAAGCCGCCGAAGCCGCGAATGAGGCGGGGCGCTTCATGGCCGGCATGCTGCGCGGCTTTTTTTGCTTTTGGTTGTGAGTCGAGGAAGGACGGTGACGCATTTCGCGGCTGTTGCTTTTGTGAGTCGAGAAAGGAAAGGGTGATGCATTGTGCGCGGCTTTTTTTTGATGTGAGCGGAGTGCCGTTTCTGCGAACAGCCAACTACATGTCAGACTGGTTGTTTTGCTTGTACAGGTAACAAGGAATCGTATCTTAATTTTACCCTTGAGTGAGCTGACACATGCCGTTTTCTACTCGTTTCAGACTAAGCGCCGCCTCCACGGTGTTCGGCCTGAGTTCCGTGCACAGGCCGATCACTTTTATCGCCTTGGCCCTGTTCAGTGGGAACATGGGACTCCTCTACGTAAACAATAACTTGAGGGAAACGAGCACAACTAGCTAGACATGCGACTTGAATCAACTGAGGCACACGTTCTATTCCCCTGGACATATTTCCTTCCATTTTTCCGGGAATGGATCTCACTACTGGACATAACTTTCTCCATTTTCTCGGGTGAATCGAGAGTTCGAGAAGTCTACTGGACCAGCTAACCCAACAAATGAACCCAAAGACTCCGCACATTTTTCGGGACATTTGTCCCAGAGATTGCCTTGAGACCTGGGCTTCTCTATCGCGCACGAATCAATTGCAGGCGGCCGAATCCAATGAATCCTAGCAAAGTTCTCACACAAAACGTCCGGATTGCCAGCTTCTATGAGACTTGGAGGGAAAGGACCAGATGCGCACAATCAACCAAACACAAAAGAAGTAACCAGAACATGCAAGAGCTTCCTTGTGCTCCAGTTTGATTGGCAACAGGCTCTAACGCATCCTGCCAGTGTTGAAGTCTATCACCGCAGTGTCATTTCTACATCCGGAAACCCGTGCAAAGTGCAACTCACCCATACTTTGATGGATGCGTGTATGGGCGGCATCACCAAAAAAATCAAACATGGGACTGTTTCGCAAAAGCCCAAGGTCTAGCGATACTTTATAAGGAACTGCAAGGGACAAAGCTCATCAATCAAACTCCACCCTGAAGCCTGGAAACGGGCATTTGCCTTGAGTCACTGAGAATCTCAGCAGGGACATCATACGCAGTTGATTCTGTCGCAAAAACAAATCTTGATGTCCAGGGTTCAGTAGCAAATTCCAAACAGAGCCCTGAAAACACGCTGTTTGCCTCAAAATATGGGGATCCCAAACATAGTGGTTTTCCTTTTGGTGTCCGGCCTATGCTGCTATGCAAAAGACAGCCCCCCCCACATTGTAAAAAGTATATCAAGCTCAGAGTGGTTTCTGACGTCAACCTCGGCACTTGTGAGAAACCCGCAGCCGTAGCCTATCTCGGTTTGCAAATGATTGCACACCGCAAAGCTGATGCTCCGGTGGCAAGCTTTGCTCTCCCAGGGGGGCTGGCTTCAGCAAACTTCGGATGGGTCAGCAAACGCAAGTGAGTCATTGCTGGCCGAATGAAACGTCAATGTCTCGTGAATGCTTCTTTGCTTTATCCTTCGTCGCGCATTGATTTGCCTCCACAACAAAATTGCTAGCCAGCAAACATGTATCCTCTTATGGTTGGTTTCAACTTGCAATTTGCTGGTTTGATAACAGCAACACCACGGCCAAGGGAACCACCACCACCACCACAATCGCACAGCAGCAGCAGCAACAGCTGAAACAAAAGGTTTGTTGCGCAACCCAATCTAGCTTCCAATTTGGGCATGGGTCAAAAGCCCGGTTACCCCCAGTGAACATCCCAATCCCCACCAAAATAGTTTCTAAAATGGGTGGTGAATTCACCTACCCCAAAATGGTACCATTGGTTTTGACAACCACAGCCATTTAGACCATGAATAGCTCCTGCGATGGCATGGCTTCTATTCGAGGGAGAGAGACCGGAAGCATCAGCGCCCCTTCGAGTCCAGCCCGTCGAGGGCTGGCCACCAGCCAATGTGCAGCTACGTTGCATGACCATCCACACGCAAAACGCCTGAAATGGAAAACCAACGCCTGAGATGCAACTGTGATGACTCAAGCAGTTGGGGCTTTAGCTGCGTCTGACTCATATATGTTTGCACATGTTGACACAGCAAACATGTCGCAATGATTGTGCAGCCGCATTGCATGAACTGCACACAGTTGACCAGGCCAACTTGGCCAACTTGCTGGACATTTGAACTGTGAATGGAGGACACGGCCACCCCTTGAAACAAAGCATGCCACTGGCGCAGGCTATGTATTGCCTACGCCACAAGGTTGACTTACTGCCATGCATTGTCAGTGTGCATCAAGGTATGCAGGACAATGTCATACTTTTAGCTGAAAGCAATTGACGTTCTGCATAGACTCCCTCTCTCTCTCTCTCTGTCTCTGTCTCTGTCTCTGTCTCTGTCTCTGTCGGCGTTTTCCACTGGGTGGCAACTGAAACGCGAGCCTTCACAAAAACTAGTGTTCAGTTTTTACAGGTTGGCCGGTTGGCCTGTCATCTATTGTGGCTAAACTGTAGGCGCATGCATGTACGTATGTATGAAAGCAATCATGTACACATGTATGCATGCATGCATACATGCATGTATGTATGCATGTATGTGTGTATGCATGCATGTATGTATGCATGCATGTATGCAGGCATGTATCTATGCATGTATGCATGCATGTATGTGGCTGGTTGTCGACATGTTGTTTCTTAAGTTGTTTGGAAATGATCCTTTCCATGCGGCCCGTATGATAGCGGGCTTCGGTGTCAATCTCATTGCGGCTACATTGCTTCTAAGAACACATGTGCAAATTGAGTTTCTTTTCAAGAATAGTGGCCTTGGGGATGGCGGAGTCTGCAGGCTGATGCGGCTTGGGGATGTTGCTCCAAGGGGGCATGGCCCATACAATGGGCCCACTGCTGGCGCGAGCGCTAGCGCGAAAACAACAAGTCTCTCAACCCAAACAAGCTAGCGACGCGCTGGCGCTGAGACAACACTGACAAGGGGATTTGCTGCAATCTCGTGCGGCCGGGATGGACCCGCCGTGACCCGCCGGCTCACCAAGATCCCGTGCATCGTGCGCCAGGTCAAGCACCTGCACGGCTTGCAGGCAAGCCGTTACCGACACCGCGGAAGGAACAGTGTATCGTCCAGATGGAGAAACGCCTGTTGAAAAGTCGGATTTTCGAACATGGCGCCTAGGACTTGAGTGAAAGCCTTCAATTTTTGGGGGAATTCAGTCTTCTAACAGTTTAGAACTTGTTTTCGGGCAGGGAAAACACATCCTCAGATTCTCAGTTCGTGTCCAAACCCAAGGGAAACGCGGAGCAAGGCGGAGCAAGCCGTTAGACAACCTGTCAACCAAAATTCTAGTGAAATGGCAACACAAGGTTGATGAAGGGCTGAAATATGGGTTTTCTAGAACACTGCTAAACAGTTGCGACTGATTTTCCTAGGTGCAGCGTTTGACCGCGCGTTGCGGTCTTCAACGACATTTCAATCAATCAGTGTCATTTTGGGCACAGAAAAAACTTTCCTGCCAAAACCTGGACTGGTCCTCAAGGTCTACGAATTTACAGATGTGGGTCTCTAGATGCAAGTAAGTCGTTTTACTTTGCTATATCACAAGAAACCAACCGACTCTTCTGCATGAATGCTTGATAGGTAATTGAGGAGCTTAATCAAGCAAACACAAATGGCGGTGGTCTCTACTACGCAGCAAAAAACAAGGGCCATCCTTTGGGGGAGCTCATGATGCAAAAAGGGTGTCTCGTTGCATGCTTGGAATCGCGGCAATTCTGTTGCATCCGCAGCACTCGTTGGTGGTTGTCTGGCCACCACTGCAACAAATCACAAAGTTCGGCTGTATTCAAGGCCTCAGCTCTATTGTGCGACATGACTTTGCCAATCGCCGGCCCTTCCAAGTACACTAGCACTTCCATGGCCATGGGTCAAAAGCCCGTACCCGCAGTGAACATCCCAATCCAACCACTAAAATAGACTAAGATGGGTGATGCACCTACCCCAAAAGACCCACAGCCCCATCAAGCCGTTGTAGGCTGTAGAAAAGGTGGACGCGACACATGAGGGCTCCACGAGGCATTGCTAGGCGCAACATCTATATGGGTATGGGTCAAAATCAAAACACCAGGGGACCACAGGTATTTAGTCTACTTCTCCACTTGCAAGGGTTCCATTGTGGATAGCTATTTTTGACCCACAGCCATATGGTCAACAAGCCTCCACAACATGAGCATGAGGCCCTGCTAAAATCTCACTAGTTGGCAAAAAGTTAAAGTCCTAACATCCAAGCGATGAATCAAAGGTTAAATGCTGCTCTCTTCGCATTGAATGCCATGGGAGAGTGGCCCGCGGATGTCGCTGAATCGTTCACTGTGGTCGGAGTCCCAGCTGCACGGCGACAAGAGGCCAAAACAATGGACGTCTTTCGGGGCTGACCTGTTTGGGGGGAACCCACAAAACAAAGGCTGGCCCCATGATTTGAACCCATGATCACAACCCCGTGGTGGGTTAAAGCGAAACAACGAAACAACCCTTCTCTCACTTTAAGATACGCCCAGCCGTCAAATGGCCCTAGAAAGTTGGAACTTTAGACCCAACGGGTGCTGGGGGGGAAAGACGAAACACCACGGCCGAAGGGTCGAGCCGAGCCTAGGCTTCAGGTGGAATGCCACATGGATGGCATACTCCAACTGGGTTTCCCGATGCCTCTTGGGATTTGGAGCACCAAGGAGCGAACCCCTGGCCCTATGACCCCAGGCCTATCAGTGCCTTACCATGGTTCGCAGAAACGTTCGCCTTGCTGGGTTGGGGGGCCAACTCGTTGTTTTCCCCCAGAAGCCAGGAGAAATGAACTGCAAGTGTGGAGCATGGGAAATGAAGAGGTCCAAAGATGTGGGCAAGTTTCGTGCGCAACGAGTCTTTTGATACCTTTTGATCGACCCTGCAGGTGTGCAAAATAAAGCCTGCCAAAACAGCTAGGTACCTCTACAACCAGTCGATGCATCTGACAGTTTGCGGTGGGCAAGCAATGTCACTTTGTATAGGGGCGTCTCTTCTCATAGTAACTTGTTCCAGGACTCAGATCATAACCTAGTGGTAGCAAACATTGCTTGTAAGTTGAAATGCTCACATAAACGAGAGCACCAATCTCTCAAATTTCGAGAGCCACATAGAATCCAGTTAAGTCACTACAACGATCACATTGAGAATATGAGCGCAGTTCCGAACCCGAAGATGGATCAATTTCTTCAAGCCATGTCCAAACCCTCGAAGCATACTCTAACAGCAATTCCGGCAACAGTGTTGGAATCACATTTCAAACCACACATGGAGCTTAAATCGAGCAGAGACAAGATGCTTATGCAGCCTGTGATGGCCAAAGGGTAGAGGAACTAACTACCACTATGACAAAAAAACAAAGGAGCCACTTTGTGCTTCGTAGTATAGAGGAGTCAAATAGCCCACAGAAAGCAATGGTCAGTCTGGACTTGGAAATTCACCAAACACCTTCTCAGCCTTGCTTCACAAAACTAACAAACAAAGAAGGTAAGAGAGTCGGTCCACGCAGAAACACTGAAACAATCGCTGAATATCTTGAAGATGTTCAATGGAAGCAGGGTGCACACCCTCCTGCAAGGGGACGCATTTCAGCGATCTTGCCAAAACTTGCTGGTGCTCAGTAGGGAATGTGGGACTGAACCCAGGGAATCCCGTAAAGGAAAACCACCAGTTGGATGGTTCATAAGGGTCATTCCATTTCTCATTCGCTGCCTATCGCAGCAGCAAGAAACTTACCTTGATGAGCTGGACCGGGATAAGCAGACACCGAACAACTCAGGAGCCCTGCTCTTGGTTGACGTTGGAAGGGGAGCCAAAACTTAAGTTTCAGCAGTTAAGTGGGGATTTCAACCACCAAAACAAAATAAACAAACATGTAAAATGGTTCCCAACAACAACCATGTGATGCCAGTGCCGAACTTTTCTCAAGTTACTCAACAGGATCAATAAATAGGCACTATTGTCGGAAAAGAATGAGTGGTGCAAAGCTGACACGTGCTTGGGCAGAACTGTCAAAGACGGGGACACGCAGAAACAGTCGAATGATGGACCTGCCAGTTTACTTAACATTGTCTATAAGTTGTATGCCATCATTGTCAGGAAGAGGCTTGCAAACCACATTGATGAGTTGTTTGCCGAAACACGGTATGGGTGACTCAGTTGTTCTGGCGCTGCTTGACCAGGAAAAGGCGCTTGAGACAGCGCATTCTCGCTTCTGGGAAACTCTTGGACGTTTCATCACTCAAGACACGATTTACAAAGTGCTTGCTGATACGTCTTCTAGCCCCACCTTTGTCAAAGACAAAGACTAAGCTCCCACAACCAAGTGCCACGGAGCCGGCATCCGTCAAAAATGTCCTTTGTCCCCCTGGCTGTTTATAGTCGTAGTAGCTGCTTTGCTTCAGGATGTTCACCTTAATGAACACCCCCTACTAATAAATCCCTGTTTATTAATATGGGGGTGTCCCTGGGTTTAGTGGGGATTGTTCACTGTTGGAGGGGAACACCCCCCTATTCATAAACCGGGGTTGATTAATAGGGGGTCAACATTAATACTGACAGGACTGCGATCAATAGTCGACTTGAGAGAATCAATTTCACGGAAGCTCTCTATGCGGACGACACACGGCTAGTCACCAAGTACACAAAAGGAATGAATAGACTATTGCACGCGATTGAAGGCATCAGCTTACTTGGGCGTTGACTCAACCAGGCTAAATGTTGTGTTCTCTCAATGCATGGAAACTACAATATCCGTTTTGCCGATACTTCCTAAGTCCCGCATATCAACGAAGTGACGTGCCTAGGAGGGACCCTTACTTACCAAAACAGTTTCAGTTTCAAATGAAGTTTCTTCGCCGAATTTTCGGCAGCAATGGGTACTTGGAGAAGTTTGGACATATTTTGGAAACATGCTGGCTGCAGGCCAAAAAATATGAATCAGCAGTGGACTCCAAATCGCTCTATAGCGCTGAAACAAGTCGAAATACCATGTGTGCAAATGTCGCGATGACTAGCATTGCATCTCAAAAGCCTCAGAAAGATGCTGCGCATGGAGATAACCTTTGTAAGCAGAGCAAGTACTAACGGCGAGGCTTTTAAAGCAGCAAATTTGGCCGGCAATTCGCTCTAAGTCATCTCCAAATAGACACATTGAAAGAATTCACTCCACTTTTTAGACCAAAGAAGGAAAGCGCCAGTCGGCCATATACGACCGGCAGGCAGGCTCCAACCCTATCAAATGGGCCCTGGCAAATGGGTAGGTACAACCCTTCGGTCCATTTGGAATGCTATTCGCACTAACCAAAACGAGTTCTCACATCACAGTCGGGGTACAAATTCTCCGAGGCAGGCACTAAGAAAATACCTACATCTCCCGCGGTCACTGGAATACAACTTGCTCGGGAGTGGGAGGCTCTGTGCGGCCTCTCTGTGTGTGTGTCGGTCGACTACTTGGACCGATCACACGGCTTTACAATTTCTGTTGAATACTTCAACCAATGTGCGAAAATAGTTGACGATCAAGGTATTGAACGTCAAGCCAACAACTGTTCAATTCGTGTTGAGCTTTGTATTGGACGAAACGTGTACCCGTTATAGTAGTTGGCTGGCCGAAGACATCTGCAAACTCCGTAACATTGTTGGATTGATATTTGCTGCTCTTTTCGTCAAAACGGATTGATGCCTTACTTGGATGTTTGCTTCGCTTCAACTGCTGCCGGCTTGCCTAAAAGAAACAGAGCGAGAGAGCGAGAAAGGGAGAAAGAGAGAGAGAGAGAGAGACAAAGACACAGAGACGGAAAGACCGAGAGGCGAAGAAACAAGGAGACAGAGAGATCAAGTCGCCAAGTGCACGTCACGCAGAGATAGCAACAAGGATGCAGCAACACAAACATGAGGTAGGTTTCAGACCGAAATCATAAGCTAAAGGAACTAGTTGGTAACGGTTGCGCTGGCCGCCTGGTACTGAACTCCTGTTCACCTGACACTGATCTCCCGCTTCTTGGGGGGGGCGGGGGGGCGGGGGGGGGGGGCAATACCGTTCGGGTTGAAGCATATGACTCCCCGGCATTCAGCATGTCGGCTGAGCCCAGCGGCCATAGCGTTGTCATTGAACTATGTGCTATTGTGCCGCCTTGCTGGACTTTCTTGCGCGAATCCTCGATTAGACGCAGTTTGGACCGCTGACCCACACTTCATTGACGGGCACATAGAAGTGTTGTCTGCGTCCGCGTGCGTAGACGACACCTTGGCCTTACCGGTGGCGTCACTGGCGCCGCTGCTGCGAGATCTGTGGACAGGCCACGCCCGGCAAAATCAAGGCTCTTTGCCCGCACTTTTCAAGTCAGTCATCAACGCAAGGAATTGACAAGGCACATAGATGATGTGACCACATCGCGAAAGTTGTCCAAAGTCTGCGGAACGCAGGCCATAGACCGTGAATGGCTTGCCCTGAAGACATGGCTGCCAAACCAGTTGCACCGCAAGGCTGTGACGCCCCAAGGGTCAGATGTTAATGTGCATTTGAAACAGAGAACCTATCAGTTCATATGGAGGCGAAGCCTCGGCGTAGTGTCGCCCAATGCATTTCTTGGGGCATTGGCTGCAGAGCTGCGCAAGAAGTAGCGCTCGAAGTAGTTTGTGGATGTACATGCGAAGCCACCGAGCAACAAAACGCAAAAAAAAAACAGCGTTTTTGACGATACAAGGCTTGGGAACGCCAGGCGACTATCGCAACCGTGACCAATTAGTTCACCAAATCCGTCCCCTATTGAGCAAAAGCGATGCGCGCTGGCAGCTTAGGTGCACAAATTCTACTGCTGAACAAAAACTTCTTTGCAACCTTCTCTCGAAACCATCTGTTGTGCTGAAGAGGCCGCCTTTTTGGACAGCGAAACTGGGGCATGGTTCCGTCCAACAATCCACCCTGGTGGAAAGTAACTTGGAGGTCAACACAACTGGCACCATCAAAAGGGGGGGGGTCCTCCAGAAGAGAGGTTAAAATAAGGGTGCCCTTTTTTCTGTAGTCTATTTTGGAGGGGAACCCTCCCAACCAAAAAAGGGGTAAGAAAGGGCACTACTGGGGGACCTAGGGGGGATTTCCTGAGACTGACAAAGGCGCCTGTGAGGGGGAAGGTCATGGGGAAGAAGGCGGTCCAAAGCGGATAATCCGCCGAGGATGGCTCCTCCGAATCTCTCGAAAGCTGGGCCCTCAAGATTGGTGCTGACAACAGCACCCCAAAAATGCATTTTGCTTGGTTGCTGTTAACCCCCCTGCACAAAGTTTAACTGTCTTTTTGGGGGGGTTAGTGGAAAACCCTTTCATTTCCCAAAAAGTTAAAGTCTAAAGATCCAACCCAAATAGCAGCCAAGTTTGGGGTGTTTTGTTTTTCATCGAGCCCGCGGCCATTGGAGAGGTCATGAGCCAAAGAGACTCCAAAAAGCTGGAAGGAATCTCCAAGTTTCATGGACCATGGGTGAGCTCGTTGTGCATTTCAGGTACCGAGGGCCCCTCCAAGTTATTTCTGGTGTGTTTTTTGGGACGGGACTCCGGAAGAAAGCCTCCTTGGGCTCAAGTCTTGGCGTGGAACATGGGAGGGGGTTATCCCAGCAAAGGGATGCAATTTCAGGTGGCTGGCCTTGGCCTCGCCACGTCAGACCCCCAGAAACGCAGGGATTCTTACAATGAATGGTGGCGGAAGACAGGGCTGACATGAGCATGGATTCCATCACACCTTGGTGGAAGATTGCCTGTCTCTCTGCCAATGGTGTCTGATCTTCTGGGTATGATCTGCATGTTTGGAACAGCTCAAGTAGACCTGCTGCGGGACTTTGAAATTCATGCGGCAGAAACCAAAAAAACTAGACGCTCGGACTCCATTTCATAATCAAGGCTCGCCTTGTGCTCACCTCAAAGCCGCTCAAAGAACAGGAAAGGAGGGAGAGTCATAGTAAGAAAGACGTACCTATCCATCGGTCCGGCAACGAAGAATTAGGGCCCCTGGGGCCCTATACTCAGTGGATCCCAGTTACCAGTATAAGGCAATCAGCCATGTGGGTTTTTAAAGGGTGGTCCCCATGGCCCCATGGTTGCCTACTACATATATATATATAGGTACATGCAATCACTGAGCAGCTTCACCACAGAACGGTGCCCACGACCTCATTTTACCGATCAAGATTTGCGGAACTCTTGCTCCCAACCTTCAAGCACTACAGTGCCGAAATTGACTTGTGCAATGATAGTACACTGACCCTGTGTAATGAGAGCGATACGTTTTGTATGAAGGGTGGGATTTCCAACAAGCCCACGAAAAACACACATGGCTTAAGAGTGCAATGTATTGCCTTACACGGATTGCTTGCCTCTAAAATGGGCACAAATCACGCTTCTGACCCTGTCATGGCAGAAGTGGCCACAAGGCTGCGCTGGATTCACTTGAGTGCAGCCATGCATCGGTAATGGACTTGGAGTAGTACCACCAGCCATCCCAACTCCAGTTGCAGTGGGTGGTGTAGTACTGCCTGGATCGACACGTAAAAGTAGTCTGCGATCGAAGCAGTCTGCGCATGTCTGCAATGATTCACATAGCTAAAGGAAGACAGCACTTCTAGTAGCGTCTAGTGCTGTAATGCGATTTCAATCCACTCCTTTCCCTTTAAAACAACCCCAAAACAGCTGCCCTAACAAAAAAACAGCACTGGCCCAAATGTCCATCTTCCCTGCCAGCAGCAAGACAAACAAACTAACAAAAACCCGCCACGTGGCCAAGGATTGATTCGCCAGAGGGGGCTCGAGCGTATTTCCAGTTGGAAGAAGGCCTCGCTCAATAACTGAATAGACAATTCCGTCGCTTACCAGACAGCCTTAAGGGCAAAGCGTATTTCACCAAGCTTTGCCGGCAAAGCACACACCAAAGCAGTGAAGCATTAAGTAGCACAGCACCCAAAATATGTAGGACTGCCAATGGAAGTTGCAGCCTACTGGTGCAAACAGCAAAGATATAATGCGCAGTCCTTGCGGCGGTGAAAACAATTCTCTCGCTGCAACCATGACTAGCACGGCCCCGCCAAAATAGGACTTCCAACATCGTGAGTTAGCCGCACTTGACTCTGCCATGACAAACAGAACGCACAGAACACCGCCCGCTCAGCATGTTGAACACATGATAGCCGGACCTGAAGGGGGTAGACGTGCACTGTGCCAGATGACAAAAAACACTAGCTCGCCACACAACACTTCTGTCTGGAAGCTGTCTGCTTTGATTTCACCTGCAGTAGATCATTTCGTAGTACCTCGCAACGGAACACGTAGAAGTTGATTTGCAGGATCTTGCCGGCAATTGAGTTCAGTTCAATTTAAAGAGGATACTTCCATTGATTCAATTGTAATGAACTCATCTATGCTATCCTTCCATTTGCTTAAGTCCCTGAAAAATACACGCGCAAAAAGTACAGTATGTCCAGTAGATTCCCTTCAAAAACAACAAGGGATAATAAAGATCTTCTTGGGCAAATCGAAGCAAAGGCATCCAAGCCCGAACACTTCGCTGGCCTGATAAACCAACCGCACAGCAGCAAGGACGCAATCAGCTCCCAGGGAATGATGAGCCTCGTGCGAGGCTCAACAACCTTCGAGCAACGGCAATACCACGAACCAACACGACGGTCAATAAGCGAAAACAAAAAAAAAGTGTACCCGGAACCAATAACCAAACAACCACCAAAAACCAATAACACTACCCAACTGCAAACCACCAGCAACCTAGCTGACAACAACCATACAATGTGCTGACTGCCGTATCCGTGGGAATGGAATGCTCTTCAATGTCGCCAAACAAAAAAACAGGCACAGTGTGATGCTGAAGCTCTTTCTTGGTTCCCAGTCCCAACGGCTTCTGTTGATAGCAAATTCGGTGCTTTGTTGTGGTCTGTTGACAAAATTGGTGGAAAACGGCTCAACGACGCGACCAATCTACAAATGGATGCGTAGACCGAGGCAGTTGACAGCCTGCAAGCAAAAGCAAAGGGGGAGCTGACCAATCAACATCTAGATATCATATTGTCAGCTTCTCAGCTTCTCTGAAGTCAGCTAAACCACTTCCTGAGTGGATGGGCCAGAAAAAGTCACACTTTGTGTATGCCACTAAAATGGTCTTCCCAAGAAGCTCAAAGTCCATGAACTCAGGAAATGAGTAGAAGGGGCACCCTGAAAAACACACACACACGTCACGAATCCCAAGACTACCGCGGCACCAGAAGTTGGCGCGCCAGGAATTGTCGATGGGCTCTTCTATTCTCGAGGACCAGGCTGTTGAAGCACTGGAGTCCGGTGAGCCTCAAAGCAACTTGTGTTGCTTTGGTTTCTGTTGTTTGGTGTTTTGGTTTCTGCTTGTTTGTTTCGCTTGCTTGCTTGCTTCCTTTATTTATTTTCGTTTCTCTCCTGCGTTCCCACTGAGCTGATCATGAAAGTTGTGCATGTGGGGTTAAATATGGCTCTTTTTTTTGTTTTGAAAGATTGTGTGGTTGGTTGATTAGTTGGTTGAACTGCTGCTGGCTAGCGGTTGGGTGGGAGGGAGGAACGGAGGGAGGGATGGAGGGTGAGTCTCAGATGAGGTTCGTCATTTGTTTGTTGGCTTGATGGTTTGTCGGTCGATTTGTTGTTGTCGCTGCTGCTCCTGCTCCTGCTGCGGCTGCTGCTGCTTCTGCTCCTGCTGCTGCCCGCGTGACCTGTAAGGCTCTTGTTCTTGGATTCGCTACCCTGAGAGCCAACTGTTTGTCTGTTTGAAATGCAAGTTGACTCTCAAATTATGTTCAGTTGCGGCAAACATCAGATCACATGTTGGATTCCGGCTGAATTGTTTCAAAGAGTTTCTAGGTATCCAGATCGAAAAACGCCATCTCTCAGTCTGAATTAGTGTAGCATGTAAAGAGCAGCACTGCAGCTGCTCCAAGTTGAAAATAACTAGATACATCGGTGGGGGTCAAAAGTAAACCACCAGGGGACCAGAGGTTTGAGTCCTTGGTTCCATTTACCAGGGTTCCATTTTGGGTATCCATTTTTGACCCACATATCGTGCAGCACGCGAAGAACACTTTGGCATGATCTCGCGTTGATCTTGCTTCTGGTATCGTGTGGGTGCGCAAATGGCTCAGGTAAATCCAACTATTCCAAATTGAATCACTGAACATCGTTGGAAGCCAGGACTTCTTAACAAAAATCACGGCTTCTCGCTGTTATGTCGAAATGCAACTGATCAAAGCGCTGCAGGTGCACTCCAAATTCTTTCAATGCACAAGTAACCGTGGAGCTTTGGCCTCCATTCGGGTCTCAGCCCCCTTAATGAACGATAAACCAATGTTCAGGTGTCAGCTGCTTGTCCTTTGCCAAGCATGCAGCCCAGCTGCTGTACTCCTGACACTTTTGGAGTGCAGCGGTGATCTTGCCAGAGGTGAGTGTCATCAAAATGAGCCTCGCTCAGTGACACGTCTTGACAGCTTAGGTTGCCGAGCTTCGAAAACCCAACCTCCCTGAAAGAAAACAACCACAGCTCACACAAACAAACACCACACACAGGGGCGTGCCTTTGTTGAAACCTTGACGAGCTGCTAGCGGGGAGTGGGAATTCGGAAACCAAAACAAGGGGTGGATCATTTGAATAGCCAAAGACACCAATGAATGATGTGAACTGCAAGCAGCCTGGGCGCATAGTTCTGCCAAATACATATTGATGTTCTGAATTTGTTAAAGTAAGCATCACAGGGAAGTTGCTTTTTGCGGGCCATTGAAGTAGAAAGGCACGCCTCTGTCTGCTTTAAAACCAAATTAAGCTGTGATGCAATGAATGTCTGCAATGATCCTCCTGGTATTCTGCGAATTCCTTCCCCAAGAACACGCGGAAGATACCGAGTCGACAGGTTGAACCAATCATCGACAGATGAGTTCCTTCGGTCAGCCGAAAGGCTCATCCATGTGAAGCACGAAGGACAGAGCCACTGAGTTCACGATGCAGTCCTTGCCGGAGCAGAGCTGGGCACATCTTTCAGCAGGGATTACAGAAAAACACCTGAACATTGCCTTGTAACTGGTGGTTTCCCAGTATTTTGGTGGAGGAAGCCATGTTTCAAAAGGGCAACATGTCTCTTTTAAGGAGCCCTGTTCAATTTTCGGCCCAACCGCGCGATGCGTTTTGTGTACGACCTTGCGTGCGCCCGTACTCAAACTGCACGACCAAGAAAAGTAGACTTCCGATGATTTCCGCAGCTGCGTTTTAGCTTCCATGCATGTCGCAACGCTGGCCGCTCAGGACCTTCATTCTAAGCCCGTAACAAGAGGTGCAGCCAACTTGTTAACATGTTGTAAGGCCTTTCAGGCAAGCCATAACGGACCTGCTGATTGAGCATGTAAAACACATTCCTTGTGCGAACACCATCCACCAGCATGAGTTTTCATTCACATTGGGGTCAACTGATTGTTTCTGCGGCCTACACGATAAGTGCTTGCAGACAATCTAGCCGGCCTCCTTAAACAACACTTCAATCGCATCTTTGGCAACTGTTGCAAAATATGCTTGCAAGAAAGCAGCCGCTCTCAAATGAAGTTCAAAAGTAACTTAGTCCGCGACATGCGCGTGGGTCGCGACGCCTGGTCGGACGCGTTTGGAGCGATCTCGGAGCACGTTGGGAGCTGGGCCCAGTGGCACTAACACGCGCGCTTTTCGCAACATGAGTTTGCGCGGCAAGTGCAGCACTTTCGCAAGGTCAAATGCAGATTTCATGGCAGGCGGAGCACTTTCACAAAATGAATACAGAAAAATAGATCGAAAGATAGATAGATAGAGGGATGGATAGATTTAGATAGATAGACAGACAGACAGACAGACAGACAGACAGACAGAGAGAGAGAGAGAGATAAATAGATAGATAGATAGATAGATAGATAGATAGATAGATAGATAGATAGATAGATAGATAGATAGATAGATAGATAGATAGATATATATAGATAGATAGAATATATTAGATTAGATTAGATTAGACTAGAGAGACAGACAGATAGATTAAATAAATAAATAAATTAGATTAGATTAGATTAGATTATATTAGATTAGATAGATAGATACATTAGATAGATAGATAGATAGATAGAATAGATAGAATAGATAGATAGATAGATTGATTGATTGATTAGATAGATAGATAGATAGATAGATGGATAGATGGATGGATGGATGGATAGATAGATAAATAGATCAGAAGGAAGAAACACAAACAAAACACAATTGAATAAACACGAAAGAAAGAAAGGAAGGAGGAACAACAGAAAGGCTAAAATCACGATGACAAACAGCAAGAGGAGCAAAAACAAGAAGAAACAAATAACGATGACTATAGTTATCACATTTCTGCAACTTCCGCCCAGCGGCTTCGTTTTTCTCTGCTGCTTTTTTTGGTGCAGGCAACTTCCTGAAGGGTCGATGACCCCGTGCCAAGACCTCGCCCCAAGGTAGGTGGCAAACGAAACTGGACTCCCGACTCCCCACTGGGCTGCCCTCAGATCCCCCGCTAAAAGTGACTAACTTTTGGTGGGTTAAATGGAAACTACCACTAAACACTGAAAGGCTAAAAGGCTAAGGGGATGGCTTGGAGCCACCAAGCCTGAAGGATCTTAGCCGCAGCGGGGCTTTGCCTGAATTTGCTGGTGCTACGACAGGACGGACGTGGGCAAGGAGATTGCTGCGTCCATGCTGCATCGACACGTGCTGGCCACTTGCTAAGGGGCTTGCGGAGCACAACAAGCGGGTTTGCATGCTGCGGCAATAGGGCTCTTGGCATACCGTGTATGCATCACGGGATCGCCTAATGCTGGTCTGTGGGTTTGGAGCGCATTCATCTGGGTTATCTGGCTAAGACGAAACTCTGACAAGGGGCAACCCCCAAACCCACAGATCTCAAGCATTGGCCAAGCGCCAGATCAAGCCAATATATATATATATATATAGATACAACTCCCTTCAGATTTGATATGGTACATGACACCTACAACTCTGCATGTCACCATGGACATCCAACATTTCAAACACATGGGTGTGTCATTTTATTGAGGGTACCCCTTTTGGTCTGCTTAACATGAAAACCAAAGGACAAAACAACATTTTTCGGGGGGTCCCCTCACACACGACAGACCCAAGGATGGCCGGGCGTCGCTAATGGTTTGCGTCTCCATCAGGAAGGTGATGCCAATCTCTGCAGTCAGCTTCCAAAGCATGCCCTTCGCGCCGAGGATGAAGATAGCATTTATGAGCTTCCACCTCAAGGACTGCTGAGCAAGAGCTAAGCGCACATCAACCTGGGTGAATTGAAATATTTCGATTAACCTGAAATAAGGCTGTTGGGGGGCTATTCCCCACATAAATCACCATTGGGGTGAGATAAGGTTGTTATAATACACCCAGATCAACTAAGGCGAATGATCCCTGCCAAACATATCGAACCCTCGACGTGACTGCTTCAGCGCAACAACCACCAACACATGAAACTTAGCCAATTCAAACCCGCCGCCACACACACAATACACACATGCCTACCAATCAGCCAGGTGTTGATAGGCAAACATCTACTAGCCTCCTATGGGATGTGTGACTCATTGGATACGGCTCTGACAGAACATGGCAGGGATTTCGAAGCCTGCCCCTGCCCTTCGACATGAGCCGTTAGGGACTTTCAAAATCGTGTGCTCTGAAATCCCTCAAAAGGAATCATCAAGGGCCAGAGTCTGTCTTTCTGATGCCCGATCAAACATTATACGGGTGTGTGTGTGTGACCCAAACAATTGTGGTTTTCCTTTTGGTTTCCCTTTGAACGACCCTGCCACAAAGTGCGCTTGAAACAATGACACATCGATATAATGCACAAAAGTTCGCTTCAAACGAAATGTGCTCATTGGTGTTGTTGTTTCCCATGGTTTCTCTAAAGACACCGGGGCCCAAACCGGGCGTCCCGCAAGAGGATGCCTTTCGATTGATTGTAGTAAATATCGTTTGGAAGTACACGTCCCTTGCTGACACACGCCTTACCCATACGGGGTGTTTTGGAGAGAGTATGAACGTCAGCACGCCGTTTGGGGTCATTTGCTCAAGGGATAGACCCCAAGGTGGCTGTATGGGGCACAAGTGCTTGGTTCACCAACCCATTGCGTCCGAGGCTGTTGGAACTCGGACGACCCCTAGGCTCCTGCCGTTGTTTCTATATATTACCTGTCTTCCTATGTCGGGGGTTGGGATTCGGCTCATGGTCTCAATCAGTTAAAGTCAAGGAACGTGATCTTTGGTCAGTGAACCATGCTAAACAAGTCGACTCCCAAGTAGCAAAACAACATGAACACAACACAATGGAAAATAGAAGCAACATATCTGCAAGCAATTCACAAGTAAAGAGTACAAGCCCGATACTTGGAAAGGGGGCGCACATGTTGCCATGACATATCGACACCTCTGTTACAACGCACAATATGACTACAGGCAACGTGAAACTCCGGCCCAACATCAACCTCTTCCTGGACTGCCAAGCCCACTCAATTCTGTAGAGAAAAAGTTCAGTCTTTGGTGAATCGAGGACCCTTTGGGGCAAATGTAGTGGTGCCAGAACAACCCTCCCAGGAAAAAGCTCGAGCGAGTGAATTTAGAGTAGGTTGAGTTTCTGGGAGCCGCAACTCTCCTTTCTGAAAATTGCTTTGGACACGAACCACAAACATTTCTGAAACGATGTTGCAGCATCATGCTATTATGTGTAGCAAATGTGAAGCTCAACTTAGGATATCTCCAACACGGAGTTAGCATTGTACACTCACTTGTACTACCGCAAACTCCAGGTGCTTAATACATGTGTGCCATATACATGTATGTGCAGCTAACACTGATAGCATCCACGAGCCGTTTGTTTAACACATCTCAGGCGTGAACTCAGACCATCTTGAATAAGTTTCCAGCCTATGCCCCGTATTGCTGGCGTATGTCTAGTTTCGACTTGTCCCTGAGCATAGTCTAGCTTCTTGCTAGCACCTGTCTGGAATCATAGAATCACTGCTAAGAGTCCCCAAAAGGGGACCCCAAAAGTAATGTGCTCTTTGCTCAAATGGTACCTAAAAAGCGCTATTTAAACTCTTTTTGCCACATAAATGGACATTGCTCAAATAGTGACTAAAAAGCTAGATTTGCTACATTTTTTCTCTGGGCACATGAACCTTGATGCTGCCACTTCATGTTCAAGGTCGGCAGTATCACCTGGGGCTATGGACAATTGGCATGATGACCCAAATGCTACTCAAATACTCCAAAACACATACTAATCTGAAGGTTTTGGTCGAATCTGCTCAAATGCTGCTCAAATGCTACTCAAATGCTACTCAAATGCTGCTCAAATACTCCAAAACACATCCTAATTTGAAGTTTTGGTCGAATCTGCTCAAATGCTGCTCAAATGCTGCTCAAATGCTGCTCAAATGCTACTCAAATGCTACTCAAATGCTACTCAAATGCTACTCAAATACTCCAAAACAAATACCAATTTGAAGGTTTTGGTCGAATCTGCTCAAATGCTGCTCAAATGCTGCTCAAATGCTGCTCAAATGCTACTCAAATGCTACTCAAATGCTACTCAAATGCTACTCAAATACTCCAAAACAAATACCAATTTGAAGGTTTTGGTCGAATCTGCTCAAATGCTGCTCACTCAAATGCTACTCAAATACTCCAAAACACATACTAATTTGAAGATTTTGGTCGAATCTGCTCAAATGCTGCTCAAATGCTACTCAAATGCTACTCAAATGCTACTCAAATGCTACTCAAATACTCCAAAACACATCCTAATTTGAAGATTTTGGTCGAATCTGCTCAAATGCTACTCAAATGCTACTCAAATGCTACTCAAATGCTACTCAAATGCTACTCAAATGCTACTCAAATGCTACTCAAATGCTACTCAAATACTCCAAAACACATCCTAATTTGAAGGTGTTGCCCAAATTCCACGAAAAACCTTTAAATTAGGTGTCCCAGGGTATACCAACCCCCACTCAATCATAGGATCCAGTCGTGGGTTCCCAATGTTTACCCCCCCGCACTCAATGTGCAGTTTTGCTGCTTTTAAGCGCTTAACTGTTGGGGGACCCCTTTTGCGGACTCTTAGCAGTGATTCTATGATGGAATAGACCTAGCATACTGCAATTGTTCTAGCGTATGCCTAGTGCACATCGATCATATTAGTCTCTTCTACAACCACGAGTTCTAGCCCTTGATTAGGCTTGTTTATGTTGTATTATGTTGTGCATGTCAAGCATAGTCGTAGGTATGTGCCAAGCAAAGCGTAGATCTGGCATCGGTCTAGCGGGGTGCTTGGCAAATGTGTGCCTGGGATGTCTATTACAACAAAGGAGTCCCTTTTGACATGTTCTCGACCAAGCTATGTGTAAGCATCTGCAAGCATCTCTCGGCTGACTTCGCAAAAGGTGTCACTGCGTGTGGGTCCAGAACCTTGCAACTGGTCAAGGAATGATGCCACTCTCAAAGGTAGGTCTTGAACAGGGGTAGCATGTATGCATGTGTGAAGGGTCTGTATAAATGTATGTATGCATGTATGAGAGGAATGTATAAATGCATGCCTGTTTTGGTGTGAATAAATGAATGCACGTATGTATGCAATATTGTATACATGTGTGTATGCATGCAATGTAATGGAATGTCTTGGATTGTAATGCAATGCGATGCAATGCAATGCACTGCAATGCAATGTAGTGTAACGTATGCATGGATGTATCTATCTACTATATCTATGTATGTGTATATTGCATACATACATAAAAAAACGTGCATAGCAATATGTGTATGTCTGCAGGCATGTAGGTCTGCAGGTATGTATGTATGTATGTAAGTATGTATGTATGTATGTATGCTTGTATGTATGCATAAACGTATGTGTGCGTGTGTGTGTGTGTGTGTGCACACGTGTATGTGTGTACGTGTGTATGCCTGCATGTCTGTATGTCTGCATGTGTGTGCGCGTCTATTTGCGTATGTGCGGTATGTGGGTGTGTTTTTTGTTTTTAGGTATGTGTGTGTGTGTGTGTATGTCAATGTGTTTGTATGTGCGTATGTGTGTACTACGTGTGGGCGCATTATGTGTGTTTGTCTGCGTATGTGCGTGTGTATGTGAATGTGTATGTGTGGGTGCGTGTGTACATGTGTGTGTGTGTGTATGTGTGTGTATATGAATGTATGTGTGGAATATTGTGTATATGTGCGCGTATGTGTATGTGTACATGTGTTTGTGTGTGTGTTTGTATGTGTGTGTACGTGGGCGTATGTGTATGTATGTGTGCGGATGTGCATGTGTATACGTGCATGTGTATATGCGTGTGTATGTGTGTATTGGTGTGTATGTGTATGTATGTGTGCGTTTATGTGTATGTGTATGTGTATGTGTGCATGTGTATGTGCGTGTACGGGTGCGTATGTCTATGTGTGTGTATTGTGTATGTGTATGTGCATGTGTGTGTATGTACAGGTGTTCGTATGTGTATGTATGAATGCATGCATGCATGTCTATAGGTACGCACGTAAACGCAAGTACGCAAGTATGCAGATGCATGTATGCATGTATGCATGTACGTACGCACGGAGGCAGGCTATGCACATATATATATATATAATAATTATAATTATAATAATAATAATAATGATAATAATAACAACAACAATAATAATAATAATAATGATAACATATATATATATACACATATGGAATCTGTGATAGATGCAGACTTGCGAGCATGTTCTACAGCTCGCCTCTTTTAGCCACCAACCTGAGCTACGTATCCTAGCGCCGACAGGGATCCCTCGGCAGATCTCAGATGAGCGTCACAGAAAGTCCCGGGACCCGGCCTCAACGGCATCCCCTGTACGGAGATGGTGACGTATTCCAGCCAGTTGTCCCCCACCTCGCAAGGCAGCTTTTGGCCTTTGCCCTTAACGTGAATTCACTCGGCTGGATTGTTCATAGCAAAAGTCCGGGAACGGGAATACCAGGGGCAAAACAAAAATCCTAGCCAGCGTAACCTCGTAATTAAAAAACAAAACATACACACACACATTGGATTTGGTGTTCTAAGATGATCCAAAATTATGCGCAAACATTCCAGTTCAACTCGGTAGCCAAGGATTTGGTACTGAGCTTCCTTCGTGGAACCCACGCGGGCCAAAGTCGGGAGCGGAGAACATAGACCACATAACTCCATTCGTCTTCTTTTTGCCACCCCGTCGAATTGTTTAGGCCTGTATGATCCCTCTTTCCCCTTGGATTCGGATAAAAAAATCACATATCACCATTTGTTGAGTCCTGCGATTTTGACACAGACCCATTCAGCCAGAAACACCGGTCCCAACGCGCGCACAACATTTTTCTGGAGCTCAAAGAGACGCGATTCCAGTGACTTATGCGACCAGTGCATTTCAGGATCAAAGGCGGGGGACCTTCCAGCTTTGCCAACATTCGTGTGGGTCTCATGGGGTAGCACAGCCAACATTTGGGTCTCATGGCCGCCCACCGCGCATGGGCGGTTTGCCAAGTGGCTTTCCCGAAGCCGACCCCCCAGAAAGACCCACCAAGGCCCGGGAGGCGGCCTGGTCCGTGCCGGGGTCGTTGAACTCCAGCCACGACCTGACGCGCCGCCCAAGCAACATGAAATGAATGCGCCCGGGTCATCAAATATATATATATACAAATATATACATATACATATATACATGTGCAAGAACAACTGGGGGTGGGTCAACACCAATGGGATCCCATTTTCGGGGTAGGTGCACCACCCATTTTAGTCTATTTTAGTCTATTTCAGTGGGGATTGGGATGTTCACTGGGGGGTAACCAAGGTTTTGACCCATAGCCAATTGAACTTGTTGAGCTTTGGAGTTGAGATTCAGTGGCATCCCAAAGCTCCGTGTTTTCACCAAGGCCTGAGCTGGCTCTATGGCAGCTATCCTGCCATAGGGAGAGGCCAAGCTACGCACATGCGAAGTGACAGCATTGACGCTGATTGGCCCACGGGAGTGCCGTCACCTTCCCCCTTCGGAACTCGGCTGGGGTTGCGGGGTTCAAAGTGAGCCACAACCAGGGCTTCAAATCCGGATCCAAACCAAACCAAACCAAGCCAAGCCCGGCTTTTGGTTCTTGAGCTTCCTTGCGGTTTTTCGCGCTCCTGGCGGCCACCAGGCAAAGAAATTCTGATGGATTCTGGCCGGGAAAGAGCAAGTGCTTCTTTCAGCTGGAGCCCATTGAAAAAAGAACAAGAAAAAACAAAGCGCGGCTGAAAGTTGAACCTTGGCCAAGGTCCTTGCGAAAACTTCCCCAGCCCATTGAGCAAACCCCACAGGCGGAAAGCGAACATGGTCATGGTAGGTCATTCCGTCATTCCCCGAGAACCGTTGCCGCACTTGTTGCTTCCACCACAAAACCCCGCTTGCGCATCCGCTTCAGCAAAGGGGCGCGCGCTCGGTGGGCACGTCGTAGAGGAGACAGGCCATGCGCCAAATCAGGATCAGCTCCTCCGAAATGCCTCCGGCCGAACAGCTCCCTCGAGGCTGGGGGTCAATTTCATAGGTGTCCTTTAGGGCAAATAGATGGCCCTGGTTGATGATTGAACCACCGGGTAAACCAGGGCGCCATCTATTTTTCCCCCAAAACAACCAAAAAGGACACCTATGGTCAATTTGTTGAGCCTTGCTACCCTGAATTGGGTTACTGTTTGGGGGGAAACCAAAGGACATTGATTCATGGTACCCCAATTGAGACCAATCGTAGCCCTGTGCCAGGCAACACAAACATTTGCCCACACGAACTTCGTGTTATACGTAAACCAAAGGCAACAACACCGGAGGCAAAGTTCGACTCAAGACGAAGGCGCCGGAACAAACACATGGTGTGCAGAGCACTCGAATCCTTGCTAATCCTATCCTCGAGTGGGTCGCACATTTAGCTTCAAAGAGACTCCTAGATTGTCCAATCTATCGGATTCTGATTCAAATGCGTCATGCTTTTGTCCAAGCCCACGCTCTATGCAAGATGTTCCTTCTTACGTCTTACTGTTCCTTCCCCCCCTCCCTCCAAAAAACACACACAACCTTATAGGTGTCCTTTTTGGGAAAATAGATGGCCCTGGTAGTTGATTGAACCACCAGGTAAACCAGGAATCGCCCTCTATTTGTCAACCAAAATAACCAAAAAGGACACCTATGACCTCCTCCCTGAGCTCAGAAGAGTCTTCGCCCAAGTCACTAAGCATGAAGATGAAGCAGCACAGCCACCGGCACATGCGGCTCTCGGCTCCATACTCCCCTGCCGAACGGTCGGCAAAGCGAAATGGTTCGCCCTGAGGAGCATGGCAGGCTGTCAGACTCTACAGCTTCCATTTGCTTAAGCCCCCCGGAAAAATGAAATATTTCCAGTAGTGGTAGATTCCCTTTAAAACCAATAAATGAACATTAAACAAAATCTTAAGCAAATGGAAGTGTTGCATGCTCATGCCACTGAGTGCTGCTCAGAGCAACTCGGTTCAAAACCTTGTCCCAGTTAACCCGAAGCGGACGGATAGGGCCATGATGGTCCAACAAAAAAACAACAGCCCAGTAAACAGTAAACATGGGAAACACGAACATCCTCAAACAGCTTTGGTCCTATTGGGTCAGAAAAGAACCCAACACCAGCTTCAGGAAATCCAACGCTTGGCCACCTAAATGGTCATGATAAGAAATTGATGTCCCCGAGAGTACTGCTTCGCAAACGGTGTTTCACTGTCCTTTTTCTGTACAGGCATTTGCTGGAATTCTGCGATTTCAGCACGCAGTACTGAAAAGCAAAGTAAAGGACCTTTGTCAGGATGAGCTCGTTATACTTCCAGGTGGGCTTGCTAGAAAATAGGCAGAAGCATGCTATTGAAACAAAACAAACCTCCGGAGAGCTCCTACTCACACACACGGCTCATTGCAGTGACAGACAAAGACACGCATGGCAATTGGCTTGACAAACACATGGAGGGCACTATGGTCATGCTGGTGCCAAAGTGTGCTTGGGGAAAGAAGCAAAGGCAGCTGAAAAAGTGAGGTTCACTGGGCCCGAGGAAATAAAGTCTTACAACATGAGCCACCTTCCCTTGGCAAAAGCCGCCAATCCCAGCCTGGATCCACATCTCTGTCAATCTCAGACGCCTTGTCCGGGAAAATCCTGAGCCAAACAGCAGCTTTCGAAGGGTGCAAATTGAAAGGCGCCAAGCCAACACCTTCCAATCTACTAAGCTTGATCAATTATTTTTGTTCAGAGCGTTGAATCAATTGTTCAGATTTGATCAAGCTACCCTCCAAGGCATAGCCATGTGATTGCAAAAAGTCGCACTCAAGTCCTGGTGTAACCTTTCACAACCAAAGGCATTGGGGTGTGCATGTGCCAACCCGGAGGGTTGAAAATTCGACTGGGATGCTGGAACGGAACTCTCAACGCAAAGACTCCATGTCTGTGCCTTGTCCTTACAGGGCGAAACGAATTACTGGGCTGCCCACACAGCAGCCGAAAAACAGGGCCTACGCAAAAATATCTTGGTTGAAACACTGCCGTGAGCACCTCCCATGGCTTTTGTTCGTCATGCCGAAGTCTTCGGCTCCTGTCCACCTGTGGACAGTCCTGGACTTCAACCACTAAGTGGTTGGATTTCAACCACTAAACCACAATAAGCAAAAATGTTTAAAAAGTTTCCCAACAACAAGCATGTTGATTGTGTCAGCCACAGGCCCCGTGTCGCCAAACATATTGGCCGCAACAACTTATGTGTGTTGTAAAACCAGAACGGGACACTCGCTTCCTGGATCTCAAGTATCTTGCGGATCTCAGTCATAGCACGAAAGGTAACCACAAATACCAATTGCTCATGGGGATGTAGGGTACATTAAAGCCAAAACAAGCCAGGAGTGTACTATTACCGCCTAGCCGCGGGTTCTAGTCAACCAGGTTTGGCAACTTGTGCAATTGTAGTGGCAGCTGGCAAGGAGATGTGCGCAATATGATAGTCTGCCCGGTGCAGTTTGGGAAGAGGTGTGTGTGGGTGTGTGTGTGGGTGCGTGCGTGCGTGCTTGCTTGCTTGCGTGTGTGCGCGTGCGAGCGTGCGTGCGTACGCATAAAACGAATAATGTATATATATATATATATATTCATGTATACATATATACACATGATATGTGTCATGTCGTGCAGCAATCTCGATTTGAAGCGTAAACAACTGGTCCGTCGAGACTGCATCCACAGCTCTCGCTCGGAGTATGCTGTTCAAGTCCGAGTTCGTGCAAATGATCAAATGATGCACGCCTGCAGGATTCACCTGGAATATCTGTGGTTGGTTGCTTCAATCTCAGCTGATTCAAAATCGGGCACAACATTCCATGATAGGCAACTAGCTGCTGATCAGTCATGGTCATTCAGCTGCATGGTTGTGACTACTTGATCACTGTATTTCCATGTATTTCCCAGGTATCACAGAAAGTAACCACAACACGCAATTTCTCACCACTATTCGTCAGCCAAGGGGCGCTTTCAAGGAGTCTTTGAAAAACATGCGGGTGCCTGGGCAGATGCGAAGGCTCTCAAGCCAGCTCTCACACCAGCGTCGACAGTAGCATCTTCCAAACAAGTGGCTCTTTGGGGCGGGGCAACGGGCAAGCAGCGTGTCAGCAACAAGTCAACAACGAGTCAACATGTGTAGATGGGACCAATGGTTGTATTGAAGAATGCCTTGCTGGTCAGAAATCCACAAACCCAAAGGAACAAGATACAAAGGGAAGTATGGCTCAAGATCGTTAGTCGTACCATGTCGTACCCGAAAAAAAAGGGAAATGCGACACGCATCCATGCTGAGCGATTGGCAAACTCACATTGTCCTTGGGCATGACAAGTCAGCAAGGCAAGAACGTCCCAACTGTTGCATTTTGCGGTTGCTTGCTTCAATGACAATCGCAGGTCATCGCTTTGGGAAATTTAATCTCCGGTGGAATGGGAAGATAAGGCCGGTGGTTCGGTAGAAGGGATCCTTATAACATGAATGCCTCATTTCCGACAAGGTTTTGACACCATGGAAAACCGCGCCATCCCAGAAAGAATGCTTTCTCACAGCTAAATGAATAGATGCCCGGTCAATGAATTCTATACACAGCACTGACAGCACAGAAGGACTCAATCCATGTTTTGGAGTTCCCAGCAGATTGTTACGCAACACATCCTCTTGTTGTGCATGATTCTGCATCATACAACATTGCTTGTCAAACAAACGACTGCCAAACTACAAAAAACACAGGATCACAGTCGACATTTCATCTTGTAGCCATTCCAGCACAAAGGAACTTACTTGCTGAACCATGCTGAGCCGTGCGCGAGGCCACGCTCTTCTTTTTTTTTGGGTGTGTGTGTTGTTGTGTGGTGTGTTACGCGTTGTGTAGTGTCTGTGTGTGCTGTGTGTTGTGTAGTAGGTGTGTGGTGCAGTGTAGTGCAGTGCAATGCAGTGCAGTGTCGTGTCGTGTAGTGTTGTGAAATGAAGTGTGTAGTGTAGTGTAGCGTAGCGTAGTGTAGAGGCCGTATGTGGCCGTGAAGTGTGTTGTGCTGTGTAAATTTTGTGTGTGTGTGTGTTACCAACGGAATGTTGAGTATGGAAAGACCACCTGACTTTTGAATCTGAAGACTGACCTGGCTGTTTCACCTGACCTCGCGGTTTTTGTCGAAGGGCTGTCGAAGGGCGAAGTCTCTTGACAACCCTGCGGACTGGTCTCTCCGAACAATCCCGAAGCCTTGTGACATGGAAATCTCACCGAGATACCTTATGGGCAACCTGAGCGAAGTTTACCGCACTCCAACTAAATTGGCTCCGAAAAATCAGGGGAAGAAAAAACGGATGCGATTTCATTGTGCAAGCCATCGCTCTGACGCTCAGATCTTTTGAAGGCAGAGCCGCTCCAGGACCGAAAGTCATAAAGCCGAGGCCCATCCACCTCGCGAAGCACGCGAAGGAGCAAAGGAAGCAAGGCACGAGAGAATGGTCTTGCTTGCCTTGCAGATGGGTCTCAAACGAGACCTGCGACAGTTCAGCCCTCTTTGTACCTGATATGGAGGTCCATTTCCCCCTCCAACGGAGGTTCCCTTCTGGCTTGGGGAGAAATTCCCCATCCGGGTGAAGCAAACGAGCAAGCCCGTTACTTGGAGGTCATGACTGGCTGTCAGTTGCAAACTCAACAGCTGAGTTGAACGGTCATATCTAGCTCTCAGTTGTAAGCGTCAACTGATGACATCAGTTGAACCCCTGAAAAAAGGCTTTAACTGGCCAACTGGCACCGCTTTCGCGAACTCGGGCGTCGCAAAAAGCCCCGCGTCCCCGCGTCCCCGAGGCCTGCGTGCCACCAGGCCCCATACAGCTGGGGTCGTCTGGGCACTGGTCCAGTGGTGCCCCGAAGTCGCAGAGCCACATCTGCCCAGCGTACCTCAGAAAAACGTACCGCTTCTGCGCAGGAAAAAAACACAACACGCAAAATCATGGGCCAAATGAACACAAGGGTTGCAACTTGGAACAAGCGCATCTGTTGGTACGTTTGCTACAACTGGATCCGGCATGCGAAAACATGTTGTCGTACCTTTTCTGAGACTCGGTTGTTGGAAACAATTCGGGGCCCCCAGCCCTCAAGCTGATTTTTAAAGAACATCCTTACTCCGTAGCTCGGGTGAGATTCAAAGGGCAGCTAAAAGCCTCTCGAAAACCCAGCCGGCAGAAACAGATACAGAATGTCAATCGAAACACTCACTTCAGCTTGTTCGCGCGGCTCAACAAAACCAATGCTCAGGCACTTTTCTGTTTCAATCTGTGCGGTTTGCCAAATTCTGAACCTTGGCCTGCCATTGGTTGCAGCTGGTGCCACCAAATAAGTTTGTCGCCACCAGTTGTCTTGCAACGGAGATTTCTCATGTTATGCACGGCCTGTGGTCTGTTTGAGTCCTGCGTCCCTCCAATATGATTGGTGTTTATGCACAAAACCAAATATTGGCTGACTGGTTTGGGGGAAGGCTGTTGACGTGTGCGCGCACACAGACACACACATCATGAATCCGTACCATGACAGCTTCAATTTCACGCACGCAAGACGTGGAGGACTAACCTTAAGCTGTCCCAGGACAGCTTGTTTTACTCTGAGAGTCTGCACAGGTCCAATCAACATCGCGTCTATGGCTTATGGCAACATGCCTCCTGACCAAGCCTACATGTCGAAGGACAGCTCAAGATGCAGAAACACCAAAACACACCTGTCAGCAAGGCGAAAACAATCAAAGACTGGAAGTAAGCCAGGTTCCACGTGATGTGTCAGCCGTGAGACGGTGCAGCATCCTTTCCACTTTCCAGTCAGTGAGTCAGTGGGCCGTGTGTTGGCTCTCAAAGCAGTCAAGAAAGCCCATTCCTTCCTATGGGTGCGTCTTTGTTTTGAGGGGTCTCTGACGGCACGCGCCAAGTCCAAGACTCAGATCCAAGACATTTTGCTCACGCCCAATCTCTGATAGCAGCAAGGACTGCAGAAGGAAGTTCAAGAGGAAGAGTATATACACCTGAGTCACAATCGAAAATTCAAACCCCTGTCTTGAAATGGTCGTACTCCCAGAACCATGCTTCAAGAATTGAGAAGGCGGATATCCGCAGCGATTTTTATGGCAAGGGGATTGTCCCTCCCCTCCAAAAATCCCCGAATCGGTTTTGATTGCACGTGGCTCTGGGCGAACTAAGGACGGACCAAAGCAGGCCAGCGAACACATCCCATAGATCCGGCCATAGGTCAAAACCCAAAGCGTTACCCGTGAACATCCGATTCAATCCAACCACTCAAATAGGAAGCCTAAAATGGGTGGCGAATTCACCAAAAGCCAAAATGGGATCCCAAAACGGGTTTGACAACCACAGCCATGTAACCTGGGCTGAAGAACCTAAGCCAGACACCATGATCCCTGATTCATTCGAGATCTGTGAGTCGAACAGAAGTTGCATCAATGACTTGCTTCAAAGAAATGCCCAGATGGTTGGGGGTCAAAAATATGTACCCAACATGGAATCCTGGTAGGTAAATGGAAACATGGACCAACACCTGCGGGCCCCTGGTGGTTGAATTTTGACTCATACCCAGATGTCAAAATGTGTGCAAAGCAGCAAGCTAATGCCCTCGGCGCCGCTTCTCTTAGCCCAATCGGAATTGGATCAATACCGTCACAGTCGAGAAACAAAAAACACATTTTGCGAACGCGGATTGAAAGTGAACAGGTCGGATATGGCCGTGTGTCAAAAACAATGGGAGGGTAGGTGCACCACTCATTTTAACACCTATAGTTTTGTTGGAATTGGGATGTTCACTGGGGGGTAACTGCGGTTTTGACCCATTGCCATATGAGACTCTCGGTCGATCCTGGCCTCTGGTTCCGTTTGCGTGTGGCTCTCTTGGGCAGACTCTAGGCCCATCACAGGTGCAATCGCAACAAACCCTCAAGCCTTTTGATCACCGTGTATTTCCGGGTCCCTGAGGGGCAACTTGCCAGAGAGTTTTATAAGGATGGGCCGGTTGCACTGTCTGGCTTGTTTGGACCCAGTGAGGCCACATGGCTGTGGGTTAAAACCAATGGTATCATTTTTTGAGGTAGGTGCACCTCCATTGTAGTCTGTTTGGATGTTCACTGCGGGTACGGGGTTTTGACCCATGGCCACCCTTTGGGACCTTTACTAAAAGTGGACCAAAAGGAGGAAGCCAAGAGATGAAAGGTTGGCGATGGACAACGCCAAGGTCCTCCAGTACAGAGGTTAAGGGTACCAGCTCTTCTTTTTGCTGTCTATTTTAGTAGGGGAGCCGAATCTCCCACCCAACAAAGGGGAGAGACGGGCACCTAGCTGGGGGACCTGGACGCTTCCACCTGAGCCTTTGGCAGCCTGCCAAGGAGCTCGAACGGTGACAAACCTCAGGCGGAGGAAGCTTCCAACTTCCGGCCATAGGTCAAAACCCAAATCGTTACCCGTGAACATCCGATTCAATCCAACCACTCAAATAGGAAGCCTAAAATGAGGGGTGAATTCACCCACCCCAAAATGGGATCCCAAAACGGGTTTGACATCCACAGCCACACCTACTAACAGCGGCGAAAGCGCCCACACTGCGGGGGAAAGCGGTGAAAAGGAAGGTATGTCTATCTGGACATTTGAGGTGACTGCCATCGATTTAGGTTCAGCACATGCCTGCAGTTGCCTCAGCAACGTCGACTGAAATGGACATTTAAGTCAAACTATGCATCTAACAGAACCAATGACTCTCCATCTGCATCCTAGTTTTGACCGGCCATACTAGACACTCTACCTCCAAAAAAGTGATTATTGTCAGAGTGACGTGCTGGGTGGGGGGGTGAGAAATCCTACAGCACTTTGAAACCATGGGAAACCATTGTTTGGTGGTGCTTGCAGGGGAATCATCATTCCAGGGGTTCCTAGGTGCGTCGATCCACAGTACTGTGCTCTCAGGTACCTTTTTTTGAATGTGGTCCGGGACTTGAAGCAACAAGGAAAAGACGGGCAATTGAATTGGTTCACCAACCATGTACCAACGCCATCATTTACCAACCATGTACCAACCATTTACCAAATCTTCCTGTCGCCATCTACGCCATTTCGAGCGCCAACTTTAAAATGGACTCGCGAGTGCTCCGTGTATGCGCTGGGGTACCAGCCGCATTGGCCAAGAGGCGACGTGTTTACCCTTGACTAAAGAGCCGATAGCCAAACTGGCCACTCTCCATGGGTGTTTAGAGATTAGAGCGTTTCTTGTGGACTCGAATCACAGAAAACCCGACAGCAAAACCACATGGTTCCCTACTCTGCACCATGAGTGTTACTCAAAACCTGGTCTTCAAATGATTGTGCTGCCCTTACTAACCTTCATCTACCCTGATTTTTTGATGGCTCACATGCCCGCAACTTTACTTGCTGGTGCGATAGGCAGGGAATCTGGGAATGAACCCAGGAATTGGTCCCCTCAAAGGAAACCGACAGTTGGATGGGACTCTCTCGGGGTCAGACTCCGTGTCTCGTTCCTCAGTTGCTTTCTGCTCCCCTGCTCAAAGTTTAACTTTTAGTGGTATAATACGGAAAACCCATTAGTTGGTATTTTTCTGCTCCCCTGCTCAAAGTTTAACTTTTAGTGGTATCCGCCGACCCCTTCTCCTCAAAGGGGAGGCGCACGGGAAGGGTGGTTGCAGTACAAGCGCATGGATTAATCTTTGAGGCAAGCATATGACTACTGGCATCATACGGATGCCCATCATCATCATCATCATCATCATCATCGATATGATCCTTCATCATTCTTATCGTCAACATCATCATCATCATTTCTATATCCTTCAACATCATCATCTCTTGTTAGCCGGCACTGGTGATGCCGAGGATGTCATCATCATCTCTTATTGGGCAGCACTGGTGATGCAAAGGGTGTTATGATGATAGTTGTCATCATAATCATCATCATGATCATCCTTATTATGATGTCATCGCTCTTCTCATCATCATCATGATGATCATCATCATCTCATTCTTATTATTATTCTTATATGCATTTCTAAAGTAACGCTAGGCCCCATTGGCAATGCAGAGGATGCTACGATGATAGTTATCATCACAGTCCTCATCCTTATCATCACTATCATCATGGTCATCATCATCTCTGTTAGCCGGCACTGATGATGCCGAGGATGCTACGATGATAGTTATCATCACAGTCCTCATATGCAAAGGGTGTTACGATGATAGTTATCATCATAATCATCATCATGATCATCCTTATTATGATGTCATCGCTCTTCTCATCATCATCATGATGATCATCATCATCTCATATATGCATTTCAAAAGTAACGTTAGACCCCACTGGTAATGCAGAGGATGCTACGACGATACTTATCATCACAGTCCTCATCCTCATCATCACTATCATCATGGTTATAGCCGGCACTGGTGATGCCGAGGATGTCATCATCATCTCTTATTAGGCAGCACTGGTGATGCAAAGGGTGTTATGATGATAGTTGTCATCATAATCATATCATCATCTCATTCTTACTCTTATTCTTATATGCATTTCAAAAGTAACGTTAGACCCCATTGGCAATGCAGAGGATGCTACGATGATAGTTATCATCACAGTCCTCATCCTTATCATCACTATCATCATGGTCATCATCATCTCTTGTTAGCCATGATGCCGAGGAGGCTACGATGATATATATCATCACAGCCCTCATCTTTGTATATAAGAAAGATAGAAGATGATGATAATGAGATGATAAGGATGATGACTCTTATGATAACTATCATCGTAGCATCCTCTGCATTACCAAAGCTGCGGATGACTGTCATGATAACTATCATCGTAGCATTCTCTGCATTACCAAGGGTGCCTAACGCCACATTTGAAATGTATAAAGAAGAAAGATAGAAGAAAGAGATGATGATGATGATCATGATGACAATGATGAAGGCGATGACTATGATGACAATCATCGTAGCATCTTCTGCATTACCAAAGGTTCCTAACGCCACATTTGAAATATGAAGCTATTATTTTATTATTATTTGTTTACTCAGGCTGGTTAAAAGTGTGTGTTTGTCATCAGAGTTTCATACGATTTCATTGAGGGATTTGCTCAAGCTGGAGCCATGAGATGTCATGATAACTATCATCGTAGCATCCTCTGCATTACCAAGGGTGCCCAACGCCACGATTGAAATGTACATAGAACAAAGATAGAAGAAACAGATGATGATGATGATGATGACACTCATGATGACGATGATGCAGGCGATGACTATATGACAATCATCATGAAGATGATAAGGATGATGACTTTTATGATAACTATCATCGTAGCATCCTCTGCATTACCAAAGCTGCGGATGACTGTCATGATAAGTATCATCGTAGCATCCTCTGCATTACCAAGGATGCCCAACGCCACATTTGATATGTGTATAGAAGAAAGATACAAGAATAGAAGGAAGAGATGATGATGATGATGACAAGCATGATGACGATGATGACGGCGATGACTATGATGACAATCATCATGAACATGATAAGGATGATGACTCTTATGACAACTATCATCGTAGCATCCTCTGCATTACTGTCATGATAACTATCATCGTAGCATCCTCTGTGTTACCAAGGATGCATTTCAAATGTATATAGAAGAAAGATAGAAGAAAATCATGATGACGATGATGAAGGCGATGACTAGGATGACAATCATGACAATCATGATGACAATGATGAAGGCGATGACTATGATGACAATCATCATCTTATGATAACTATCATCGTAGCATCCTCTGCATTACTAAAGCTGTGGATGACTGTCATGATAACTATCATCGTAGCATCCTCTGCATTACCAAGGATGCCTAACGCCACAATTGAAATGTACATAGAAGAGTAGAAGAAAGGTAGAAGAAGAGATGATGTCATGAAGATGATAAGGATGATGACTCTTATGATAACTATCATCGTAGCATCCTCTGCATTACCAAAGCTGCGGATGACTGTCATGATAACTATCATCGTAGCATCCTCTGCATTACCAAGGATGCCTACTACTGCATTTGGAATGATAGAAGAATATCATGATGACGATGATGAAGGCGATGACTATGATGACAATCATCATGAAGATGATGAGGATGATGACTCTTATGATAACTATCATCGTAGCATTTTTTGCATTACCAAAGCTGCGGATGACTGTCATGATCACTATCATCGTAGCATCCTCTGCATTACCAAGGGTGCCGCGATGATCATGACTACGCATCACTGTCGAAACGGCACCTCGCCTCAGATGCCATTTGGGTCAAAAAGAAACCAAAGAAACCAAAACCAAGGGCACTGTTTTTGGTTGCTCGAAAACCACAACTAAATCCAGGGGTCGGCGGCACTGGGCGGCAGCCCTTAAATAATACGGAAAACCCATTAGTTGGTAAAAAGTTAAAGTCCCAACATCCGAGCACCATGCACCGCTGATTCCCATTTGGCCAAAAAAACGCCCCCTACCAACATAGACAAAAAAACTGGAGGCGCACCTACCCCATGGTGCCAAAACGTTTCTCGAACCATGGTACCAAAATAGACAAAACTGGAGGCGCGCCCACCTCAAGATGCTACCAAAAACGGTTTCGCGAGCCACGGCCACGTCTCCTTCCCCGCCGCCTCTCGCGGCAACTTTTCGCCCCACGTCCGACTTCCAAGCGCCGAGACGCACCAAGGCCCGCGGCCAGCCGCAGCTTCGGCTGATCTGAGGGATCAGGATCACAGCCTGTGCCCGAAACCCAGCGGAGTCGCTGCCTTTTGTTGTGTTTATTTGTTCTGTGTGTTTGTTTTTTTTTCTCTGGCTTCTTCTTTTGTGCTTGTTTTTTTCTGCTTGTTTGTTTTCTTCTTTTTTCTCTGGAGACCCAACAAGAACTGCATGTAAAGCAACTGGGGCGCGACAGTGGCTGTCAGGAATCTGTGGCAAGGGAGACATTGAAGCGGATTGGAAGGCAACAAACTGTGGCCACCTGCAATCTGGCACGGTCGCCTCTCCATTACAAGAGCGTCAGCATTTACGGGCCTAAAAATTCAAGAGACATGGTCCGGCGAGCCCTTTTGTTGGATGGTTTTAAAAGCAAACCAAAAGGAAACCGGCCATTTTGGAAGTTCCCCAAATTTGAGACAAACCCATATTGGAACTAAAGTTACTAAAGTCTTCATGTACCTGTCCTAGGTGTCATTCTGGAGAAAGCAGGCACGGGTAAGTACAAGCGGGCGTCGTAAGTCACCCCACGTCGCGTTAAGTCACCCCAGCCATCCCCAGCCGCTTGGAACTACGCATATCCGTTTAAGTCACCCCATGCGTTTTAACTCCTCCCATTTTTTGCAAAACACAATGGGCACAGAGCTGGAAGGGCGATGTTGCCAACCCCAAGAATTCACCGCACTCTGCGCGAGTGCCGCGCGAGCGCCGGGTGAGCCGTGCCCTCATCCCAATGAAGATTGCTTCCGCTTGTGGCACAACTTCAAATGCTGCGGCACGAGAAGAGAGAACCACCCAGTGGCAGTGAACATACATGCATGCACACGGCACATGGAAGCCGACCAAATGTTGAACATCATACATTTTGCATGCGCACAGCACAGAATTATACGATTTCAGAAAATGACATGCTTGAGACAACTATCCTTACATCCACAAACACAACGGGCACACTCACCCGGGACGACTTAGATCAACCCGGGACGACTTACAGCACTTACCCTGTAAGAACTGAAGTCAAAAACCAGCGCCGAGGTTCAACCAAACTGATCCTATCGTCTGTGGGCGTGGTGGCAAACCGATTTGGACTCCCAACTCCGGCACATGCAAGCACAGCCCCCAAGATTCTAAGATGTGCCCAGCAGCTCCGTAGAGCGACTCCCTCTCCACTCCGTGATGCCTCGGCGGGAGCTCGGGGTTGCATGGCTATCAAGAAGAACAACAAGAAGAATGACTAAATCAAAGAAGGTTTGCACCACCCCCAAACCACTGCCCCTAGGGACAAAACCAATACATACATACATACATACATACATACATTACATTACATTACATTACATTACATTACATTACATTACATTACATTACATTACATTACATTACATTACATTACATTACATTACATTACATTACATTACATTACATTACATTACATACATACATACATACATACATACATACATACATACATACATACATACATACATACATACATACATACATACATACATACATACATACATACATACATACATACATACATACATACATACATACATACATACATACATACATACATACATACATACATACATACATACATACATACATACATACATACATACATACATACATACATACATACATACATACATACATATACATACATACATACATACATACATACATACATACATACATACATACATACATACATACATACATACATACATACATACATACATACATACATACATACATACATACATACATACATACATACATACATACATACATACATACATACATACATACATACATACATACATACATACATACATACATACATACATACATACATACATACATACATACATACATACATACATACATACATACATACATACATACATACATACATACATACATACATACATACATACATACATACATACATACATACATACATACATACATACATACATACATACATACATACATACATACATACATACATACATACATACATACATACATACATACATACATACATACATACATACATACATACATACATACATACATACATACATACATACATACATACATACATACATACATACATACATACATACATACATACATACATACATACATACATACATACATACATACATACATACATACATACATACATACATACATACATACATACATACATACATACATACATACATACATACATACATACATACATACATACATACATACATACATACATACATACATACATACATACATACATACATACATACATACATACATACATACATACATACATACATACATACATACATACATACATACATACATACATACATACATACATACATACATACATACATACATACATACATACATACATACATACATACATACATACATACATACATACATACATACATACATACATACATACATACATACATACATACATACATACATACATACATACATACATACATACATACATACATACATACATACATACATACATACATACATACATACATACATACATACATACATACATACATACATACATACATACATACATACATACATACATACATACATACATACATACATACATACATACATACATACATACATACATACATACATACATACATACATACATACATACATACATACATACATACATACATACATACATACATACATACATACATACATACATACATACATACATACATACATACATACATACATACATACATACATACATACATACATACATACATACATACATACATACATACATACATACATACATACATACATACATACATACATACATACATACATACATACATACATACATACATACATACATACATACATACATACATACATACATACATACATACATACATACATACATACATACATACATACATACATACATACATACATACATACATACATACATACATACATACATACATACATACATACATACATACATACATACATACATACATACATACATACATACATACATACATACATACATACATACATACATACATACATACATACATACATACATACATACATACATACATACATACATACATACATACATACATACATACATACATACATACATACATACATACATACATTACACACATACATACATACATACATACATACATACATACATACATACATACATACATACATACATACATACATGCATGCATCCATGCATACATACATACATACATACATACATACATACATACATACATACACATATGTAGACATATATATATATATTGTACACCACTACACGCCTGTCCGTTTGCTTCGGGACTGGTTGGGGACTTGCTGTGCGCAAGGTTGGTGTAGCTTACGGCGCACATGCGTTGAAGCAATCACGCTCGACAAACATACTGACAACTAATGTTGACCCCATATTAATCAACCGCACTTTATTAATAGCGGGGTGTTCCCCTCTTAAAAGTGATGGTTCCCCACTAAACCCAGGGACACCCCCGAATTAATAAACTGGGATTGATGAATATGGGGCCAACAATAGACACTTCAGACGGACGAAAGACCACACACTCAAACACACACACACACACACACACACACACACACACACACACACACGCGCGCGCGCGCGAAACAAACAACAAACACATACAAACAAACACGCAACCACAAACACACAAACACGCAACTACGAAGCACGCAAACACACCGTAGCCGGCACGTGTCCCCACACACACACACAGACACACACGTGCGCAGGATGTGTCATGCACACAGGCGGGCATTCAAGCACACGCAAAAGCACCGGTGCCTGAAATTCCAGACAAGCCACCTGGTTCTTTGCACATGGAAGTGCTCCATCATGAATGCGGCGGCCTTTTTCCGATTCTGCGCCGCCTCCTGAGTTGTGGCAAAGCAATGCCCGAATCAAGCTCCATGGATGTGACACCCCAAGGCATGGGTTTGCGACAGTCCACAAGCTGAACGCCAGAATCCTCGAAGCATTCTAGCCTTCACTTCTCGATTTGAGTCCGCCGCAACAACCCAATCCTTCCATTTGGTTAAGACCCCTGGAAAAAATATATTTCCCCTTTGAAACCAACAGGGGGAAAATAACAAATACTCGTAAGCAAATGGAGAATCCAAAAGCTGCCAATGAAAAGGTCCCGGCAGATGAGCTCGACTTGAACTCAAGGCAAAGATGACTTACCATTTGGCTGTGGCTCAAAAAACCGGTACCAAAATGGAACCCTGGTAAGTGGAAACGTGGACCAAAACCTGCGTAACCCCTCCTGTTGAATTTTGAGCCACACACGTTTCCCCCCTCCAACGTGGCATCGTGCCCTGTGAAACGTATGAGTTGCATTGCAAGGATATACATGTCATGCAGTGTTGACCCGGATCAACAAGCCCCAGTTTTGTTTTGGGGGGAGTCCTGGGTTGAGTGGGGATCCATCACTATTGGAGGAGAGCGCCTCTTTTTGATAGATTGGGGTTGAGTAATCTGGAATCAACATTACATTAATATCTGGAATCCGTGAACTTCGAAGTAAGCCGGCCTACCCCCGCAGCCAAATCGCAATGCCATCAGCCCAACAATAATGACCCATCTGCCAGAGCCAGGGCCCGCTTAACGTTGAAACGAAATGGACAGACACAAAAACAAACAAACAAACAAACAAACAAACAAACAAACAAACAAAGACGTCGGAATCCATTGTCTTGTCAGAAAAACTACATTTACATGGCATTGCATCTGTTCTATATTGTCTGGTGGCTTACCGATCTATTGCGATGAAAACAAACAAACAATCAAAACAAAGAAACAAACGCCGAACCACGTAAACACGTTGCTTTGCTGCAGTCCTCATCCTCGTCCGAGTCATCCGAGTTCTGGATGTTGCCAGAGTCGGTGTCGTCTGTCACACTGCTGAGAAAGCGATCACGCGGATTCCCGACAAATTGTCCCGCCCTGTCCAATCCCGTGCCTTCCGATCCCATTCCGTCGAGGCGTTGCATCCATCCCCATCTTGTCACTGCATCCGTCCCTCTAAAACTCCTATCCAGCAGCAGGTGTATTCATCAGCCATCTCAACACGATCAAGCAACCTAACATGCGATGCTTCAAAGTACTGGCTGCTAACGTTCCAGGTGAATCTCTGGCAACAGCGCAGCAAACTTTCGGTCTCCCGGTCTCCCTTAATTACCGCTTCTCCAGGACTTTCCATTGAAGCCCGTGGGACTTGTGTCAGCGTTCGAACCGAACTCGGGTTCAGCCCTGGTGCGAACCGATGAGTATGTCGCTGACACAGAGAAAAGGTCCGCGCTCCTCGGCCAAAGCTTTCGGAACAGCGGCGAGTCAAGACTTGGCCCGACTCTTCGGTACGCAAACACATATGTTGAGCTCCTAACTCACCAAACTCGAGATCATTGCAAGGCAGTGGTCCAATGAGAACTCAGGGAAGAACTCTGCTCAGCCCCTCAGCACCATATGGCTGTGGGTCAAAAAGACGTGCTCAAAGTGGCACCAAAAAGTAAATGGAAACAAACACAAAAACCCTGCGTAACCCCAGCTGCATTTTGAGCCACACCCATATACGGTATGTGTCATTGGAGGAGACCATCCTCGCCCTGAAGTTTTGAGGATGTCCAAGTTGAACAAATCCAGACCCCGGGGTCTTTGCGCAATCCCCAACGCTCTTGGCCGATTTCAATGGGCTGGAGATGTCGACCTGCATTTGGCCGCAACATATTTTCATAAACACAGCTGTCCCTAAGAATTTGTGCACGTTCCATTTGTTTCAAGCCAAGCGTCCTTTTACCTGAACTGTGAGGCCTGACCCCAAAAAGGTACCCTAGCACGCACACACCCACCCACACGCACACCCACACCCACCCACACACACACACACACACACACGCACACACCTGTCTTGATGTCTGTTAGTTGTTAAATTCTGTGGACTCTATGAAGCCCACCCTGAAAGCAGGGGCAGCTGCATTTATAAGTTTTTACAAGTGCAATGAGATTGCCTACTACTGCACAAATGCCGAGATTCAACCCTGACCTTGATGCTTGCCCATTCCAGGCTTGCCAAGCACTGATCCAAATCAGGTTAGGGCCAGAACAAGCTCTCAGGCGTTTATCGCAGCACAAAACATATAAAATATTGGTTGCTTTCTGCACCCCTGCTAAAAGTTTAACTTTTTTAATGGAAAACCCGTTAGTTGGCAAAAAGTTAAAGTCCTAACATCCCTTGGCAAAATGCAACAAAGAAATCAACTTACTCTTCAGCAAACCAATCACTGGACCAAGCGTCCCAATGCTGCCAAACCTTTGAGAGGCGTCCTCAACCACTGTCAACCCGGCCCCAAGTGGTCACGGCTCACGGGCAGGTGGAAATGTGTGTCCCACAACCACTTTTGAGGAGGTTCCCTATCAAAATCTGTAGCCACTTGGGATTGGGTAATGCCCCATTTTCGTTTGGAACCTTTTTGTTTCCGCTAATCCTTGTCGATTTGCAGTACTTTGCAAACCCGGGTTGTAGTATGCAGAATTGAGATATTAAGTTCGAAAGGGAGAGTGGGAGGGACCCATTCCTACGACCTCAGCCCTCACCAGCATAATGGTTGAAATGTCTTGAATTGCCTTCTGGCTTAGAGACCAGTCCAAGAGCTGCATGGTTCTCTCCTTTCTAGCCAAATACACTTCTTGGGATTTCGGCCAGAACAAGAATTGCAGGAAAGTATGCTGAGATTCACAGGATTGACCTGCTGTTAGAATACTGCCACCCAAATGCAAAGCAAAGCTTCCAACATGCCGCCCACAATCATTCCAAAGCCCACGCTGTGTGTTTTGAGTCATCCTCACTTCCGGAGGTCCCGATGGGCGATGGCTTGAACTAAACTTCATTCGGAAAACAAAAGAGAGAAACAAAAAGAAGAAAACAAAAAAGACTCCAAAAGCAAACGCAAATAAATAACAGCGTGTCTGGCACTGCGTTGTTCCCTTGGCTTCCAAAACGCAGCACACCGACCCGCCGGCGGCCGCACCAAGCGCCCAGATCTCCACCAGGCGGCTTCTCCGTGCCGACGTGAAGATCCCGAGCATCGGCGGCCATGAGCCAATGGCTGGGGCTCGCCAACCCCCAGCTCAGGGAGTAAGAAGGGACTTGGCTTTCGTGCGGAAAAATGGAACCTCGCCCAATAAGAAAACCAAGGAGTCAAAAAGGAACCTCACCCCCCAATAAAAAAAAGGAGACAAAGGACTTGTGGTTTTCGTTGGGCTACTTTAGTCATGATCAAAATGGGACCTGGTGTTTCGTTTCAGCTTCTCTATTGGCCTGGTTCATGCCATGGCTCAAGGAATTCCCTTGTCTGATGGCCAGATGCAAACGATCGCGACCTAAATGTAGCTTACTCAGCGCCTCGTACTGGAGCCTATGACGCTATTCTAGTTTCATATAGTGATATGGTGGATGGACGAAATCCTGCACCACCTCAGCGACCCTGAAAGCATGATTCCCCTGTAAATCCCAACAAACAGGATTTTGTTCATCCACAGTGTGGGTGTGGGGTCAACACGCTGTACCCCCGGTGAACATCAAAATAGGTGGCAAATGGATGTTCATCCACCTCAAAATAAAGCCATAGGTTTTGGCCCATGGCCATATGTACATATGAATATAGAGTTCATGTATCACGACCAAGGTGCTGTCAATTCAATCGATTATCTACAGAAGCGGTTGTTTTCACCCATCTTTTGCCGTGCCTTGATGGCGCTTCATGCCTGCCAAAAAGGTCAAAACCATGAGTGCAGCTTGAGCCTTGAGCCAATAATATGCTTCAGACGCAGCTGACACAGCCCTCGCCCAGCGTGCTGAGTTTTGGTTCCGAACTCGAACGAGAGGAAACTCATCGCTGCCCTGGGTGAGTGGCGGCCGAATGTTGGATCACGCTGCAACAAGTTTCAAGGCCTTGCCACATGTACCCAATTTGTTGCTTATATGGCCATCGGTCAAAAGCCCGGTTACAGCCCAGTGAACATCCCAATCCCCAGTAAAATAGACTAACATGGGTGGTGCACCTACCCACAGCCATATCCGCTTTGATGCTTGCCCAATTGCAGGGGGAAAAGGTGCAGGAATGAAGGTGGTCAAAAAGGCGGTTGGGCCAAAAGCGTCCCGAGTCCGAAAGTTTAAAATGTTCGAATGCTGGGTCTGACATTGCCAGTTGGTGCACCTATGGGTTGGATACTCCACAGGATTCATGCGCTCGACGGGCGGCATTTTACTCAGCTTCATCCGTCTAACATTTGAAATCCGATGTTGCTTGTCCTTTCCGCTCAGGGGTAAGCTCATGCGATCTTGCAACTATGGATGGACGACATCCTGCTCCACTGAAGAAACCCTCGAATGAGGATTCCCCTGTAAATACCAACAAACCATGGTTTCCCATGGTTTCATAGGTGGCCATGGGTCAAAATCCCGTACCCCCTGTGAACATCCCAATCCCCACTAAAATAGACTCAAATGGGTGGTGCACCTACCCAAAATGGGATCCCATTGGTTTTGACCCACAGCCAGGTGCGACATGGATTTCGCCCATCCACAGTACTCGATTGCTTGCCTCTCCCCTGCCAAAAGTTTAACTTTCGGTGGTTTAATACGGAAAATCCATTAGTTGGCAAAAAGTTGTCCTAACATCCCTTGGCAAAATGCACCAAAGCGGGGGAGTTGCTCAGCGTAGAGAGCTCCTGTCTCTCTTTTTGGGGGTTTAATGGAAACCCCTTGAGTTCCCACAAAGTGAAAGTCTAAAGATCCAACCCAATAGCACCAAAAGACAGCTTGTGCCAGGCTCGACCTCTTTGCCCCGCTTCGACCTCCGCTGCTTTCTGGCGCTCCGCCCGTCTCCCGCGGAAGCTGCCGCCGGAGCCGGAAGGCAAAGGCGATGGCCTGGTCGGCTTCGCGAGGTTCCCTACAAACTTCCTCTTCCATTTGCTGAAATGAACATGTTTTATTTCCCCCTGCTGGTTTTCAAGGGAAGCTATCACTACTGGAAATATGTTCATTTTTCCAGTGGACTTAAGCAAATGGAAGTGTTTAAACACACACAACGAACAACTCACTCTAACTGTCTCCAAAAAACAACTTCAAGGAGAATTGTCAGCATGCTTTGGCCTGTGGTTTTGGCTGTCTTAAATTCCGGGTTTCCGCGGAGGTGGGGCTGTTTGGTATGCTCCTAGCAAATGGGGTGTCAATCATAAAGAGTTTGAGTTTGGATTGTTTTAGGGGCAGGGCTGTGGGGAATGACCACTTCTGTGATACAACAGAAAGGGCTTCCCAAAGACTATTTTCTTCATATAAAGGGGTTGATCCCACAACCCTGTTTAGGGGTGTCTAATGATAGAAAGCAAGAAAAGGGCAAGCCTTCTTATTTGAGGGCGGGCCGTCCTGGCGGCTCCGTTTTTTCAGATGCCTGGGGGCCGCGTGTAAAAAAACGCCTGGGGGCTGCATTTGTTCCCTCTGATTGGACTCGCTCCTTTTTTAGTTATTCTCAGTTTTAGCTAGAATTTACGTTGAACTTGATACATACACTAAGTAGAATTCATGAGAAATAACTTCAAGGTCCCAAACATGCTAAATACACGTTGTTTGAATGTCTACTGATTTGCAAAGCCATCCTGTGTAGCATGTGTTTTGACATAGAATTGAATCATCATTAATTATTTAACATATATTTCAAAAAGCCAGGTTGGCTGCTGTCCTTATTAAATGCCATTTAATGTCGGATAGAAACTAGGTAGAACTTGATACGTATGTTAAGTAGCTTTCAAAAGGAAATAAATTATCGGTCCTGAAAAATGTTGAATACATGTTCCTGTGCAACATTTATTTTGAAGTATAATAATCCATATGAACAGTCTAGTTAACATATAATTTATGATTGGAGTCTGTCCTTATAAACGTCCACTTGAGTTCAGTCAGAAATTTGATAAAGCTATTAAGTCATAAGGAAATAATTCAGAGGTCCCGACATCGTGTTTTTTTGCTTACTAGCCCCAGCAGTACCATGGTCAGAAACACCGTAAAACACAGTGTTTTGTAGCGGGTTTCGTACTCAATTCACATCTCCAATCACAGCCGCTCTTTAAAAATCAGTTTGAATTTAAAAACAATCTAATTGGGACTCAATAAGGAAATACTTGATCAGAATCCTACTGCGAATTGCATCGTAAATTTAGACTCCAGACAGAGATCCTTTCCCAATAGCACTTTACAATTAAATTAGAGTTTAAACATAATTTGAAAAATAATGAAACCAATCACTGACAAGGAATGAATCCAAACGCAACTTCTTCGTTTGAATAGAAATTCAATTAGAATGAGTCTATGTAAAAATGATAGTTCTAACCAACCCCAGGTCTCGAACGAGCAGAGGAACATGATGGGCTTCATTGTTGAGCTCCAACAAAATACTTGGTTTTGGTTTTGAGCCTCCCAAAACCAAACAACACACAACAAAAACAACCCCAGGTCTCGAACGAGCAGATGAAGATGATGGGCTTGGTTTTTTGTTTCTTTTCGCTTTCTGTGTTTTTTGGGTTTGGGGGGGGGTTGTTCTTGTTGGTATTCTTGGTCGGTTCTTGATGGAAAAACGCAGCCCCCAGGAATCTGAAACACGCAGTTTCCAGGGCGAGACTGCCGTGAACGCTTAGACCTCTGCTGGCCTTAAGCCTGGAGCAGCTGAGCTGGAAGCTTTTGGGCTAGGAGCTGGATGGGAGGATGACCGTGCTTGGCTCCTAGCTTTCTGACAGGGGGTCCGTTGAAGAGATTGATCTTCCGGCTACCTTGTCACAGATGCCATGTGTGGGTGGGAGGAAGGAACAATTAGAAGCGTTGATTCCTTTTCCATTCTTTTCAGCCATGGTTCTTTTCAAAAACCGATCGCCAAGCCATTTTTTCAGGGTGTTTGGTGGCTTTCTAGAAAGAAGGATCCCTGGAAAGAATGGGGAAATTACCCCTAGAAGCTTGCCACAAGTGCGAGGGCTTATGATGGCTTTACACGTGCTGCATTGACGTTACGGCACCTGGTCCATGTCTTGGTTTGAGGTACCCTTTTTCGTGCTTCGATCAAAAGAAAACCCCCATTTTTTGTTTGGGGGGGCACCCTCAAAAAACACACACCATGTTGCAACATGGGAAGGTTCAACAATTTACCCTCTGGCCAATTTTGAAGAAGAATCTAAATGAGGCAACCCGGGCATCAATCGAGCCCTGTCTCTGTTGCAGACCTTGAGGGGCTAGGGTAGCGATATACTTT